CTGCAGTCTGAATGTAGCCTTAAAGCTCAAAAGTAAAGTGGTTTATTATTGCTGTTGAGTGAGTGAGGACTCTTAACGTTCTTCATGTCATTACTGATAGTGGTGTTGTTGTTAATTAATTACAGCAACATTGTTTTTCAGCCTAAGAATAGACTCTTGATACTCAATACTTGATATACTTAATAATGTATAAGAAATAAGGCCTCACGGGGAGCTCGATTTTGGAACGAAATCTAGTAGCAGTTTGGAATTAGATTTGCGATATACACCATTCAAACCGTTCAGGAGACATTCCGTTACCTAAGTAATTGCATCCTTTGTGATTTGATAATTGCACCGTCTCGAATTGCAGTTGTGATTTGTGCGTATTCTGTTGTGCAGCGCGGCCTCACGTGGTTACGCACAACAGAGGCGGCGTGTGGCACGGGCCGTTCAGGCAAATGCTCAGGGTGCACGGTGATGATGGAGGGGCCCCGTGTGCTTTCACTTCAAATGAACGTGAGCTTCATCATGAACAGTGTAGAGAGATTTTCGCTCTGTCACGATCTGCAATTTACAGATCTGACACATGAGAGATCGAGCGAGTCAGCGAATCCTTCCTGCCTGCACTGAACACGTTTTCCTGCCGCTAAAGTTGAGAAATTCTTACTTGGTTGTCCAAAAAGAAGGGTAATAAATCAGGGGAAGCGAGCAGTGAAGCTGGAAGTGTTGTAATTATTTTATTGACTATTTTGTTCCAATATTGCTGGTTCCTTTGGATGTTGAAAAGAAAAAGAAATGGGCCACTTTTAATGTCCAAATGCGACTTATGGATCTTTTTATTGCTGGTTCAGTGACCGTTATTCATTGTTTAAAACTTGAGCAATATAAATTGTTCAGAGAGACACGATCAACAATAAAATATCCTTATTAATGTTCAATAATGTGTCAAATCCACCTTTATTTTGTGATTTACGAATAATGTCTATTGACTTTGGTCGTGAAGGTTTATGACGTTTAAAATATGGGTCCCCAGAAAAAAAAAAAAGGGAATCACTGGTGTATAGTATGAAATGTCTATACACAAAGAAACAGTTTGGAGTCAAAAAATAATGCTGTACATCCACTAAAGGCAGTACTTATTTTATTTATTTTTTATTTATTTATTTATTTTTTGTATCCCAGCTACAAAATCAATCAAGAAATTGATTCAGGGCCCGTAATTAATAGACTTATGCAGGGGTGGGCAATTATTATTTCCCATGGGGCCACATGAAAAACAGAAAATGTTGTGGAGGGCCGAGCCAATAACTCAATTCTGCAGAATATTAATTGTATTTCTTAATTTAAAAAAAGCATTAAATAGCATTGTTTTGACGTGCTGGTAAGACTGGTAACAGTACATGTTCAGGGTCTCCACTCTTTTTCACTGATAAAATTTCAAAACTTTTCCATGACATTTTCATGACCTAAAGTGAATTTTCCATGACTTTACAGCACCTACATGTATAGAACTGATTGTATTTTTAGGGCTAAATATGAAATGTTAACCCTTTCTACTCACTTTAATGGTTTGGTATTATAGTTTCTTTAACATTCAAAATACTGTCAGTGCATTTATTGTCGTCTCTTTTAAACAAAAGGTTTAGAAATAATCATCATAGCCTAATGAGAACTTAACAGAACACTGTAGTTGCGTGAAAGAGATATTAAAATTCTATGACTTTTCCAAATGGTCCAATAGTCCCCCCCCCCCGCATGTTCGGGGAAGACCCAGGACTATGTCTCTGGGCTGGCCTGGGAACGCCTCGATGCCCCCCCGGTGCAGCTGGAGGAAGTGTCTGGGGTGAAGGAAGTCTGGGAGTCCCTGCTTAGACAGCTGCCCCTGTGACCCGGCCCAGATAAGCGGAAGAAAGTAGATATGGATGGACTTTTCAAAAACTTTCATTGAACTTAGGCAAGGCAAGGCAAGTTTATTTTTATAGCACAATTCGTACACAAAGTAATTCAAAGTGTTTTACAGAATAAGAAGTACATTAAAATCATAATCAAAACATATAAATAATCATAAAAACTAAAATTATAAAAGAGAGACATAGATTAGAGAGAAGAGTGCGGAATGAAAACCTTTCAGTTATATGCACAGTTAAACAGAAATGTTTTGAGTCTGGATTTAAACAGCGTAAAAGTAAAGTCTGTCTCACATGTTCAGACTGTTCCAGGTTTTAGCTGCATGAACCTGAAACTCTGACTCCCCTTGTTTAGTCGTGACTCTGGGCACCAGCAGGAGGCCGGTCCCTGAGCTCCTCAGAGTGTGAGATTCCATGACTTTTCTAGGCCTGGAAAATTACATTTTCAATTTCTATGACTTTTCCAGGCCATGACACTGTCTGTTAGGACTAAGCAATGAAAAAGTGAAGCTACCTAACAAAAAAATAACCATAAAAAAGACCTCTAAAGTAAAAGCAGTACAGCGTTAGTCCATGCATGAGGTAAAATTATAACATTTTATTAGTAATTCCAAATTAGCTTTAACGGGACGGTCAGAGTCAACCAAAAGGCTGTGTGTGGCCTGGGAGCTGTACGATGCCCAGATCTGGACTAAAGCCAACATAGTCTTAACAGAAAACACAATTTTTTTATATTTATTAGTAGAGTGGAGTCAGGGGGCACCATCAGAATTCTTACCTAGGGCATTAAAAAAGCCTGTGCCGACCCTGTTAACCTCTTCTTCTGTAATGTCCTGGATGTCCTTTGTCAAAGAGCTGTGTGCTGTGAGGATTATAACTCTGATAAAAGCTCATATAAACCTGACTCTGAAGTTGTCTGTTTGCATTATCACCATCCACCTCTCGTCACGTCGTTTCTATTCCTCCGGCCTCATCTCTCCGTACACAAACGCCCTCGGCTCTCGCCCGTCAAACCAAATATCTCCAACAATCTCTCCTTCTGGCTTCTTTTCTTGTCCATGAAAGTTACCCCACACATTTTAATCTGATCACATCTCAGCCCGACTTCCCCTCTTGATATCAGTGGAAAATAAAGCTCCCTCGCTCCACAGCTTCCTTGTCCCGTTCGCCTTCACAAATTGGATGGTTGCGCTATGTCTTTAATAATTGATGCTCCTTATTTGTCGAGCTGCAGATGGCCATGGAAAGTGTGAGCGTCTGAATGTGAGCGTCATCGGATCCCGTCGTTTCGTGATTGAGGGTCTTCAAATGTGTGGAGCGCGTTTGTCACCAGCGACATGCGGCTCTGTGGTGTAGAGTTACAGTTTGATTAGCAGTTTCCCCTTCTGGTTTGGCGTCGTGTCAGAGGTGGTTTCAGCGGGATTTTCTGTTGTGCAAAATGAAAATATATGTGAAAATAGTATTAGGAAATTGTCAATAGTCCAAAAATAATGTCCTTTGTTTGTTTTTTTTTACCTCCGCCAAGGAGGTTATGTTTTTGCCGGCGTTTGTCTGTTTGTTTGTTTGTTTGTTTGTTTGTCTGTTAGCAACATAACTCAAAAAGTTATGGACCGATTTTGATGAAATTTTCAGGATTTGTTGGAAATGTGAAAAGGAAGAACTTTTTGGGGTGATCCGGAAGAAATCCTGGATTCTGGATCACTTTGAAATTTTAGTTAACATTGTGGTAAATGGGGCCAAAAATTTTGTTTCTTAATATCTCGGTTAATTATTGACCAAACCCCATGAAATTTGACTCAGGGATGGACAATGGGATCCTCTTTCATATTCCAAAGGCTGATCCGGATCTGATCCAGAAGACTGATTTTATCGCAATTTATATAAAAAATGGGGGTAGTCCTTGGCGGAGGTCTGCGCTCTCTGAGTGCTTTTCTAGTTTTATTTATTTCATATTGGTTATTTACCCTAATAGTCAAAAATTTGGACTCATCATCTCATTCAGTGTTTTTTTTTTTTTTTTTTTTTTCCTGTATGGCAAAAGAGAAGTTTATGGAAGCCCATTTCCACCAGTAAATAAAAAATAAAAGCCTCAGAGAAAGTCATAATTAGAAGTTTCAAAGTCATAATTACAAGTTTAAGTCATAATTAAAAATTTTAAAGTCATAATTATGAGTTTAAAAGTCTTAATTACGAGTATAAAAGTCATAATTAAAAGTTTTAAAGTCATAATTATGAGTATAGAAGTCATTTTTAAAAGTTTTAAAGTCATAATTATGAGTATAAAAGTCATAATTAGAAGTTTAAGTCATAATTACGAGTTTTAAGAGTTAAAAAGTCATAATTATGAATTTAAAAGTCATAATTATGAATTTAAAAGTCATAATTACGAGTTTAAAAGTCATAATTAGAAGTTGTAAAGTCATAATTACGAGTTTTAATACTGTGAGGCTTTTTTTTTTTATTTACTGGCGGATATGGACGTCCATAGAAATTCAACATAGAAATTTGTCAACTGAACAAATGTTTATTTTGGTCGAAAACATTTCACAGCTCATCCAAGCTGCTTCTCCAGTTCTATATGTTACTACTTTGTACATTTGATACAGAAGAATATATAAAGTAAGATGTATGTAATTATGTGGCAAAGTTAAATAACTATACTAAAGTTTTTTTGTTTTTTTTTTAAATTATACATTTAATAACCAAATCCTCAAATTACCCACCTTTTGCTCTGTCGAAAAATATTTATGAATCCCCACAAAGTCTGTTCACAAAGGCGTAAAAGGTGTTCAAAGTAGAAATAAGAACTAGAGCTGCTAACATTAAAGGTTGATAGAGATGAGTATAGGACAACTCCAGCTCAATGTAACTGCAAAGTATCAACAGAGCTCAAAACCCTTACAAATTTTAGATTATTTTAAACAATATCAGACTTTTAAATCAAGTTAGAAAGAAATGCGAAACCAGGCCATGAGCTGGTGAGTAAACCAGCAGGATACTTGACATGTGTGTGAGGCGTGGGTGGATAGTAGTAGATCACAGTTTAATCCAGCGCAGGTCTGATCCTCATTGATTTCTCTGTTTCTGATGAGGCTTGTTTCTCTTCTGCAGAGCGGGCAAAGGAGTGTTCTCAGCCATGAAACTCGGCAAGATCAGGAGCCCCCGAGAAGACCACAGGAGAGGTACGTGGAACAATCCGAACGCAGCGCCTTTTCCTCGAGTCGTAATCAATTCAGCGATACTGGTAGTGCTGATTTCTGTAGAATATTGAGATCTTTTGAATACATTTTTAACCAGGTTTTGCCTAAGCGCCTTGTTTCCTCATCATAAACAGACCTGGAGTTGTTTTTATGTTGGTTTTTAAACTCCGTGAGCGTTTTCCGTTTGAGAGAAGAAGTAAATCTGCAGGGTTTGTGCGTTAAACATGTGGGAATTAAGCAAAAAACTGCTCCAGGGTCATGGTAACAGAGGTTATCCCCCAGGACCCGTGAAGATGAGACAGTTTGAAACGACTTTTCCAAAGAGAGACGTTTTGGATCCATACATAGACCCTGGTGGATTTTTTTTGGAAGAGGTGGATTTTTCACTTTTCCTGTAGCTCCCCCTCCATTTCTATGAACTGTTTGAACTGTAAAGCCACACATAAAAACTATTTGAACTATAAAGCTGCTCCCATACTATTGAAACTAGATATAAACCTTCTTGTCAATTACTGCCTTTAGATGCTTTCTTTATATCGTATTGTTGCCAATTGTGAAGAGGAGACAAGACAACTGGCCACCAAATACCCATATTTATTAATTAGCCAGGTTATTATTAACTTTTCTTACAAAATTGCTTAAAACATTTCTTGATGAAGTGTGCTGTGTGACCTAAAGGAAATATGTATCACTGACTATCCTCCAACTTATACAGAACAGTGTTTTTATCTGTTGTGTTATGAATGGTATGTTGTACGCTTGGATTCAGCATGTATATTGTTTATGGATATTTAGTTTTTAATCGTCACGTGTTTGGGGTCATGACCAGTCACACCTGCTGCTCACTGTATCAGACCTGAAACACGCTGATGTGACCATTAATAAATACACAGTGCCTCTGCCGTCCTTTTTTCTACTCAACAGCTCCAGGTCTGTTTGTGATGAGGAAACGACATTATAACATAAATCAGAAAACAGCGTAATATGGGCCCTATAAATTATGCATTGTGGACAGAATCTTGATTAAAGGTTGTATAGAGGATTTTCCAAGGAACGAGAAATCCAGCGACTGTTTGTACTTTTTCAAATGTTGCGCATGCGTGAAACCACCCCCCCTCCCCTACAGCTCCTACGTAGAAACACGCCAGAAACAGGTTTGTTTACAGCCGGTGAGCTGCACATGACTTGTAAACAACTAACTACAGTGTTGGTTAGGCAAGACGGAGAAGTGAGGAGCGGGGGGAGCGGGTGTGCGGACATTTTCGTGCGCGGAAAAGAAGTGAGGAGCAGGGAGAAGAGCGAAGCGGGGAGCGGGGACAGGAGCAGTAAGGGTTGCAGAGAAGAGTGCGCAGAGATTCAGTGCGAATGAAGCCACTACTACAACACGCAGTGGCAAGCGGGCTCTTTCTTTGCATTGAAAATTACGTTTTCAGACATAGGATATCACATGAAAACGTTTGTCTAGCTCTTATAAATAAATAAAAAATAATATAATTTTTTTTTTAAAAGTACATTTTCATAATAAGCAGAAGTTTCCTGTCCAGGAGTAATTTGTGGACCAATGCGTCAGTCTTTAGACCCTGCGTCTGCTTCAGTCGCGCCATCGCTGGAATGAATCTACAAGAATCACCTTAGTTTGGCTTCGCTGCTTTTCCCCTTGTCTTCTTCTTTCAGCGACCTCAAAAAACGGACTTTCTTTTACGGTGAACTGCTCCTGGATTCTTGTCGCCATTGCAACAAACTTTGTGTGAACTGCGAGGAAGATATAGGTCAAAAAAAGCCGCTAAGAACTGTTGCGTTGGTGGAGTAAACAGCGTCTGTGCGGCTTGCGTCTGTGGACTGCGTGACAGGCGTATGTAAACCACGTACCGGCGGCGCAGGCAAGTCAGTTACGCTAGAAACGTAGGGAGTTTGATTGACAGCCTGTCAGCTCACAGATAACGAGGCAGTGTCGTTATCTATTGGCAAATGTTTAGCCCCACCACGTCCAGAGTTGATGAATTTTTATTCTCTTTTTTTTGGTCATCATAATTACAAGGCTACTGCATCTCTATAATCTATCATTGACAACTTGAAACAAAAAAAAAATCCTCCATACAACCTTTAAGGACATAATGACTTGCATAATTAATAGAGATGTATTAATCCGATACTGGTAAAGGATATCTGAGCCAATATTGAAAATTTTGCTGGACCAGATATTAACTCCCAAATATTGTTTCAGGTGAGGTCCCATTTTGACATATTTATAATAAGACTAGCTGTATTTGGGTCAAAAAGTCTCATAATGTTTGAAGTTTTATTTATACAAAATTGTTTAGTAGTTATTTGAGACATAAATAGCAGTTACATAACACATTTGGATTGGTTTTGTCTTATTTTATTTTTGTTTTAAGGGAATAAATGCCGTTTTAAGCCTCTGCACCTTTATTGGTTGATATCAGGTATCGGCAGATCCTTAAAGCTACAGTATCAGAATCAGCATTGGAACTGAAAAAGCTGGTTTTGTGCATCCGTAATAATTCAAATCCAAATCCACTTTATTTCTATAGCACATTTTACAAGCAAAGCAGTTTCCAAAGTGCTGCACAGAGATCATAAAATGAAGACAACAAAAAGGTAAATTGCATACCAGTCCTAAAACAATAAAACCAGTCAAATAAAAATAAAAATCATGAAATAGTAGTAAATGAGTCAAATAAATCAAATAAATAAAAGACACAGAGGACCACACAACTCAGTGCAGTGTTAAAAGCCAGAGAATAAAAGTGTTTTTTAAGTGAAAAAATATTTTATCAGAAGTGCCTTTCATTTAAACTGTGACGCGTTTTTGGGTCTTAAAAACACAAAAATCTGAAACCACCCTCCAGAGTGGAAAAGTTGAATACACTCCGCTGTAGTGTTTCCATCTAGGCAAGGCAAGTTTATTTGTATAGCACAATTCGTACACAAAGTAATTCAAAGTGCTTTACAGAATAAGAAATACATTAAAATCATAATAAAAACAAATCAAAACATAAATAATCATGAAGATTAAAATTAAAAAAGAGAGACATAAATTGGAGAGAAGAGTGCGGAATGAAAACCTTTCAGTTATATGCACAGTTAAACAGAAATGTTTTGAGTCTGGATTTAAACAGCGTCACAGAAGAGTCTGTCTCACATGTTCAGACTGTTCCAGGTTTTAGCTGCATGAACCTGAAACGCTGACTCCCCTTGTTTAGTCGTGACTCTGGGCACCAGCAGGAGGCTGGTCCCTGAGCTCCTCAGAGTGTGAGATGTTCATATGACACTAACATGTCACAGATGGACTTTGGTGCTCGGCCATGGAGACACTTGTACAAGCAGAGCTGCTTTAAAGTTTATTCTCTGAGGCACAGGAGCCAGTGCAGAGACCTGAGCACAGGACTTATGTGCTCGTACTTCCTAGTTCGAGTCAGGACCCGAGCTGCAGCGTTCTGGATGTTCTGGATGTTCTGCAGCGTCTCACAGCTCGTTTGGAGAGACCAGTGAGCAGAACATTACAGTATCTAACCTACTGGAGACAAACGCATGGATAAGTTTCTCCAAGTCTGATTTAGACAGTAAACCTTTGATTTTTGCTATGTTTTTTAGATGGTAAAAGGCTGCAGATGTTATTGACTTGATGTGGCTGTTAAAGTTCAAGTCTGAGTCCATTATTACCCCGAGATTTCTTGCCTGATTTGAAGGTTTTAGAGAGAGAGACTGGAGGTGACTGCTGACACTGTCTACACTGCCAAAGACGCAAAACTCTGGTCAGATCTGCTCAGGTCGCGTACACGTTTACGTCACATACATACAGTACACAGACACAAACATGTCGGATCATTTCCATGCGTCAGACCTCTAATAAACTTACAGGAGGCATCGCAACAAACGTACAGAACATGCAGAGATACAATTAGTGAACAGAGAAGGATCTGCAATCACCTCTGTCAAATTCTGGATGCACCAGTTCGTCGCAGGCGAGTCAGACGGATATGGACGACCTGACCTGGGATTCCACACACTTTTGCGTCTCCGTATGCGCGCAGATTTCCTCCCGAAACACTCGTCTAAACAGTCCAATGAGATTCATTTGGTCTTCCGATATTCTATGTTCCTCTCTCCCTACTCTCCGTTGTAAGAACACTGTATGACAGAACCAACATCATAACAGATGAACAAGACAAACAGGAAGAAGACAGACACATTCACAATGCGCTAAGGCAATGCCAATACCCAAAATGGGCAATAAACAAAGGGAAACAACAGGTTAAGGAGAAAGAAAAACAGAACCAGAGAAACAAAAACAAAACAGAAAAAATGAGCACAGGCATGGGAACATTACCATACATCAGGGGCATAACAGAAAAAGTACAGAGGGCGATGAAAAAACACAATATCAACACACCAGTGAAACCGTACAGAAAACTCAGACAAATACTCGTCCACCCGAAAGACAAAATAGAACCGGAGCATAAATGTAATGTCATATACGAAATACCCTGCATGTCCTGCAATAAAACATACATCGGGGAAACAGGGAGGGCGTTCAGCACACGAAAAAGGAACATAGAACAGAATGCGAGAAGGAAACAGCGAAGGCGAAACACGAGCAACAAAACACAAAGCAGAACAGGAACAACTCAAATCGGCCGTTTCTGACCAGTGTAAAAGACAGAACCACGTTATGGACCGAGATGGAGAAAACATCATTGGGACAGAGGAAAACAAACATCGCCGCTGGATTAAAGAGGCAATCGAAATACGGAAACGTGCCCACGGGACGATAAACCGGGACGAGGGGCTTTTTTACTCTCACACACCTGGGATACTGTCCTGAGGAAGTCGGACTGCAGGTGGCGCTGTCGTCCTGCCTCCACCGGTAGGAAAACAGCGCCAAAACCTGTTTAAATCAGCTGACCGGACACGTCACAGCAACATCACGTGACTCTGAGGAAGACGCTAGTGAGCAGTCGAAACTGTCAGGTATGAAACAAAACTCTAGGTCTGAAAAAAAGAACCTAATAACATAGGACACTCATCTAAATGCGGAATAAAAAGTGAAGACGCGACGCCACTTTTGTGTCTTCTTTTCAGACTGTCAACATATGAACGAGACTTAAAACACTCCATTGTGGGGGCTGTTCGGACATGGAGGGTAGAACGTTCTAGAGTTTGGGGCCAACCACAGAGAAGGCCCTGTCCTCCTGGTTTTAAAGTCTCATTTTAGGCGCCATGAGCTGGAGCTGGACCTGGACCTCAGAGCGTGCGGGGGTGAGATGTACTGCGGGGCCAGTCCATTCAAAACTTTAAAAACAAACAATAAAATCTAAACTACATAGGCTGTAAAGAGAGTATCCAGTGAGTTTAGGGATCTCTTGCCCATTCTCTGGCGAAGGGACCACTCTCTTCAGATCAGTCAGGCTGCGTGCAGACTGCAGCATGAAGTGACCCAAATCCGATTTTTTGGCCTCTATGTGACCTGTATCTGATCTTTTAATAACAGTCTGAACGACACAGATCCGATTTTTTCAAATGCGACCCAGGACACTTGGATATGTGGTCCTGAAACCGATACATATCTGATCTTTTGACATGCGACTTCAGTCTGAACGGCCAAAGCGCATTCATCCGACCTACACGTTATCAACAAACCACAAACGTCACTATTCTGCGCTGAAGTAGGCGAAAATTGTTAATGAACTCCGTGTCACTGAAGTGAAGCACATCACCACTCACCACTCTTGGCTCCGTCTCCACATCCACACGTTCCTTTCAAAACACCACATCCAAAAACCTCGTCCTTCTCCTTCTCAATCTCCTCCTTAAAACAAGTAAGTTGTTCATGTTCTGGCTCCGGTACGAGAGGAACTTTAAAATCTCCAGGTGCTCGATGCTGCGTCCATGTTTGGACAACTTCCGTAAACACAGAGACGCTCGCTGCGGTTGACGTCGTCGTGTCTCCAGTGCACACGCGGGACACTTTCGGGTCGTTTACTGTTCACACTGGAGTCACATACAAGTCGCATTTAATTGGAAATGTGAACGACCTCGCAAAAACATCGGATTTGACAAAAAAATCAGAATTGAGCGTTAAGCCCTGCAGACTGAACATAGCCTCAGTTACATACGGTTTAAATATTGAGTTTATTTCTTTTTTAACTCTCATATATGACCGTACTTTGCGCTAATGCATTGAGACTCTTGCTGAGGTGGCTGGACACATGTCTGCAAAATATGACATTAGATTCTCAGGGGTTTTTCGCCGACCCGTCTCGCCGCAGCCATTTAATTTAATAATCGGTGCCAGTGGCTGCTGCTTCCATTCATGATTTAAAAAAGTATTCAATTTACACACCGACCGAGTATGATTTTAACTTTATAAACCGTGAAATTTCATCAGTTCGAAGCGGAGAAAGCGCTCGGAGACATGATATCTCTCGGCGCGCGGTCGGCTGTCTTCCTCTGAGTGAAACTAAAATGGCAGCAGAACGGAGGCTCACGGGTGTATACGATGATGAGTACTACTTATACTTCTACTACTGCTACTACTGCGACTAACATAGGACCAAACTTGAATCTTGCTGAGACTGGTTTAGGTGATGGAAACTTTCTCAGGGAAATATTACATTACTTTCCTGGGAGATTTTTGTCTTTTTCCATATGAATGCTGCTGTTTTCATTTATTATTTAAAGACCACAGATATTACGCTGCATTTTTCTCCATCCGCGCTGGTTTAAAGTTCCACTATGTAACTTTTCGGTAGTGAGTTTGCTTGGAATGTTCCACAGTGTGACATTAAACAGCTCTACTTTACATTTATTTAATTACAGGTGGTTTTATAGCTCAAAAAATGCATAGAAAAACTGGCGTTCTGACTGTGAGCGGGGTCGCCTCTCCACAGATCTGACCTGTAACTTGGTCTGGTTTTGTCTCTATGAAGACAAAGCAGGAACATTTCCATAGACTAAAACAGGATTTAACCAGGACTAAAACAGGATTAAAACAGGAGTAAAACAGGATTTAACCTCGACTAAACCAGGACTAAACCCGGACTAAAACAGGACTAAAACCAGGACTAAAACAGGACTAAAACCAGGACTAAAACAGGACTAAAACCAGGACTAAAACAGGACTAAACCAGGACTAAAACAGGACTAAAACCAGGACTAAAACAGGATTTAAACCAGGAATAAACCAGGTCTAAAACAGGACTAAAACCGGGACTAAAACAGGATTTAAATCAGGACTAAACCAGGTCTAAAACCGGACTAAAACAGGACTAAAACCAGGACTAAACCAGGTCTAAAACCAGGACTAAAACAGGACTAAAACCAGGACTAAACCAGGTCTAAAACCGGACTAAAACAGGACTAAAACCAGGACTAAAACAGGATTTAAACCAGGACTAAACCAGGACTAAACCAGGACTAAAACAGGACTAAAACCAGGACTAAAACCAGGTCTAAAACAGGACAAAACAGGACTAAACCAGAACTAAAGCAGGTCTAAAACAGGATTAAACCTGGACTAAAACCAGGACTAAAACAGGACTAAAACCAGGACTAAACCAGGTCTAAACAGGATTTAAAACAGAATTTAAACCAGGACTAAACCAGGTCTAAACCAGGACAAAACCAGGACTAAACCAGGACTAAAACCAGGTCTAAAACAGGATTTTGGTTTGGTTCCAACCTAATATACTGTGGAACATTCTAAGCAGAGGAATGACATATCCGTAGAAAAACAAAGGTGACGGACTCCAAACCGTGAAACGAAGCTTAACACAAATACAAAGAAACCGTGCATATATGTGTTCTTTAACTTTCTAAACCATAAAAATCCATACTTTTGTGTCCCAGAAAGAGCTCGGGGACACGTCGTCTCTCGTTCCCCCTCGGAGTGAAGCGGAGGTGACAGCAGACCGGACGCTCGGGGCTGGACTTCATGTTAACGAGCCGTGTGTTTGTGGGTTTCAGACGAGCCCGCGGTGTTGGACATGACGGACGACTTGGACAGGAAGGCCGTGAGGATCGCCGGGAGCCTGGAGCCGGACACCGTCTCTCTGGCATCGGTCACCGCGGTAACCACCAACGTCTCCAACAAGAGGTGTGAGAAACAAAACAGACGGACAGGTTATACAGAACTGGACTCTGTGTTTAGACTTAGATTTAGATGAATTTTACTGATCCACGAGGGAAATTATTTTGGACACAGCAGCTCAAACATCACAGATATGTAGAATAATAACAAAGAGTAAATAATATAAGTGGTGATAATAAAAAATCAAATAAAATATATCTAAATAAGTAAAAAAGATAGAAAGAGACTGGTGCCAAATAAGGACAAACCTCCTCTCTCATATGTATCTCTAAACCAGAACTAAACCAGGTCTAAACTAGGTTTAAACCAGGACTAAAACGGGACTGAAACAGGATTTAATCAGGACTAAAATGAGGACTAAACCAGGACTAAACCAGGACTAAAACAGGACTAAACCAGGATTAAACCAGGACTAAAACTATGACTAAACCAGAACTAAAACCAGAACTAAAACCAGGACAAAACCAGGACTTAAACAGGATTTAATCAGGACTAAACTACGACTCTAAAATCAGGACTAAGACTGGACTAAACCAGGAATAAAAAGCAAAACTAAACCAGGACTAAAACTAGGACTAAAACAGGATTTAATCAGGACTAAACCAAAACTCTAAAACCAGGACTAAACCAGGTCCAAACCAGGACTAAACCAGGACTAAAACAGGATTAAACCAGGATTAAACCAGGACTAAACCAAGACTAAACCCAAAACTAAACCAGGTCTAAGTCAGGTCTTAAACTAGAACTAAAACCAGGACTAAACCAGGAATAAAAAGCAGAACTAAACCAGGTCTAAACCAGGCCTTAATTATGATTAAACCAGGACTATAACTAGGACTAAAACCAGGACTAAACCAGGTCTAAACAGGACTAAACCAGGATTAAACCAGGATTTAAAACAGGACTAAACCAGGTCTAAAACCAGGACTAAACCAGGTCTAAACAGGACTAAACCAGGATTAAACCAGGATTTAAAACAGGACTAACAACAAACAAAACAAAACAAACTCCAGGTCCATTTTGCGTAATATTGGACTTTTAAAATCTCTTTTAGTTAAAACCCTCAAATCAAATATTGCTTTTATTTTGATGAACTTTTTTTTTCTTCCAGGTCAAAGCCCGATATCAAGATGGAACCAGGCTCAGGTCGACCGCTGGACTACCAGGTCTGTGATCCTTCTTTCAGTCCAGCGTGTTTATTTTTACAACTTTTGCTGCCCTAGTTTTGTGTCCTCATTAATAAGAAAGCAGGATAAGTCGGGATGTGGAAGAGACGCTTTCTTCTCCTTCTCCTTCTTCTTCGTGTTTCCAAAGCTTTAATTAATCCCGTGAGACGCTCCTCCTCGTGCAGTTTGTCCATCACACGCTGCAGCTCGGAGGCCGGGGAGACACCAGACTCACGTCTCAGACCTAAATCTGTCCACAGAATCCAGACAGTGAGACGGCTGCCAGCGGCGTAGGAATCTGTGGATCAATCGTTCATTCATCGGAAAAAACGGATAAAAAGGGTTGTTTTCCCGTTTACGCGACTCCCGTGACTGAGATGACGGACTGAACCAGGACTGATCCAGGTCCAGACCGGGACCAGACCGAGACAGAGACCAGACCGGGACCAGAGCGAGACTGAGCGGGACTGAGACCGAGACCAGACCAGGACCAGACCAGGACCAGACCGAGACAGAGACCAGACCGGGACCAGGCCGGGACCAGACCGGGACCAGACCGAGACTGAGACCAGACCGGGACCAGACCGAGACTGAGCGGGACTGAGACCGAGACCAGACCAGGACCAGACCAGGACCAGACCGAGACAGAGACCAGACCGGGACCAGGCCGGGACCAGACCGGGACCAGACCGAGACTGAGACCAGACCGGGACCAGAGCGGGACTGAGAGCGAGACTGAGACCGGGACTGAGACCGAGACCAGACCAGGACCAGACCAGGACCAGACCGGGATCATACCGGGACCAGGCCGGGACCAGACCGGGACCAGAGCGAGACTGAGACCGGGACTGAGACCGAGACCAGACCAGGACCAGACCAGGACCAGACCGGGATCATACCGGGACCAGACCGGGACCAGACCGAGACCAGACCGAGACTGAGACCAGAGCGGGACTGAGAGCAGAACCAAGCCGAGACCAGACCGAGACCAGACCGAGACTGAGATCAGACCGGGACCAGAGCAGGACTGAGACCAGACCAGGACCAGAGAGGGACTAAGAGCGAGACCAGGACCAGGACAGGACCAGAGCGAGACTTAGACCGGGACTGAGACCGGGACTGAGACCAAGACCAGGCCAGGACCAGGCCAGGACCAGGCCGGGACCAGAGCAAGACTGAGACCGGGACTGAGACCATGGCCAGGACCAGGCCAGGACCAGGCCGGGACCAGAGCGAGACTGAGACCGGGATTGAGCTGAGGCTCGGACCCTGCGGAGGCTCGGAGTCAAACCTCGGAGTCAAACCTCGGAGTCCGCTCTGGTTCCGCTCTGGTTCCGCTCTGGTTCCGCTCTGGTTCCGCTCTGGTTCCGCTCTGGTCTCGGTCTGGTCTCGGTCTGGTCTCGGTCTGGTCTCGGTCTGGTCTCGGTCTGGTCCCGGTGTGGTCCTAGACCTGGATCAGTCCAGCGCAAAAGTTCGGCATCTCAGTCAAAAAAAATCCAGAAAAGTGTGGTTTTAACTTTCTGTTCTTTCATAGACGCAGGTGATGTAACATTTCTAGAAAGTTATGTGGTGTTTGTTTAACTATAACATTTTTATACAACCAGATCATGAGAAAATGAGAAAAAAATGTATTGTCTGGCCTTAATTCACAAATATTACATGTTATGAGATGCAAGGAATACAGGTGTTAGGTTACTTTTTTATTTTTCAGCATTGACATCTGTAATATTCTGCACATACACTGCACATTCCCTTTAGTATATTTCGAAAATGTTAAATATTCTTCATTCTTTTACATTTGTTGTGGTACATTGCTTGTTTTCGAACTATAAAAGATCAGAATTCTTTCATTAACATTATCAAACCTGCCCTTCAAACACACAACTTCAAGTATTTGCCCTTAGATAACAGATACTTTCTCGTACACAGTTACGTAACGCTTCACTTTTGTTCCCATGTTTGTATTTCTCTTCAGATCAGCATCACGATCATCGAAGCCCGGCAGCTGATCGGCCTGAACATGGACCCCGTGGTGTGCGTGGAGATCGGCGACGAGAAGAAGTACACGTCCATGAAGGAGTCCACCAACTGCCCCTACTACAACGAGGCGAGTACAATGAATACTGCAGTATCCTGAAGCCTGCCCTGCTGTTTTTGTGAAGTGGAATTATGGGGTTAAGTAGAAAACTGAAAAGCAAGAGTAAACAACCAACATGACAGAAAATAATCACTATTTTCGATCGATTTTACTTTTTATTTTCTTTTTTATGTAATCTTAAAGCGGACCTATTCTGCAAAATCGACTTTTCAGAGTTTTTAACCTTGTTCTAATTGTTTTTTTTTTTCATTTATCCTCTTGTATTTGTTTTTGGAGTGATTTCAGCATGTTTCACGGCCACTTACTTCTGTCTACAGTTTTATTTTCTAGGATCCGTCAGCGTTACGTAGTCATTTTGGTACAAATAAAAAAAAAAATCTACTTCTCAGCTCCCATCTGGCACCACAGTTTTTGAAAACAGAACTCAGCGAACTTGTTTCTTTTATGTCATTTACGTTGTTTTAGATGAATATTGTGTTTTAAAATGTCCAAATTAAAACGTAATGATCCAGGGACGTCAGGGATTATAACTACCGTATTTTTCGGACTATAAGTCGCTCCGGAGTATAAGTCGCACCAGCCAAAAAATGCGTAATGAAGAAAAAAAACCAAAAACATATGTTGCACTTTTTGGGGGGAAATGTATTTTATAAAATCAGAGATCAGGAACCGACATTTTATTATTTATTTTGAAAGTCAAGTTCTAGTAATAACAATAGAACAGAGTACAACAAACTATTAATGTATTTTTTGTTATTTAAAGCACTGAGTAATGGTCATTATTAGAACTGGACTTGGTGTTTTTCGCCCGCATAATGGGTGCAATGTTGGTCTTAATTTTCATTTAAGTGCTCTTAAAAAGGTTTAAAAATAGTCTTAAATTTGGGATAGTCAAACCTGGGGATATTCTGTTACTACTGTATTTTTCAGACTATAAATCGCTCCAGAGTATAAGTCGCAACAGCCAAAAAATGTGTAATGAAGAAGAAAAAAAACATATAAATCGCATTGGATTATAAGTCACAGTTTTGGGGGGAAATTTATTTTGTAAAGCCAGAGACCAGGAACCGACATTTCTTCTTGAAAGTCAAGTTCTAGTAATAACAATAGAACAGAGAACAACAGACTGTTAACGTCTCATATGAACAGTTCTTCAGATAAATATAACATAAACAACAGAACAGAACAAGTTTATCAAACTCTCCATCTCACTCCAAATCACTAAATCTATTGAACTTGGAGACCTCCAGAGGTAAACAGAGCGCCGCTTCCTTTTCTGCGTCGCTGTCGTCAGACTCAGCATCAGTTCCAGTTAGAATTATTCCAGCCTTTCTGAAATTGTCACTGAAGTCCAGGCTTTGTCGATCCCTCCAGTGACTTCCAGGAATGTTTCATGGCGCACCCTCCCGGTTACCAATGTGGTGACTGATATTCTCCATTTGAGGCCTGTGAACCTCATAGCCTCCTATAAGGTCTTAATTTATGGAGGAATTAAGTTCAGGGGGTCCATATTCCGAGAACTGTAAGATAAACATATAGGCAAATCTGGAAACTCTTAAAACTTTGGACAATGAGTGCGTATACATGCACATCAGTAACCCGGTTATTAGCCATACCCCGGTTATGTCAGTATTCGGGTTACTGCGTTTACATGCGCACTGAGAAACCGGGACACTCATATCCGCGTGTACATGATCAAATGGAGTATCCCGGTTTCTTGACATAATCTTACAAATGCGCAGGCGCAAAAATTAACTTAAATCAATTTCATAAACCAGGAAAAATACAAACCGTGAGCTCCTTTAGCATAAGAAGCTAAGGAGCTACGAGATCTCCCACAATCCACTGTGCAGATTCTTCATTAAAATCTTCTGCATAAATAAACTCAACTTTACAACATATAAACCATAAACACTATAGACACATCAGCCCGTTTGATCAGATAATTCAGCTGTGATCACATTTGTTTACGTTTTACAGAAACGAAACTTAAGACCGTTTGGCTAATTAGCATAAACTGTTAGCGGCGATAAAAACAACTCGCTCCTTGCGCCGCTGATGCGATCAGTTTCTTTTGGACTAAATGACACGACTCTGTGGATTATGTGTGTTATTTCTGTGACAGAAGAGGTGCTAATGATGGTAAGTGTGTTCCGTGCGTATAGAGTATAGGAGATAGTTCATGTTTTAGCTTTTCAGCGTCACACGAGTGCAGGTCGTACGAGTGCAGATTGTACGTGTGCAGGTTTAGCGCAGCTCTTTATTTTACAGTCATTTCACTCGTTTGGTCACTTTATTTATGTTGGTCAATTTATTTATGTGACTACTGTTGTGGTGAAAGGCTGGAAAGTGTCTTTTGGACGCATGCGCACTCAACTTTATGTTGCAGTAACTGAGGATACTGCGTATACATGCCACAAGTAACCCGGTTACTATCGGAATAAACCAGCTACAGTAACCCGGTTTCTAATAACCGGGATACTGCCATAACCGGGTTACTGAAACCGGGTTACTGCGTATACATGCACCATCAAGAAACCGGGATACTCAAAAAACCCGATCATAACCGGGTTATTGATGTGCATGTATACGCACTCAATAAGTGATCAGGTTGCGAAAGGGGACGGCTTATAGAAAATCTGAGAATATCTGATTTAGAGCTGTGTCTCATATTGGCCAGAGTTCGCCCGGACCTTTGTCTGTAATTAGGCTTTTTACTCTGTTTTTGTAATAAATAATACTACACTATTAGAGTTTGTTTTTGGATTCTTGTCTGAACACTCCACACCAACGCAGGAAGCATCACAGTCAGGTGAGCAGATGCATTGGGAATAATAAAATGAAGCTGTGTTGTTCATCCCCGCTTTCCTTCAGTCCCTCGCAAGTTTCGCACTCACTCCAAACTTTCTTTCTGCTGCTTGATCAGAGCTTTTGCCTGAATATTTCAAGACTTTCAGCAGGACAGAGGCTCTTTCTGCAGGAGACATGCACAGTAGAGCGAAGTGACAGAGGTACAGGAGGAACAAACCTAAAGCGCCCTCTCTCCTGTCAGTGTGGACATTTTAATATATAAGTCGCACCGGAGTATAAGTCGCAGGAAACACCCAAACCATTAAAAAAAGTGTGACTTATACTCCAAAAAATACGGTATAAATCAGACACAAGCACAACAGCTCTTCTTTAAAGGTCCAGAAATCAGATTATAATCACATTTTGAACTCAGGACTACTCAGAGTTACTTCAATATGACAAGTTTCAAAAAATTAAATGACTTAAAATTGAGAATTTAATACAAACCAAATGATTTAACGTACAGTATAATAGTGTAGTAACAAGGGTTGATGGTTCAATTCTCTCTCTTGAATACAGGATGCGGCTGTATATTGGAAAAAATACTTCAAACTGGGTCAAAAACTACATAAGTGATGAATATAGACAGACCGAGCTAAAACCTGATACATTATTTAGCGTTTTACATTTATTTTTCATATGGCCTTTCCAAAAACGGCGAGGACATATGAGTGTAAAAATCCTGGACGTATGCTCTCTCGCGGTGTCGTCTCTGTCGGTCTGGGGGTATGGATCTGCGGGGTTCGTGCTGTGCTGTGCCTGTAGAGCGCCCCCTGTGGTGCGGTGAGGAAGTGACAGTGAGCCTCATTGATTCTTCTGTCTGGAGTCGACACGAAGTAAACACCCGTCTGATGGACAGGGTACGAGATCGAGAGGTTCAGTTTAAGATTTTAGTCAATAACTGGAAAGAAAAGGGAGAAAATTGTGGTAAAATTACACACAACTATTTGTTTTTAAATTAATCTTGTATTTTATGATGTTGTTCTGTTTTATGGTTGTAGACAAATTATGTAATTAATACATCAAGTAACAGTAGTAGTAGCAGTAGTTTTTGTAGTAGTAGCAGTAGTAGTTTTAGTACTAGTAGAAGTACTAGTTGTAGTAGTAGTTATTGTTGTTTTTGTAGTAGAAGTAGTGGTAGTATTATCAGCAGTAGTAGTAGTTGTTGATGTAGTAGCTGTAGTAGTAGTAGTAGTATCATCAGTAGTAACAGTAGTAGTAGTTGTTGATGTAGTAGCTGTAGTAGTAATTATTGTAGTAGTAGTAGTAGTAGTAATAGTTGTAGTAGTAGTTGTTGATGTAGTAGTTGTACTAATAGTTGTAGTAGTTATTGTAGTTGTAGTAGTTGTTGTTGTTGCTGATGTAGTAGATGTTGTGTTGTAGTAGTTGTAGTAGTAATTGTAGTAGTAGTATCAGCAGTATTAGCAGCAGCAGTAGTAGTTATTGTTGTTGTAGTTGTAGTAGTTGTAGAAGTTGTTGTTGTAATAGTAATTATTGTAGTAGTAGTTTTAGCAGTAGTAGTAGAAGTTGCTGATGTAGTAGCTGTAGTAGTAGTTACTGTAGTAGAAGAATTAGCAGCAGCAGTACTACTACTAGTAGTACTATTAGTAGTAGTAGTACCTGTTGTAGTTGCAGTAGTAGTAGTAGCAGTAGTAATGGTAGTCACAGTAGAAATAGTAATAATAGTACTGCAGGTAATGTGAACCAGGTAATACATTCTGGCAATGAAAAAATATTTCATACTAGTTTACACATATACACTTTTTGATGATGGGTGAAGTGTCTTGCCACAGGACACAACAACAGAATGCGTTTGGCAGACGGGGATTTATCCATCAACCTTTGTATCTACTGCTGGATCTCCTCGGGTTTATGATTCCTTGTACCGTCGCAGTAGAAGATGTAACTTTGAAAGGTCACAGACTCATAATAAACCGGAGACAGAAAATGAAAACATGTCTGGATTTCAAACATGGACGGTTCTATTTTCTCCACGTTATAAATACATTCTATAGATGCAGCGGTGCGTTTAAGGAGCGCAGGATGTTTTGAATATGTCACTGTACACTGACGGCGAGTACTTTTTAATGAGGTAAATGAACTCCTCTCTTCTTCTCTTCTTCTCTTCTGCCTGCAGTATTTTGTGTTCGATTTCCACGTCCCGCCCGATGTGATGTTCGACAAGATCATCAAACTCTCGGTGAGTTTTAACACGATCAGAGTTGTGAAAAATTAAACCTGACAACTGAGAAAAAGGATTTAATGTGTTTTGTTCTGATGTTTTTAAACTTCATTTTGCATTAGGAGTAGCAGCAACAGCAGTAGTAGTAGTCCTGGTTTAGTCCTGGTTTAGACCTGGTTCAGTTCTGTTTTAATCTTGTTTTAGTCCTGTTTTAGTCTTGTTTTAGTCCTGGTTCAGTCTTGGTTCAGTTCTGATTTAGTCCTCGTTTAGACCTGGTTCAGTCCTGATTCAGTCTTGGTTTAGTCCTGGTGTAGTCCTGGTTTAGTCCCATTTTAGTCCTGGTTTAGACCTGGTTCAGTCCCGGTTTAATGCTGGTTTAGTGCTTGGTTAGTCCTAGTTTAGAGCTGATTCAGTTCTGGTTTAGTCCTCCTGGTTTAGACCTGATTTATTCATGGTTCAGTTCTGGTTTAGTCCTGATTTATTCATGGTTCAGTTCTGGTTTAGTCCTGGTTTAGACCTGGTGTAGATCTGGTGGAGTCCTGATTCAACCCTGGTTCAGTTTTGGTTTAGACCTACTTTAGTCCTGGTTTAGTCCTGGTTTAGATTTGTTTTAGTCCTGGTTCAGTTCTGTTTTAGTCCTGTTTTCGTCCTGGTTTAGACCTGGTTTAGTCCTTGTTTAGTCCTAGTTCAGTCCTGGTGTAGTCCTGGTTTAGTTCTGGTTCTGTCTTGGTTTAGACTTGTTTTAGTCATGGTTCAGCTCTGGTTTAGTCCTAGTTTAGTCCTGGTTTAGTCCTCCTGGTTCTGTTTTAGTCTTGGTTTAGTCCTGGTTCCGTCATGGTTCAGTCCTGGTTCAGTCCTGGTTCAGTTCTGGTTTAGACCTGTTTTAGTCATGATTTAGTCCTGGTTTAATCCTGTTTAAGTGCTGGTTTAGACCTGGTTCAGTCCTGATTTATGTTCTGTAGATGATTATGAACAGCATTAACGTTAATAACATGATTCCACATCGTTTTGAGTAAAAAAAAAACATCAAATATTACAGATTTTTTACTGGCATGAGCTAAAAGTGACTTTTTTTTTTTTTTCTTTTGGGGTGGAATGGGCGCGCTTCATGACGTCCTGAATCGCAAACCCCTACTTCAAAAATCCCCACTACACCACCGCATATACTCATCTATAACATAAGTCCTCAGCCGTCTCTCTCTGTGTCTGTTCAGGTGATTCACTCCAAGAACCTCCTCCGCAGTGGGACCCTGGTGGGCTCCTTCAAGATGGACGTGGGGACGGTTTACTCCCAGCCTGGTAACTCTCAAACTAACTCTGCGTTGATCACAGTCTTGGTTTATTTCTTGTGTAATTTCTGACTCATCTCCCGTCCGTCAGAGCACCAGTTCTACCACAAGTGGGCGATGTTGTCAGACCCGGACGACATCACGGCGGGGTGTAAAGGGTACCTGAAGTGTGACATCGCCGTGGTGGGCAAAGGAGACAACATCAAGACCCCGCACAAGGCCAACGAGACGGAGGAGGACGAGATAGAGGGGTAAGGAGGGGAGCTAGATCACTGTACAGGCCCCGTTTGATTCCATTTGTACTTTATTTTGTAATTTATTACCTCCGCCAAGGTAATAATGTTGCCGGCGTTTGTTGTTTGTTTGTTTGTTTGTCTGTTAGCAACATAACTCAAAAAGTTATGGACCAATTTTGATGAAATTTTCAGGATTTGTTGGAAATGTGAAAAGGAAGAACTGATTTCATTTTGGGGGTGATCCGGAAGAAATCCTGGATTCTGGATCACTTTGAAATTTTAGTTAACATTGTGGTAAATGGGGCCAAAAATTTGGTTTCTCAATATCTCGGTTAATTATTGACCAAACCCCATGAAATTTGACTCAGGGATGGACAATGGGATCCTCTTTCATATTCCAAAGGCTGATCCGGATCTGATCCAGAAGACTGATTTTATCGCAATTTATATAAAAAATGGGGGTAGTCCTTGGCGGAGGTCTGCGCTCTCTGAGTGCTTTTCTAGCTAAAATATGTAGCTATCAAAACACATAAAACACACAAATCTGTTTTTTTTTGCCCCTATGTGACCTGTATCTGATCTTTTAATGTTTTCAAATGTGACCCAGGCCAATTTAATTATGTTCAGACTAGGGATGGGCATGATTAATCGATTAATCGATAATTGATCATTAAGAATTTCATCGATTACGTTAATTTTAATCGACAAACCGAATGTAGGTTGCTGTGCGTAGCGTGACCAAACAGGGGTCTGTACATGTGTCTCTGCACTCAGAAGGAGCGAGCAAACACAAACAGTCGGTCAGTCTACAGTGTACCGAAGTGCATATGCGTATTTAACGATGATTTGTACAAGAAATTCCACGCTTTCCGTTGTGTTCGGGACAAGTGTGAGTCCATGTGCCCAGTGTATAAAGCAGCACATATGTTTCTGTGTCCAGTGGGAAGAAGCTTTGCCAGGTGAGAGTCGCTCAATGTCGATGACGAGTCCCCACCTCCCTCCCCCCGTACGGTGTCCTGGTTTTGACAAACGCAAATCTGGTCACACTAACCTGTATTCCACTGAGTCATGTCTTTTAATCCAACAGAAATTGAACCGCATCAGCGACACAAGAGCTGTAGTTTTATCTTCGCTGAGTTTATACAAATTAGCGATGCGGTTTTAAGTTTTGTTTCTGTGAAAGTTGCGCAAAACTGAATTAAACACATTATAATGTCAAACGGGCTGATGTGGCTCTAGAGTCGTTACGGTTTATATGTCGTAAAGTTGAATGTATTTATGCACATTAGTAGTGCAGATAGTAATAATAATGATGATCATTTTAATATAAAAACGTTAATGACTAATCGATAATCGATCGTTAATTCTTCCGACGATCGATTAAGAAAATTTCATCGAATGCCCATCCCTAGTTCAGACTGCAGGGCTTAATGCTCAATTCGGATTTTTTCTACGAAGTTGTTCACATTTCCAGTTAAATGCAACTTGTATGTGATCTCCAGTGTGAACTTTAAACACCCCAAAAGTGTCCCGCTCAGTGTTTACGGAAGTTGCCTAAACTCTGGGCTTGTCTCCCAAAATACGGTCCAGTTCTTTGTAAAATGGACAGGTTACACGTCCACAGCCGCTTCGTTTGTTTGAGTTTTTAGTCTCCTTGTATTTGGCTCGCAGGCTCTTTTTTTTTTTTTTGACATTGGAGCCAGGACCGCCTGTAACCGTGCTGGCAATCATTTCAAAAATTGTCCGGGTCCGATAAGATGCCTCCAATTTGTCCTGAATACAGCGATCCCCCCAAATATTTTTTAACTCACTAACCTCGCTTTCCCTACATTGACGAGACTCTGAGCCTGACGTGTAGGTGGGATGAATGTGACCTGACCGTTCAGACTGAAGTCGCATGTCAAAAGATTGGAAATGTATCGTTTTAGGAGCACATATCCAAGTGTCCTGGGTCGCATTTGAAAAAATCAGACCTGGTCATTAAAAGATCAGATACAGGAGCATAGGGGCGAAAAAATCGGATTTGGGTCACTTCAGGCTGCGGTCTGAACGTAGCCTTGGATATGTGCTCCTAAAACCGATACATATCTGATCTTTTGACATGAGACTTCAGTCTGGACGGTCAGGTCACATTCATCCCACCTACACGTCAGGCTTGGAGTTTCGTCAATGGAGGGAAAGCGAGGAGTCTTATCAGAACCGAGCGTTTTGGAAATGATTGCCAAAGAAATGACCGAGCGCGACTACAGACGGTTCTGGCTCCAGTGTCGATGAAAAATAAAGATCCTGCGAGTCAAATACAAGGAGGATAAAGACTCAAATAAACGAAGCGACCATGGACGTGTAACCTGTCCATTTTACAAAGAACTGGACTGTATTTTGGGAGACAAGCCCAGCGTTTAGGCGAATTGCGGGACACTTTTGGGGCGTTTAAAGTTCACACTGGAGATCACATACAAGTCACATTTCACTGGAAATGTGAACGACGTCGTAAAAAAAATCGGATTTCACAAAAAACCCCGAATTGAGCATTAAACCCTGCAGTCTGAACGTAGCCAGAGAGTCGAGAAAATACTGTTTATTGGCGTACCTTTTAGCCATCCATGAAAAAAGAAAGAAAAAAAAAAGTAATTTCCCTTGTGGATCAATAAAGTTTGTCAAAGTCTAAGTTTAAAATACAGAGATCCCAGCCTCCATAGATCATGGTCAAAAGACTGTTTACTTCCACAGTGCAACACCTGAGGACACTTTTCTTTACACTTATGTACGGCAGGTTATTGCACTACATAATGGTTCACAGTGACGGAGGAATAAACCTACCATATGGTACAAGATTAGGTTGAAAAACCTCTTACTTTTTGACTAATGAGATTTTTTATTAAGAAAAGTCATGGTAACGGAGGGAAAAGTAACGGAGGGAAAATTGTGCAAACAAGTAGAAGGTGCAGGATTTTACATAATTTGTCGCTTTTTTCTTCCAAATACTTTAATATTACTTCAAAATGAAAGGTAATTATTTCTATAAAATATGTCAGTCCTTCCAAGCAAATTTTTATAATTTTAAATACTTTTTTTTTTTTTTTAAAGATGGAATAACACAAGATATGATGAAATACATCCATTTATTTACATGATTTGCAGGTCTTTGAAATTTGGGAAATAATTTTTGTTCCATGTTTCATACATGGTCTGTTTAAAAATGTATGTAACTTTAGAACCAAAAATGGTACAGAAAAAAGGTCAACAGTTTCATAAACTAGAGTACATATGTATCTGTTCAATACATTTTTATATCAGATGCATTAACTTGAATTTTTGACCTTGCTGTTTACTTCTACTTGACCGGGCCCATTAGTAGAACAAAAATGTATTAATTCATATTTTTTATTTTTGCCCAACCCTAAAAAATACATTCATAGCTTAATTCATGTCTGGTTTGATTGATGTTAACTGCTTGTTCATTTAACTGCAGAAATCCACTTCTGTCAATCTGGAGCTTTGTAAATCCGTTAAAAGGCGCAGACTTTCTTCTCTGTTTGATAATGTGTTCATCCCAGCGCCACAATAATCCACAAGCTCTGAAACTCCAGTAAAGTTTGTTCACTGTGGCCCACGGCTTTACTTTCTAGGGAATTCTGAGCCGCGACCGGTGCCAGGATGGGATTTGGAGGTGCATTCTGGGACTGCGCGACGACAACTGCAGGAGCTCTGTATATTTGTCCTCCCTACAGCCACGTATAAAACATTCACATTTCTCAATACTGTCTCACCAAACCTATTACCAGTATTTCCCAGGCTGCTTTCCTCTCCCCTATCAGCCCAAACCTGTAATCTAATCGAGCATTCTGGCTTCTCCGAGCGAAAAGCCACGAGCGATATAACTCTCAGTGCTATTCCATTTTCTACCGTGGTTAAATTGGTCAAATCCAGCAGTCAGGATTTGAGGAAAGGCAGAATTGTGGACCCAGATAAGCAGAGAATTGGTCTTTACCAGAAATGTCCCTGTACCGGCGTCATCTATTCACCACGGTTTACTGCCTTCCCCCCGTACGAGTCAAATCAAGCGCCAGGGGATTTTCCTGCTGGCCTGGTTCAGAATGTGTTATAGACAGTGTTGGGAAGGTGACTTTTAAAATGTATTCCTCTACAGATTACAGATTACATACACCAAAATGTAGTTTGTAACGTAATCCATTAAATTACTTAAAGTGAGTAACGTAATCTGAATACTTTGGATGACTTGATTTGCTGTAGAGAAGCAAAGACAAGAATATCATAACATAAGATGTTGCTAAAAAGACAAGAAAAAGCCCAGACTTTACTTAACCAGATTAAAAATATTATTGATAGAAGAGGAGGAGACACGGTCCACACAGCATGGTTTAGTCCTGTTAAATCCTGTTTTAGTCCTGGTTTAGTCCTGGTTTAGACCTGGTTTAGTCCTGGTTTAGACCTGGTTTAGACCTGGTTTAGTCCTGGTTTAGTCCTGGTTTAGTCCTGGTTTAGACCTGGTTTAGTCCTGGTTTAGTCCTGGTTTAGACCTGGTTTAGTCCTGGTTTAGACCTGGTTTAGTCCTGGTTTAGACCTGGTTTAGTCCTGGTTTAGACCGGGTTTCTGGTTTAGACCTGGTTTAGACCTGGTTTAGTCCTGGTTTAGTCCTGGTTTAGACCTGGTTTAACTGGTTTAGTTTAGACCTGGTTTTGGTTTAGACTGGTTTAGACTGGTTTAGACCTGGTTTAGTCCTGGTTTACTGGTTTAGACCTGGTTTAGTCCTGTTTAGACCTGGTTTAGTCCTGGTTTAGTCCTGGTTTAGACCTGGTTTAGTCTGGTTTAGACCTGGTTTAGTCCTGGTTTAGTCCTGGTTTAGACCTGGTTTAGTCCTGGTTTAGACCTGGTTTAGACCTGGTTTAGTCCTGGTTTAGTCCTGGTTTAGATCTGGTTTAGTCCTGGTTTAGACCTGGTTTAGTCCTGGTTTAGTCCTGGTTTAGTCCTGGTTTAGTCCTGGTTTAGACCTGGTTTCTGGTTTAGTCCTGGTTTAGTCCTGGTTTAGATCTGGTTTAGACCTGGTTTAGTTCTGGTTTTAGTTCTGGTTTTAGTCTGGTTTAGTCCTGGTTTAGTCCTGGTTTAGACCTGGTTTAGACCTGGTTTAGACCTGGTTTTAGTTCTGGTTTTAGTTCTGGTTTAGTCCTGGTTTAGTCCTGGTTTAGACCTGGTTTAGACCTGGTTTAGACCTGGTTTAGTCCTGGTTTAGACCTGGTTTATCCTGGTTTAGACCTGGTTTAGTCCTGGTTTAGACCTGGTTTAGTCCTGGTTTACTGGTTTCCTGGTTTAGACCTGGTTTAGTCCTGGTTTACCTGGTTTAGACCTGGTTTGGTTTAGACCTGGTTTAGTCCTGGTTTAGTCCTGGTTTAGACCTGGTTTAGTCCTGGTTTAGACCTGGTTTAGTCCTGGTTTAGACCTGGTTTAGTCCTGGTTTAGACCTGGTTTAGACCTGGTTTAGTCCTGGTTTAGACCTGGTTTAGTCCTGGTTTAGTCCTGGTTTAGACCTGGTTTAGACCTGGTTTAGTCCTGGTTTAGACCTGGTTTAGACCTGGTTTAGACCTGGTTTAGTTTAGTCCTGGTTTAGTCCTGGTTTAGTCCTGGTTTAGTCCTGGTTTAGTCCTGGTTTAGACCTGGATTAGTCCTGGTTTAGACCTGGTTTAGTCCTGGTTTAGACCTGGTTTAGACCTGGTTTAGTCCTGGTTTAGACCTGGTTTAGTCCTGGTTTAGACCTGGTTTAGTCCTGGTTTAGTCCTGGTTTAGTCCTGGTTTAGACCTGGTTTAGACCTGGTTTAGTCCTGGTTTAGTCCTGGTTTAGTGTCCAGTGATGAGTGGAATTACCAAAAAAAAAGAAAAAAAAGAAAAAGGGATTTAGCTCAAAATGTGAAAACAGGAAAATACCTCTGTGTAATCCAGTTACATTAACAAAGTAACTGTAATCCAATTACCACTCACTGAAACAGTAACTTTAACTGAATACAGTTACTCATAATTTGTACTCTGATTACGTAACTCCGGTACATGTAATCTGATACTCCCCAACACTACACATAGAAAACTTTTCTGTTACCTAGTCAGGTGCACAGTACTTCCCTCCAAAACTAGAATGCTCCACATCATCGTCGGAGCACTTGCTGCAGGCTAAGCCCCGGGGCAGAAGAAAGCAGCGGGGATCCAGAGCAGGTGTCCACACTAGGCAGAGAAAACACCCAGCACAGTCGAACGGTACCGGATCTGTGGGGAGCGAGCGATGTCTGCATCTGGTTCCTATCTGAGCATGAGAGGCCATCACCGGCACAGTGCTGTGACACAATTTTTCCCACTCGAGATGCCCGTACTTACTCATACATACTCTTCGGCGTGAGCAGATCCTTCATTCCATCACCTGTATCGAGGATGGAGATTGTGTCCGGTCTTGGCCCGAGCGTCCAGTGGACTAGTGCATGCGCAGTCACTCCAGATAACCCTGCTTAACGCACGCTCCATAGTGAATAAATCCTTCATACTGAGCGACTTGTTTTGTCAACACTTGGATTTCATGTTCCTGACTGAGACATGGCAACGTGAACTGTAACTTGGTCTGGTTTGGTCACTGTGAAAATAGAAAGGTTTAATACCATTCTGTGAAATAGGGATGGGCATTCGATGAAATTTTCTTAATCGATCGTCGGGAGAATTAACGATCGATTATCGATTAATCATTAACGTTTTTATATTAAAATGATCATCATTATTATTACTATCTGCACTACTAATCTGCATAAATAAATTAAACTTTACGACATATAAACCGTAACGACTCTAGAGCCACATCAGCCCGTTTGACATTATAATGTGTTTAATTCAGTTTTGTTCAAACTCTCACAGAAACAAAACTTAAAACCTGCATCGCTAATTTGCATAAACTAAGCGAAGATAAAACTACAGCTCTTGCGGTCAATTTCTGTCGGATTAAAAGACACAACTCAGGTGAATACAGGTTAGTGTGACCAGATTTGCGTTTGTCAAAACCAGGACACCGTACGGGGGGAGGGAGGTGGGGACTCGTCATCGACATTGATCGACTCTCACCTGGCAAAACTTTTTCCCACTGGACACCGAAACATATGTGCTGCTTTATACACTGTGCACATGGACTCACACTTGTCCCGAACGCAACGGAAAGCGTGGAATTTCTTGTACAAATCATTGTTAAATACACATTTGTGCTTCGGTACACTGCAGACTGACCCACTGTTTCTGTTTGCTCGCTCCTTCTGAGTGCAGAGAGACACATGTACGGACCCCTGTTTGGTCACGCTACGCACATCAACCTACATTCGGTTTGTCGATTAAAATGTATGTAATCAATGAAATTCTTCATGATCAATTATCGATTAATCGATTAATCATGCCCATCCCTACTGTGAAACATTCCAGGCAAAGCAATGACATCTCCATGGAGAAAAGCAGGTGACTGGTCTTCCACCTAGAGCCTCCGCTCAATTTCATTTCTCTCCAGCGATTAGGTCAGGAATCAGAATACACTAGACGGTTTGCAAGAACCCCAGAAGTTGTAGACCGTGCACCAGCCAATCAGCAAAGAGCTGTGAAGTCATGACGTCAAACTCAAGTGCCTGTCTGGGTCCGTTTGTGGAAGCGGTCGAGATGGATGTAGAAGAAGACAGACATTCTGTGTTGGCAACGATTCCTGAGATCGAGGATTTAAAGCCTGAACAAAGAGAATGTTTGGTGAATTTTATCAAGGGGAAAGATGTTATTGCCCTTTTTCTTATGAGTTTTGGCTCATTACAAACGTCACGACCAAACAGCAGCGATTGGTTAAATGAAAAATGTACCTGCCTACCGTCGAGCAAAGGAATCCTACTGCTGCTATGAATCAGGTTTATCACACCCCCAGGGAATCTTGATGTCACCAGCTGCAAAGTATCATATATGTTCTATAGTATATGCGTATCTACAGCTTTCCTTTTTCCATTCAAAAACACCCTGAATCTCATTTGGTATTCTATCCCAGCTTAAATTGACTGGAGTCCAAATAGCTTTTTAATAGCTTTCTTCTAGCGAGTCATTAGAAATCCATTGCACATTATGGAATATAGACTTATGCAATGACTCTATGCCTCCGTTTTTCCCCCTGTGTCTGTCCCCAGGAACCTGCTGCTCCCCGAGGGTTTTCCAGCTGAGAGACAGTGGGCCCGGTACTACGTGAAGATCCATCGGGCCGAGGGTCTGCCCAAGATGAACACCAAGATCATGGCCAACGTCAAGAAGGCCTCTCAGCGGGGAGAGCCGAGATCTGGTGGACCCCTACGTGCAAGTGCAATTCGCCGGGCTAAAAGTAATTTCCTCCACACGCTCCGCTCTACTGGCAGAGTCTGGTCCAATCACACTGTGGGCTGGTTTAGGTTCAGTCACACTGCGCTGAATGTGGCTCTGAATGTGGCTCTGAATGTGGATCTGTGTGGAGGGGCCAGGAGGAGCAGATAAGATCAATTTAAAATGGTATAAACAGCCGTAAAAGAAGATGAACCTGAGGATTGCTGTCTGCTTTAGATCGTTTTAGAGATTGTGTACTACCAAGTCATTGCAAATTTGAGGTGTCTAGTGTGCAAACGACTGAACAGAACTAAGAAACTGCAGTTACTCTACGTCAAAATATAGATAAGTAAATAAATGTTAGTAAACACAAATTAGATTTCATTTCATTTTCATTTCAAAATATGTGGTTACTGTATAAATCAGCGGACACGTCACCGTAACGTCACGTGATCGCTTTGAGGAAGGGCGCTAGTGACCAGTCGAAACCGTCAAGTATGAAAACAAACTCTTGGTCTGAAAAAAGAACCTAAGAACATAAATTATCAGAGGACAAAATGAACCTCATTGGACCACTCTTCTTAGCATTGCTACTTGTGAAAAACAACAACTGAAATAACATATTTCATTCATTATGGCACAGCACATATAAGATTAAGCTTAGTCCACATCAGGGGTGTGCAAAAATATCAAAATATCCATATATCGTATCGTTTAATGTAATGATACAGCGGTGCCTGATATTGATACTGTATCGATATATCGCCAAGTTTATTTTTTGATATATTTTACTAAATTATTTCGTTACAGTGCTACAGTTTTGTTGCTTGTTCAGAGGAAAATAATTTATGCGACACATGTGACATTTTCACTGTTTTGATGATTAAAATGTTTGTGTTTCATATGAACTTTGCACAAGAAGTGGTTTAACAAAGACTTTTAGTATCACAGCCACGATTTAGCCATAATTTTTTTGTGAATGTATCGAATCGATTTGAAATATATCGTATCGAGCCGAAAAAGCACTGTATCAAGATATGTATCGTATCGTGACCTTTGTATCGAAATATGTATCGTATCGGCAGCTTCATAATGATACCCAGCCCTTGTCGACATAGGGTTGGGCAATTTGATTAAATCTGATTAATTCGTGTTTTTGATAATTGAGATTTTGAAAAATTGCAGAATCATGAAATCAACTTTCTTCAATTCAGTTCAGTTCCTTTATTGTCATTGTCATATAAAATAACAACAAAATTACGTTAGAGCATCATACAGACTGCATAGTGTTTTAAAAATGCATAACAGTGTAGAGCACCCACCACGTAAACATTACACCCACCACGTAAACATTACACCCACCACGTAAACATTACACCCACCACGTAAACATTACACCCACTATGTAAACATTACACCCACCACGTAAACATTACACCCACCACGTAAACATTACACCCACCACGTAAACATTACACCCACCACGTAAACATTACACCCACCACGTAAACATTACACCCACTATGTAAACATTACACCCACCACGTAAACATTACACCCACTATGTGAACATTACACCCACCACGTAAACATTACACCACTTGTAAACATTACACCCCACCACGTAAACATTACACCCACCACGTAAACATTACACCCACCACGTAAACATTACACCCACCACGTAAACATTACACCCACTATGTAAACATTACACCTTCACCACGTAACATTACACCACGTAAACATTACACCACATTCACCCACCACGTAAACATTACACCAACGTAAACATTACACCCACCACGTAAACATTACACCCACTATGTAAACATTACATTACACCCCTAACGTAAACATTACACCCACCACGTAAACATTACACCCACTATGTAAACATTACACCCACCACGTAAACATTACACCCACCACGTAACATTACACCCACTATGTAAAACATTACACCCACATGTAAACATTACACCCACCACGTAAACATTACACCCACTATGTAAACATTACACCCACTATGTGAACATTACACACCCACCACGTAAACATTACACCCACCACGTAAACATTACACCCACTATGTAAACATTACACCCACTATGTGAACATTACACCCACCACGTAAACATTACACCCACCACGTAAACATTACACCCACCACGTAAACATTACACCCACTATGTAAACATTACACCCACTATGTAACATTACACCCACCACGTAAACATTACACCCACCACGTAAACATTACACCCACTATGTAAACATTACACCCACTATGTAAACATTACACCCACCACGTAAACATTACACCCACCACGTAAACATTACACCCACTATGTAAACATTACACCACTATGTAACATTACACCACGTAAACATTACCCACGTAAACATTACACCCACTATGTAAACATGAATATAATACTAGTAATAATATCAGTGCAGCAGCAAAGGGGCAGATCAACAAATCACAACAAAACAACCATAAGAACTGGGACATCCAGGCCATGGGGCGACCAGTCAGATGTGTATTTAAATGTATTTAAATGTATTTAAATGTATTTAAATGTATTTAAATGTATTTAAATGTCCTGTTGCAGCAATACAAAGTCCAGTTCACAGTTATTGTAATGGGTGGATATGATTTACAGACCGTAAGAGGAGAGAAAGGGGGCGGGGCAGTGTTCAGGAGCTTCACCGCCTCAGGGTCCAGGTTGTGGGACAGTCTAGATCACAGGTGTCAAACATACGGCCCGGGAGCCGGATCCAGCCCTCCAAGACCTTTAATCTGGCCCTCGGCTGATTTTCTACTAAAATATTTAAATTATATTTCCTATTAAAATATTGTTAATTTTCTGTGGTGTTTATCACAGCATATCTCCAGCGTCTCTGTACGTGGCCCCTCCCACCAGAGCAGCACAAATGAAGACTTGTCTCTTTCCAAACGCTCTTAAAGGACGATCGTTTTGACTGTTGACCGTGACACCCTCATCAACAAAAAAAAGAAAAGTGGAGTCGAGTGCAGGATTTTCCAAGAAAAATTGACTTATTCCTATTTGCAAACAAGTTATTGTTAAAACATTGTGTTGAAATTACATTTTTTTTAAGTTTCAAGTTGTTCATAATATTATAATATTTTGTAAAAGAAAGAGTTCATCAATTAAAAAAGATTTCTGTAATAGATTTGTGTTTCTCTGCACAAATATTTGAACTTATTGCTATTTTTGGGTTTATATGCCATGAGTTTTCTGACCCCTTTGGGATCAAAGTAGGTTGGATACGGCCCTCGGACCAAAATGAGTTTGACACCCCTGGTCTAGATGTTCAGGGTTCTTGTGCAGTTACAATTAGCTGTCTGTACAAATGTTTTAGTTTAGTCTTTACTTGAAGGGATAATGTGCAGAGACATTAAAGCTCATAAAACAGAGTTACTGAATGTGACTGAAGGCAGTTTACAATGTTTTAAATAACAGCCTATGATACAAATGAAAATGTAAAGATCTTCCCCCATTTGAAAGACTACCACAAACATCTCTGACTTTGATTCAGATTAATTAAAATTGTAATTGTCCAGTGTTTACAAAAAAAAAAAAAGAGAGATTTTCTATTTGGCCAAGCCCTATAGTCCCACAATATGTATATTACAGTGGCCATGCTCATTTACACGATTTACGATGATTTAAATGACATGCAAATATAAACTCTGATGTGAGAAATCAGTCCTTAATTATAAACACTATTTCCTGTGTTCCAGGGGAAAACCTCAGTGCAGAAGAGCAGCTACGAGCCCATCTGGAACGAGCAGGTGGTGTTCACGGAGCTGTTCCCTCCTCTCTGCAAACGCATCAAGGTCCAGATCCGCGACTCGGACAAGGTCAACAACGTCGCCATAGGAACGCACTTCATCGACCTGCGCAAGATCTCCAACGACGGCGACAAAGGTGCGACCGGGAAACGCCTCCGGGAGCGCGTTAGCAGTTTATCTCGCTTCCATCGATTTTCTATTGTGGCGTTAATTAGCAAGCGGAGGCCAGTAGTTACTCGCGTGAACGCAGTAATTAGGCCTGTCCTTTTCCAGATCGAACCCGGCGACCTCCCTGACCTCTCCGGTTATAACCCTTATAAATTTATTATATGTGACATTTTAATCAAGAGCTGGTCAATAGTTAACATATTAGACAGAGCGCAGTGATTGGACAACAGGGAAAAAGAGCCGGACCTGCATATATTATCACGTTCTATAAACATGTGATTGGAAATAAATCCAATTACTTATAATAATCATTAATATTCATGTTCAATTCAAATATTTCCTGTGTTTGACAAGGAAATAACAACACCGAAAAAGGAAGGTATGAAGGGACAGTGACGATGAATCTATTAAATTACTGTACAGTTTTAAAGATTTATTAGTATGACAGACCATAGATCAATGTTTCTCAAACTTTTTTTCTGGGGACCCATAATTTAAAAGTCACAAACCTTCGTGATCCAAGTCAATAGACATTATTCATAAATTATGAACATTAATGAGGATATTTTTTATTGTTGACTGAGTGATCGTGTCTCTGAACAATTAATATTACTCAAGTTTTAAACAATGAAAAACAGTCGCTGAAGCAGCAATAAAAGGATCAATAAGTCGCCTATTTGGACATTAAAAGTAGCCCATTTCTTTTTCTTTTCAACATTCAATTGAACCAACAATATTGGAACAAAACACTCAATAAAATAATTACAAAAAGATCAGAAATTATACAAAACATGTTTTAACATTTCAACATTTCTAATAAGATAGGTTGGACACGTGCTGCGTTTTTGTAGCACTTTCCAGTCTGGGATGCAGAAGAAGAGGTATCCCCCTCCCCAAATCTCCTTGAGCTTATAAACTTATACCTGGGCAATGTCCTTGTTGCATGCAAGAAAAAACAGCATATTAATTTTTTGAGGTTTGAGAGATGACCGTGGAGTTACAATATTTCCAGCGGCACTGAAACTCTCTCTGATAGTGCGCATGTTGTACAGATGCACATGTATTTGCATGTGACTTTGGAGAGGAGAGGAAATCTACCTTTGGAAAAAGTACCGCTGCCGTCTCTCCAGCTCTCACTGTGGCAGGTCGGGTCACGTTGGTCACATACGGTGGTGGTGATGGCCCAACATGACGCGCAGTGGACCTCTTAGTTCCGCGGTGATTCATTTTTGCGGTTATTGCGACAGTCCTACCTGAGGGTTCACTCCAGGGGAAACAATGTCATAGACTGTATAAAAAAGTGGATTAAAAAAGTGAGTGTGACGTCACCCATAGCCTTCAGCTCCAGTCAAATGAAGCTCACTAAGGCTGGAAGTTACAGGAGCGATTTTGGATCTGAGTTCCATATTAGGAATAGGAATTAATTTACTTTAATTAATATACTGAACTGTATTTGAACTCTTTGAAGAACACATTTTCTACATTCTTGTGATTTAATTTGCTTTTGGTCACCCTGGGAAAGATTTTCACATTTTCTAACTTAAAATCCATTCCCTCCGCTGAAAATTAACAAGTAAAGAATGAGTTTGGTGTTTGAGCTTAAAAACTGCAGTCCAGAGTTTAATCTGTGACGCAACTAAACAGGCAAAATGCAAAGAGACCGCTTTTGAAGTGAACATGGACACGCTTTTGGCTCTATCCTCTCTGGTGTCACTTCACTTTCTATTGAAAAAAACGTTCCCTCTCTCTTTGTAACTGCTGCTGTCAGGCTCTTCATTTTGGTCTTAAAATGTTCGTATTAACCTGCTCTACACGATCCTGTTGTTTTTATTTCACTCATTTTGTCCATGAATCAATTCGTATTAGTAATAAGAAACTCTGAGCTTCATTTGACGTCACACTCACTTAGTCCAGTTCTTTACACTGTCTATGATTCAGAAAAAAAAAAAAAAAGAAAAATGTCGCAGCATGAGGATGAGGTGGTAAACAAGTACAAACCAGGAGCATTTTTCAGGCTGTTTCTCTCAAAGTGCCACGCCTCCGAAGCTTCCTGCAAATTAAAATTGGAGATTTGGTCATTTGTCTCCATATTATTATTAGAGCGGCTCTTATAATGACTTATACGCACACAGATGATCATTTAGTGTGAGGGACGAGACAACAAACTTAAGTTCAAGTATGTGAGGAGAGGAAATAGGCACAGAAAATATAAATACGCTTAAGAATTGTGTATTCTAACACATACTGTAAGTGTGACTTCCATCAACTAGAAAGCTTTGTACTTCTACTGAATAAAATAGGATGGTGCCCCAGGGCCGTAACCCAGGGCACTATATAGAAGACATTCCCACTGCCTGACAGAAGTGTTTAAATTCAGAGAAAACGCTCGGATTAACCTGGTGCCCTCTATACATTCCACAGAGGATCTAACTGTTATTTAGCATTTAGCCCACGCGAGCAACTATAGACTCTGTAAATACACTGGGTTTATTAGAGTGATTGTTTTTGTTCAAAAGGAAAAGAGACCACCTCATCGAACAGGGTCAATATAACAAGCAAAAAAAACAAACTTACAATTTCATTTCCAACTTACTGACACCATGACCAAAAATTGTGAATGTTTAAAAATATTTACTTAAAGGTACAGTATGTAACTTTCTGGGATAGCATGTCTCCTGCTTCAAAACATTTTCTTGCCATACAGTGGAAGATTATTAATCAGGCTGGCACCACCTTAGCTTGATTCATCAGCCGGTTTCACTTCGTGGAAACCGTCTGACCTCGCAGCATTAGGATTCGTTCGCTCAATAGTAGGAGGATATTTATTTTATTTAACCAATCGCTGCTGTTTGGTCGTGACGTATGTAATGCGCCAAATCCTGTAGGAAGAAGGGCAATAACATCATTCCCCTTGGTAAAATTCACCAAACATTCTCTTTGTTCCGGCTTTAAATCCTCGATCTAAGGAATCGTTGCCAACACAGAATGTCTGGCCCTTCGTTACCTGGACTCGCACTTCCGGGTTTCTTGCAAACCGTCTAGTGTATTCTGATTCCTGACCTAGTCGCTGGAGAGAAATGAAATTGAACGGAGGCACTAGTGACACCAGAGAGTTTGCAGGAACCCCTGAAGTTGTAGACCACACACCGGCCAATCAGCAAAGAGCTGAACCAACCCCGGTTGCGATTGCAGACTTCATACACTATCCTCCTTTGGACTTCCTTTGTCAAATACAAACTTCACATTTTTTATTGCACCTTTAATTTGCACGTTCACCTCGCAGAAATGACAGTGATCTCTGACAGACACGTTCACTCCCTGCTTTTTTTGCTGTTAGTTACGGCAATTACTCGGACACCACTGAGCGTTCTGCGTCACGGCCAAATAGCGGCGATTGGTTAAATTTAAAAAGTACCCGCCTACCGTCAAACAAACGAATCCTAATGCTGCGAGGTCAGACGGTTTCCACAAAGTGAAGCCGGCTGATGAATCAGACTAGAAGATTATAGCCAAAGGAACAACATTTCCATGGACACAAGCAGCCAAATATAAGTCAGGTTTGTGGAGATGCAAACCTGCTATAAACCAAAAGAAAGAAAAAAAAAGCTTTTATCTTATCCTATTCTTTGGCTAAAACGTGATATACTGTGGCTGTATTTCATAATATGAGCCCCATTCCTCTAGTACGTGACCAGCTTTGTGAAATCACCCTATCGTGACGTCCAGTTACGACCCATGACTCAAGAGTTGCAATGTGCCGTAGAGCTGTCACGCGTCCCTACAGAATTATCCGATCATATGAGGAAAAAAAATCAAAGTTCCATCCCAGAGTGACCCCTTCGTGTGTGCGCAGGTTTCCTCCCCACGCTGGGCCCGGCCTGGGTGAACATGTACGGCTCCACGCGTCAGTACAGCCTGATAGACGAGCACCAGGACCTGAACGAGGGTCTGGGGGAGGGCGTGTCCTTCAGAGCGCGCCTGCTGCTGTCTGTGGCCGTGGAGATCCTGGACACCACCTCCCCAGAGCTCACCTGCTCCACCGAGGTCCAGAGCGAGCCCATCTCCAACATATCCGAGGTCAGACACACACACTGTACATTTTACATCATTTTTTGTTTTATTATTTTCTCATAGTTAAAGGTGCATCGTTTAACTTGGTTGAGGATCTATTACCTGCTTATTTCTGTGGATATGTCATTGTTCTGTCTAGAATGTTCCACAGCACAGTTGGGGACTTGCGACTCGTGACTTGGACTCGAGTCAGACTTGAGTCACTATTTTTAGGACTTGAGACTGGATAAAATGGACTAAGACTTGGGACTCGACTTGGATTGAAGCTCAATGACTCGGGACTTGAGGACTTTTCTCTTTACAGTTTGATACATGCGGTGCTGAATTTTAAAGGAACACACTGGAACATGTCTCTCCCACTTCTCTGTTACTATGGCAACAGTAACTGAAGTACTGTGATGTGGTATCCTCAAGTGTACTACAGTTATATACAGAACAATACAGTAAAACAGAGGGAACTACAGACAAAATAACAGTTATTTAGCACTCTTACATCTTAATTCTTTCTGTTTTGACTGTAATCATTTGCACTAAATTCTTGTCAAAACATTTAAAAAGGAAAAATTTGCATTTCTAAAACCCTCATATAAATACACATATATAAATATACTATGATTTTATAAGTACAGTTTAGTTTAAAATTCATACAAACAGCAAAAATCTAAGCTATATTTGGGACTTTTTTGGTTTAAAGACTTGAAATGACTTGAAGCTCAAAGCAGACGACTTGGACTTGACTTGGACTTGCCTGTATTTGAATTGGGACTTGACTCAGACTTGAGGTCAAAGATTTGAGACTTGCAAAACAACGACTTGGTCCCACGTCTGTTCCACAGTGTGACATTAAACAGCTCTGCCTTATATTTATTCATTATCAGTTGGTTTTGTAGCTCAAAAATACCTAGAGAAAACCACATTCTGACTGTGAAGAAAGGTTTAATACCACACTGTGGAACATTCCAGACAAAACAAATATGTCTCCATGAAGAAAAAAACATTTGATGGAGCAGAAAAGTTACAAAATGCACCTTTAAATCCTTGTTGGTTCACAGTAAGTACCACTTTACAAACATTTGGTATTCTGAGTACCAACAGTTTCAAACCAGGACTATTTCAGGCTTGAACTAGCGGTGAACCAGGTCTAAAATAGGACTACACTCTCTGCTGTACTAGTTTTAAACAAGGACTACAAAAGATTTAGATTAATAGAGTATTAATACTTTGGCTCTAAATTCAGCAAATATTTGAACTGCTGCAGAGTCTCTACCATCTGAGCTCAGGTACTTAACTATTCAAAAAATAGTTAATTTATAGATATATTATTACTGTCAGTGTTGGGGAGTAACAGATTACATGTACTGGAGTTATGTAATCAGAGTACAAATTATGAGTAACTGTATTCAGTTACAGTTACTGTTTCAGTGAGTGGTAATTGGATTACAGTTACTTTGTTGAAATAAATGGATTACATGGAGGTATTTTCCTGTTTTCACATTTTGGGCTAAACCCCCACCCGGTAATTCCACTCATTGCTGGAAACTTAACTAGGTCTAAACTAGATCTAAACCAGGTCTAAACTAGGAATAAACCAGGTCTAAACCAGGACTAAACCAGGTCTAAACCAGGACTAAACCAGGTCTAAACCAGGACTAAACCAGGTCTAAACCAGGACTAAAACTAGGTCTAAACCAGGACTAAAACCAAGTCTAAAACCAGGACTAAAACCAGGTCTAAACTAACTAAACCAGGACTAGGACTAAACCAGGTCTAAACTAGGACTAAACCAGGTCTAAACCAGGACTAAACCAGGTCTAAACCAGGACTAAACCAGGTCTAAACCAGGACTAAAACCAAGTCTAAAACCAGGACTAAAACCAGGTCTAAACTAGATCTAAACCAGGTCTAAACTAGGACTAAACCAGGTCTAAACTAGGACTAAACCAGGTCTAAACCAGGACTAAACCAGGTCTAAACCAGGACTAAAACCAAGTCTAAAACCAGGACTAAAACCAGGACTAAACCAGGAATAAATCAGGACTAAACCAGGACTAAAACCAAGTCTAAAACCAGGACTAAAACCAGGTCTAAACTAGATCTAAACCAGGAATAAATCAGGACTAAACCAGGACTAAAACAGGAATTAACAGGACTAAACCGTGCCACGCGGACTGTGTCTCCTCTTCTTCTATCAATAATATTTTTAATACAGTTAAGTAAAGTCTGGGCTTTTTATTTTTTCTTAGCAGACAAACCATCTTATGTTGCGATATCTTAGTCCTTGCTTCTCTACAGCAAACCAAGTAATCCAAAGTATTCAGATTACATTACTCACTTTAAGTAATTTAATGGATTACGTTACAAACTACATTTTGGGGTATGTAATCTGTAATCTGTAGGGAAATACATTTTAAAAGTCACCTTCCCAACACTGATTACTGTATAATTTTTCAGACTATATGGTGCACTTCAAATCCTTTAATTTTCTCAAAAATCAACAGTGCGCTTTATGTTTTAATTCTGGTTGTGCTTAATGACCTCAAACCGATTTTATGTGGTACACGGTGTTCAAAAATCTGTCCAAATGTTTTAGTACAACTTTGATAATCTACGAAGCCGCACCGCTTAATGAATTATACAGCTGCTGTAGTCAGGAGCCTCACAGAGCATAAGTCAGACATAACCTGAACTGCGTCAGCGCAAATTAACCATGTGGTTTTAAATTTCATTCCTGTAAAACATAAACAAATGTGGTATCAGTCTCCGTTTGTTTCGCTTAATGCGCCTTATAATCCGGTGCGTTTTATGTATGAAAATAGACGAGAGAGTTCAGCATTATTGACATTGCGCTTTATAATCCGGTGCACCTTATAGTCCGAAAAATACGCTATGTACTTTGCTCTCTTCAGTTTTAAAAGTAGTCCATTGCCCATCCCTCGTAAGTTAATATTTCAGGGAATTAATAAGTTCAGGATGGATCAAAATCATATGAACATTGGGGAACAGCTCATGTCAGATATTTTGGATATGAAGTTTTTCCAGATTGAGATGGTTGATGGTTAAAGCTTCTAAAAAACAGGACCTAGACGAAGACCAAAGATAAAAATTGGCAAGTGAGCAGATGATCAGACAGACAGACAATTAGAGAAGCGTATAACTCACCTTGACGACTCCTGACAGGACCCTAAAGGAAAAGAGAAGGCGCTCCTGATGTCTCGTTCCATGTCTCTGTTGATAATTGATAACCGGACGATTAAGGGCGGTGACCTCTGACCCTTAGACCAAACCGTGCCTGGACAGCCCTGTGGGGAAATCACCTCCCGCTCTCCGTTTGGGGTTCATTTTGGCTCGGACAATTGCCCCACCTGTGGTCAATAGAGTGAGAAATAACCTCTGTTAGAGCTGAGGACGCCGATCCGTTCTTCTGTGAGGAGCTCTGACTGGTTTTACACGAGGTCAAGTCCACTAACGTCACCCAACACTGACTTTTACCATCAAATTTATCAAACTGCCCTTATTTCTTATTTTCTTATTTTATTTATTTGTAAAGGGACAGTACATATTAATGAACATTAAAAATGTAAATATGCAAAGATTATAGCCAACGTGGCTAATTTCCATCTTCAGTCCCTCGGCAGGTTGATGTAAAATCATCTATAGGACGAGGAAAAGTACAGCAACAATCACACAAAAGTACACAACACCAGCACACTCACTATACACAATTAGTTTCAAACAGTTCATTTGAAGTTCAAAGTCAGAAGTTTAAGAATTAAGTCAAGAGTGTCAGCTTCTAATGGAGGCAGCCTGAACAGAGGATGTTAAGAAAGAGACTTGGAGAGTTAGAACAGGTCTCACATGTCTCTTTATTTGAGTCAGGCAGATTCAGGTCTCAAGATTCAAGTTGATTCAGCATGATTTTGCCTACGCGGCGTCTCTCAGTGCGTCGGTCGTCCCTCGACAACGCGGTCGGTTCCCCCACTGATGCACAGAAAAACTGGTGCCTTTTATACCAGCATAACTGTTGAGTTAACATCTTCATGGAAAAAAATACACAGCACTTTGTCCCAACACGTGTCCCATAACAGATTGGCAGATGCTAAAGGTTGGAGACACACCCCATATCTGTCCCATATACATTCACCATTGACACTCCAAAGTCCAAAAACATACACAACATGTCAAGGAACACAGAGATTAATTACAGGGCGTATTAACATATGAATGAAACTTTAAAAACACAGGGTAGAAGCCCACAAGAGTTAAACCAACAAACCTCTCAAAATAAAAGAAAATATAAACTGGTCAAAAACATGGTGACATACTTGACCATTGAATAACCACTGTTTTAAAGCTTTAGAAAATGCTGCCAGTGTTGAAAGTTCTCGTACATGAGCAGCTCTGTGTTCCATGTTTGAGCAGCTCGATAAGCAAAAGAGAGTTGTCCAATGGTACTTTTCCTAAACGGCACAGAGCAGTCGCCTCTAGAGCTGCTCTTGTTGTGCGATTTGAATTTCTTTTCACAAACTCCTTTAGAGGAGGTGGAGCAAGATGATTAAAAACTTTGTAAACCAGAATTAAATCTGCCTATTTGATTGTGTTGTCCCAATTTAGGAATTTGTATTTGTCAAGTTTTCTGCAACAGTGATAATTTGTGGGCTTTTTGTCTAATACTTTAAGTGATTTTTTATATATTGTTTCAGCTAATTTAAGAGTCGTTTTGTTTGTCAGAGTCCAAGTAGTAATGCAATAATTTAGGTGTGGTAAAATCATTGAATTTAAATACATAAATGCTGAGTTGGTCGTTAGATTATTTCTTATATGGCGAAAATTTGATAAATGATGTTTGATTTTATTCACTGTTCTTTTGACGTGTTGTTTGGACGATAGTTGTGGGTCCAGGGCGACTCCCAGATACTTCGCTTCATGGACCATTTTCAGTTTTGTTCCAAGCACAAATACACGTGGGTCTGTATCCATGCCAGGTTTGCCCAAGAATAACCACCAGTTTTGAAAGAGCATTGTCAAACGCGTTCCTTCATGGAGATGTTGTTGCTTTGTCTGGAATTTTTCACAGTATGGTATTAAACCTTTCTATCTTCTTGGAGACTAAACCGGTTGAGGTCAGTTACAGGTCAGATCTGTGGAGCTGCGACCCTGAGATATAAAACCCCATGTAACTGAAAACATTTACGAACATTTTAAGACCAAAATGGTGAGGCTCACTGGGGCGACAAAATTGCCAATTGTCAGAAAATCAATTGGAAACGGTTGACAGACCCGACGCTCGCCCATGAACTCTTCCTAATTGGAACACGACTATACACTACCGGTGAAAAGTTTTAGAAAATCCACATTTTTTCAATTATCAAGTCGTGCAAGTCCAACGAAGAGCTTGAAATGGTACAAAGGTAAGAACTGAACAGACAGAGGTTAAAAAAAAAGATAAAAGTACAAAACACAAGTCCAAGCTCTGCCAAAACTACCTCAGGAAAAAAGAACAAGATGATAAAACCTGAAAACATGGAGTGTCCAGCAGCACAGTGTCCAGACTTAAACCCCATCGAGCTGGTTTGGGATGAACTGGACAGAAGAGTAAAAGCCAAGAAACCTACAAGTGCCACGCATTTATGGAAACTTCTGCGACAGACTTGGGAAGAACTTTCCGAAGAATATTTGATTTCTGTTGTAAAAAGAACGAGCCACGAGTGTGTTCAGCTGTTATATCTGCCAAAAGCGGACACTTTCATCAATCAAAAGTTTAGAATATGTTTTGGTCAACAGTAAACAGTAAAAAATTGGAAAAAGTGTGATGTTCTAAAACTTTTGACCGGTAGTGTACACAGTCTATGGTTAAAAGTCTACTACAAATACAAATAATGTGTAGAATGTGTCATGTACAAGAGCCAAAAACAGGTTACCCCATCAACATTGTAGAGTTTCTTACAATTTTACCCAACATTTGCTTCCATATTCGTCTTGTTTTGATGGAAAGAACTACATATTACCTTGATAATATTGACTGATACCCAGCGTTTGTGAGATATTATCCTCATGTTCTAATTGATGTACTGATCTCACAGCCCCAGTCCTTCTCCGTCTTGTGCGTCTCTGCCAAGGCTGCTGCTGCCAAATGACTCTTTATTGTGAAGAAATGGACTGATCTTCTGTAATCTGAGCCAGGGATCAATGCCAACCGTCAGGATCTGCTCCAAGCCCCGTCCAACACAATACCCACATGTCCCCCATTTAGAAGGCTATTTGTCAGAGTGTTTTAAAGTCTTAATGAGGGACACTTCTTGGGAAATATTTTATAATAAACATAATCTCTCAAGTGCATATGACAGGCTATAATACGTATTTAATAGGAGAACTTTTCTGCTGGAAGGTCCATCACTTGCTTTTGTCCATGGAGATGTTGTCTGGAATGTTCCACAGCACGTGACATGACAAGACCAGGGGCCTCATTTATAAAAAACTGCGCAGGAGTTGTCGTAAGTTAGTGCGTACGCCTAGTAGCCATGAGAGGCATGCACCACGCAAACTCCATATTTACAAAACCCACCGCACGCACCAAACCACACAATCTTTGCTTTATAAATCCACCTGTAACGAGAATTTGCGCACGTAAACCCACATCACGTCACGCCCTCTCCACACCTCCACCTCACCATAAAAGGAGCAGGTAAAGTGACTCGTGAATGAGATTTCCCCAAACATGAGCAGATAATCAGTGGGTTTGACCGAGACGCTCCACGCAGCACCACGTGATCACGTCAAAGACTTAAACAAGGTTTTACAAATAAATACAAAACTAAAGTGACAGCAACGACTCATCTGTTCATCATATTTAGGCAGCACATCTTTGCAGTAAAGCCAATGTGTTTTCTCGCGGTTTCAAGAGTTTTATCTCTATATTTTTAAGTCTGTCTATGAAGTGTGTGTGGACTGGCCTTGTATATATATATATATATATAGATAGATAGATAGATAGATAGATACGTGCACGCGCTGATCTGAATGGTCAAATTATGAGCGTGTGAGAGAGATTCAGATGCCCTCCCCTGGAGAGCGAAAGGAGCGAGGGAGGGATACGAGGATACATGGACACAGATTTAGCATGAAACACATCGGATACAGATGTTATTCTGCCAATTAAAGTCCACACGAAACATCCAAACTGCTCACCTGTGAGTGTGGGTCTGGGTCTGACCTCTGTGAGTGTGGGTCTGGGTCTGACCTCTGTGAGTGTGGGTCTGGGTCTGACCTCTGTGAGTGTGGGTCTGGGTCTGACCTCTGTGAGTGTGGGTCTGGGTCGGGACGGGCACAGGTATTATTCTGTTCTTCTTACTGTGAGAGAGCAGCTCTCTGTACTTTTCCTTGCAAGTATTTTCTTTTTTTCCCCCACAAACTGTCACTTAACTGACGTAAAACTGTGATAAATTGTATATCTATGTGTTTTTTGCTGACTTGTGCTAAAATAAATACGGATTTAATAAGATAAGGCAGTCAACAGAGAGCTGCGGTTTAAAAGTCCATAAATAAAATGAATATGTCAGCGAAGAACACTTCTGTATTTACAAAGAGATGTTTGTGTCCCAACTCTAACTAATGCTAATTTTGAGGCATAATACAGTAAATATTGCAAAAAAGCCACAAACTCAAGTGTCCTACATATAAAAATAACCATGTAGTCTTGATTTTAATTAACTGGAATTTTAATAAGTTGTTTATTCCATGTTTTACGAGTGACTGTGAGCTTGGAGACACACTGAGATATCTCGAGTTCTGCTGCGTACAGAGCCAATTAAACAACACGAAAAGTCATCATTTGCTCTTTAAAATACAAAATAATGAGGTGAATGAGGTTTGAATGTACTGTACAGTTATTGTGGATTTGTGTTTTTCCCACAGAGCGCCACAGGAAAAGTGGAGGAGTTTTTCCTCTTCGGTTCGTTCCTCGAGGCCACAATGATCGACCGCAAAATTGGAGACAAACCGATAAGCTTCGAAATCACAATAGGTAAGTGAGAAGAGCGTTTAGCCGTGAATAATCAATAGTATGTTGAATAGATTCACTAAACCACTGCACAAGATGGTCTTTTGTGTTCTGCGAGAAAAGAGATGGGAGAAGCTCAGATACACTCAGCGGTGGAAGAAGTGCTCAGTGCTGTTACTTACAGATAGTAAAAGTGCCTGTATTTTTCAGACTATAAGGTGCACCGGATTATAAGACGTAATATCAATAATATTGAATTCTCTCTATTTTCATACATAAGGAACACTGGATTGTAAGGTGCATTGCCATTTGCAGATCGTAGTTTAATTGCCTTTAGTTCAGAGAGTGATAGTCTAGATCAGGAGTGTCAAACTCATTTTGGTCCAGGGCCGTATCCAACCTACTTTGATCCCAAAGGGGCCGGATCAGAAAACTCATGGCATATAAACCCCAAAAATAACAATAATTTCAAATATTTGTGGAGAGAAACACAAATCTATTACAGAAATCTTTTTTAATTGATGAACTCTTTCTTTTACAAAATATTATAATATTATGAACAACCTGAAACACAATGTTTTAACATTAACTTGCAAATAGGATTAAGTCAATTTTTCTTGGAAAATGCTCCACTTTTCTCATTTTTGACATTTTTCTGATGAGGGTGTCACGGTCAACAGTCAAAACGATCGTCCTTTAAGAGCGTTTGGAAAGAGACAAGTCTTCATTTGTGCTGCTCTGGTGGGAGGGGCCACGTACAGAGACACTGGAGACGCTGATTTGCTCAGCACCGCAGAAAATTACCGATATTTTTGTAGAAAATGTAAGTAAAATATTTTAGTAGAAAATCAGCCGAGGGCCAGATTAAAGGACTTAGAGGGCCGGATCCAGCCTCCGGGCCCTATGTTTGACACCCCTGGTCTAGATTAAAACATAATAAAATTCCTGGTTGAAATGATTTATTTTCTAACAAGCACCGCTCTGGTCCTGCTCTGGTCCCGGTCTGGTCCCGGACCTGGATCAGTCCTGGTTCAGTCCGTATGCAGCGCAAAAGTCCGACATCACAGTTTACGTCACGGAAACGGGAAACGGCCGTTATCTGTTTTTTCCATCCTTCATTTAAACACAAAATCAAAAACTGAAAAAACTAATCATTATCTGTTTTTTGATTTTGGTTTTAGAGACAAATAATGAAGAAAATTAGTTGTTTTTTTGTTTTCTTATTTTTGGTTTTATATTGAAAAACGAATGAACGAATAATACACGAATTGTAACAGAGTAAAGAAAAACTTTGAACGCAAACATAAAATAGTAGTACTTTCTTTTATATTCCCATGTGGTTTTAGATCTGTGTAACCCGTCAGTAGGTTCCGTAATGCTCCATGGGCGTGTACTCGTCAATGTGCTCTTATACTTGTTCTGATTCAGCTCAAGATCATTCTAAAGCTCTTCAGAAAAAGGTTCATGTCAACATCTTTGTACATGTGTTAATATGCGGCACCGTGAGCTGCCGGGACCTTGAAAACGTCTCTGCACTGTCTTTATGCGCTCCAGGTAACTATGGAAACCAGATAGACGGCGTCAGCACTCGCCCGTCGTCCAAGAAGAAGAAAAAGGACGGAGAGAGCGAGGAGGAGGAGAACGAGCTGATCCAGAACTCCAGCGAGGAAGAGGGCGAGGAGGAGAGGGACCTGACCTCAGTGTCCACCACTCCGTCCATGAGACCGGTCATAACGGACAGGTCAGAAACACGATACGCAATATAAAGTCAGATTCAGCCATTTTAAGACGCACTGTGTGACTTTTTTACTGGGGGTCTGCCACTTGCTGGCTCTTCATGGAGATGTTATTTCTTTGTTTTGCCATTTTACTGTGTGATATTAACGCACAAACCCTGCATATTTTCTTCTCTACACTCAGTTCCACTTTGTGATGTCATATGGTCATACAGGAAGTGCTCCACTGTGTTTTTAAACTCCATACACCTTCAGTAGAATCATGTGATAATTTCAGCCCATCTCTAGTGAACAACAAAGTGAACATAAAGTAAAATGTAGCTGTTAACTTGAAAACTACCGCTTCATGACATCACAAGGTGGAACAGAGCGTTTTGAGCTCCTTTCTACTGTGGTCCGATATAGATTCTAAATAAATCGATTAGTCAACTAATACAAATTTAGGTTGACACCATCAGCCGATTATTTGAATAAAAAACTAGAGCTGTAATGTACGGAAGCCCTGAGAGAAAAAAAAAGAGGCAGGTCATTTGGGCTCTATTTTCTAAGTGTTTTTTTTATTTTTTTCACCAATTGAAAAAAAAAAAAAAATCACTTTTTTTTTCTGCACTTTTTTGAAAAAAAAAAAAAAAAAAGACAAAAAATGTATCTTATTTTTTTTTTTTTTTTTAAACTGTTGATGTGGCTGAAAAAAAAAAAAAAACACTGCTCAGAGCCTAAGTGTTTCCCCAGTATATTCCTGTAAATACCAAACTTCAGCACTGGGTAACCAATGGAAGATGAACTCATGGCGTTAGGCGGCAGGTTAGGGCGTGTGAGGCCGGGGTTTGAAACTCACCTGTTTCTGGTTATGTGTGTTTTCATTCTAGCTGAATACTGTGTTTTTATGAGTTTTACTTTTGAGTTCACTTTTATGAGTAATATGAGAAGTAAGATCGATGCATCACTGATCCTCTGTCTTTCTGTGAGAACGAGAGTGGGGATCACTGCTCCAGGCTGGAAGACATATTTGTGTTATTACAACTAGTGCTGTCATGTGATTAAAAAAATTGAGAGATTAATTAATTATGATCTGTAATTAATAAATCTAATTAATCTAATTTTAATCTCATCTAAAAATTGCTGAGAAAAGCTTCAATTTGAGGTATTTTCATTTAAATTCATTATTACATTATTGTGGCAGATCAAAAGACTCATAGATTTTAAAAAGTGACTTTATAAAGTCATTTATTGTTTAACAAATCTCTCCAAATTGGCTGTTGAGCCCAAGTCTCCATGAATAAGAAACTGTTTTGCTGTAAAGTAGCAAAGACGAGGAAATCTGAACATAATAACTTTTGTCTACTTAAAGACAATAAAAAGTCCAGTCTTTCCTAAAAAATATTATTGATAGAGAAATGTTTTTTCATATGAGATCACTGGTTTTAGTCCTGGTTTAGACCTACTTTAGTCCTAGTTTAGTTTAGTTTAGTCCTGGACTGGTTTAGTCCTGGTTTAGTCCTGGACTGGATTAGTCCTGGTTTTAGTCTTGGTGTTAGTTCTGGTTTAGAGGTTCACAGGAGGGAAGTGGTTTACGCCGCGTACGCGAGAAAAACACGATCCACACGCGGCTCACGGGAGCACGTCGGTGTCCGCGCAGTAACTACGGAAGGAAACGTGGTCCGCGCGTTCTCAGGTTAATGACGATGATGTGAAGTGTGTGTGTGTGTGTGTGTGTGTGTGTGTGTGTTTGTGTGTTGTGTGTGTGTGTGTGTGTGTTTGTGTGTGTGTGTGTTATAGGACAGTAGTGCAGACATCATGAGCCTATGCAGGTTGTTTCACCAGTGACATTTAAGTTTAGGCGATATTTATTTGTTATTTTCTTTTATATTTTACGTCGGGAGAATAATTTCCAAGACACGAATGTGTTTTTACCTGTGCACTGCTGCCTCTGTTCTACTGGCTCTTCGACTTCGTCCATTGTGCGACTGACGCCGCCAACGTTACCATGACGTTTTACATCGCTCTTACTGCGCGCGTTTTGTGTGGGTTTCCGGCAATGAGTGGAATTACCGAAAAAAAAAATTTATAAATGTGTTTTGTGTGTGTGTGTGTGTGTGTTGTCCCAACAACACATAAAAACTGATTTTATAATAAAGCAACTCGCATACAGAAACAGTAAAGTTAGAGATTAAAAATGAGATTAACGCGATTAAAAAACATAACGCGCTAAATATGACTGTAATTAATTAATCGCAATTAACGCGATAATTTGACACCCCTAATTACAACATTCACAAGTGACTTTTGGAGCTGTGCTTAAAACTGCCCCTGTCCAACACGGGGAGTAGGGTACTCTCCAAGCAAACATGCCTGGCAAGAGGAGCTCATGGGGATTTGGGGACAAACATGTGGCTTATACTTTCATCCAGCATCAGCACCAGGGGTGTAGTGGGCGCGGTACCGTCCACCCACTTCTCCCGACGTGAGATATAAAAAAAATAACAAATATAAAATAGCTACATCTTAAATGTCAAACCAGAGTTATTGGCAATGGTGAAAACAAACTGCATAGAGTCATGATATCTGCAGTACTGTAATTTTTTATTTTTTTTTTTTAAGTTGGTAAAAAAAAAAAAAAACATTTAGAAAATAGAGCCCAAATGACTTCCCTCTTTTTTTTTTTTTCCTCTTGCCTCTCAGAGCTTCCGAGTATGGTACAAAATCACTGACTTGTTTTTTTGTTTTTTTTTCTTCAGTCAATTAACATAATCATTTATCATATTACAGTGATTTAACACTGAAATTATGCGTAGCACTAAAGTTATTCTACAGACCGAAGGGGTTTAGGCTGAAGTTTTAACACTTAATTTGCCTAATCCTATTAACATATAGAACAGGATATAAGACGGCAAAACTCATCTTTTATGAGTGCAGGAATGTTTGAATTATTGAACTGTTTTTGAAAAATATATTTGTGAACTTAATCAAAGTGGGTCTTGCTTTAGTGTTCAATATATTGATATCAACATCAGAAAATTTTCGATATTGGAGTCAGTGAAACAGTAGTGACTGAAAATACTCATCCATAAAAAAGCTATGCACTTGTTTGTTTGTTTTTTTGCAGAAACTACTTCCACCTGCCGTACTTTGAGAAGAAGCCCTGTGTGTACATCAAGAGCTGGTGGCAGGACCAGAGACGCAGACTCTACAACTCCAACATGATGGACAAGATCGCAGACAAACTGGTACGACGCACTCCCACTGCACCTGATAACAGGGTTCCCACGGTCATGGAAATCCTGGAAAAGTCATGGAATTTTAGTATGTCTTTCACGCAAATACAACCTTTTCTTAAGTTATCATTAGACTATTATGATTAATTCTGAATTTCTGCACCTTTTGTTTATAAAAGACAAAGACAATAAATGCACTGACAGGATTTTGAATGTTAAAAATCTATAAAACCAAACCATAAGGTGAGTGGAAAAGGTTAACATTTCATATTTAGCCCTAAAAGTCTGATCAATTCATAAAGTCATGGAAAATTCACGTTAGGTCATGAAAAAGTCATGGAGAAGTTTTGAAATTTTGTCAGTGAAAAAGAGCCCCGTGATAAATATACCCATGCCTACAGTCCCATCCCTGCTTTATTCTTACTGACACAGGAAATGCACTGTTCTCATGCTAGTTGTTGTCAGCTTTACAGTGACGGTAAAGTGTTAATAAACTCATCACGTTGAGTAATTAGGATTTTCGGAATGCATTAAGTAATATGTCTGCAGTCTGCATCTAATTATAGAGTGTTTTATTCTCTGTGAAACAGGAAGTGCACTGTTATCCTGCTAGTTGTTGTTGGCTTTACAGTGCTAGTAAAGTGTTTACAAACTGAGTACATTCTGAGCATCCTAATTGTTCACTGCAGTAAGTTATTGAGGAATAACTTTGGACCACTGCAAAATTAAAAATGATTTAGTTCAGTTTTTCTTGTTTTTAAGACAGTAAAAAATATGTATGTTTCAAATTCATAAAAAAAAATATAGATATTAAAATCACCCATAATCAAATTACTCTAACATGATTAAAACCTTTTCTACTTTGCTCTTAAAGGGGAGTATTTTAATTAGTCAGTAATGCGTCGTTATTTTACACTTTATTACATTAATTACATGAAAATGTAAAAATAATGATTCGTTGATTCAAATTTTGCATTTTTTTAGCAGCATGTTCAGTCATTTCTGTGTTTTCCATATAAAACAACTGATGCATATTACATTTTTATATGTTTTTTATGGTCTAATAAAACACCCATTTTATATTCAGACTACTTCAGAAATGTGTTGTTTTAGATCCCTCTTTAAATATTTATGATTCACAGGACTGTCCTCATCTTACCCACGTACATCTGAAACATCAGCATATTTTGTCATAATGTACAAACTAATATTTATGTTTGGGATTTTGGTAACACTTTATAATAACTACACCTTATTTAGCCTTAATAAAGCATGAACGAAGCCTTAATTAATAATGATTCACGCTTAGTAACTACTTAATTACTACATGAATTAGCACTTAACTTGCACTGAATTCACCTGTGCTGTAAATAGTAACTCAATACTTCTTAATTACTCATGAACTAACCATTTGCATGTTTACAAATGCATATTTAAGTACACATTTGAGCATTAATTAATGATTAATAAGCTATGAGAGAATGATTTACTAATAATACAATACAATGATCATTCAGGCAGCTGTTATCTGTTAGTTAAGTCTTTCTGAGAGCTTTTCTAAAGTGAAGACGAATCATGTTTATTAAACATTTGTTAAGGTTGGTCAAATTCCAGAGAAACAATAATGCATTACTAGTAAATCATTCTCTCATGGTTTACTAATCATTAATAAATGCTCAAATTTGTACTTAAATATACATATAGAAATGCACACACAAATGGTTAGTTCATGAGTAATTAAGTAAGAAATACTTATGAGTAACTATTTACAGCACAGGCGAATTAAGTGCAAGTTAAGTGTTAATTCATGTAGTAATTAAGTAGTTACTAAGCATGAATCATTATTAATTAAGCCTTTGTTCATGCTTTATTAAGGCTAAAGAAGGTGTAGTTATTATAAAGTGATACCGGGATTTTTTGTCAATAGTTTGTTTAGATAATGTTAGATTGACTGAATGCAAAATATATTTTTTTAAAGATTCGACCATTTTAACATTGTTTTCTCATCAAAAACATGCCTGAAGAAGTTTTAGAAGTCATCCATAAAAATTTGAATATATAAATCACACTGGAGTATAAGTCGCAGGAAACACCCAAACCATGAAAAAAGTGAGACTAGTCCAAAAAATACAGAACTGACTCTTGTATGTTCTGACCAGTTTTTTGGAGTAACAGATTACAAGTACCGGAGTTATGTAATCAGAGTACAAATTATGAGTAACTGTATTCAGTTACAGTTACTGTTTCAGAGAGTGGTAATTGGATTACAGTTACTTTGTTGAAATAAATGGATTACAGGGTGGTATTTTCCTGTTTTCTAAAACCAGGGACCTTAAACCAGGACTAAACCAGGACTAAAACCAGGACTAAACCAGGACTAAACCAGGACTAAAACCAGGACTAAACCAGGACTAAACCAGGACTAAACCAGGACTAAACCAGGACTAAACCAGGACTTAAACCAGGACTAAACCAGGACTAAAACCAGGACTAAACCAGGACTAAACCAGGACTAAACCAGGACTAAACCAGGACTAAACCAGGTCTAAACCAGGACTAAACCAGGACTAAAAACAGGACTAAACCAGGACTAAACCAGGACTAAACCAGGACTAAACCAGGACTAAACCAGGACTAAACCAGGAACTAAACCAGGTCTAAACCAGGGCCAATTTGAAGAGAACAAACATGAATTTTCAGAATGTGGTTTTTACATTCATGTAGTTTTAAAAAACATGACAATATCAAGTAATCCAAAGTATTCAGATTACATTACTGACCTGAAGTAATTTAATAGATTACGTTACAAATTACATTTTGGGGTATGTAATCTGTAATCTGTAGGGGAATACATTTTAAAAGTCACCTTCCCAACACTGGTTTGACTCTCGTATGTTCTGACTCTCGTATGTTCTGACTGTATGTTCTCTCTCGTATGTTCTGACTCTCGTATGTTCTGACTCTCGTATGTTCTGACTCTCTGTATGTTCTGACTCTCGTATGTTCTGACTCTCTTTATGTTCTGACTCTCGTATGTTCTGACTCTGTATGTTTCTGACTCTTTATGTTCTGACTCTGTATGTTCTGACTCTCGTATGTTCTGACTCTTTTATGTTCTGACTCTTCGTATGTTCTGACTCTCGTATGTTCTGACTCTTTTATGTTCTGACTCTCGTATGTTCTGACTCTGATGTTCTGACTCTTTTATGTTCTGACTCTCGTATGTTCTGACTCTCTGACTTCGTATGTTCTGACTCTCGTATGTTCTGACTCTCTCGTATGTTCTGACTCTCGTATGTTCTGACTCTCGTATGTTCTGACTCTCGTATGTTCTGACTCTCGTATGTTCTGACTCTCGTATGTTCTGACTCTGTATGTTCTGACTCTTTATGTTCTGACTCTTTGATGTTCTGACGTATCTGTTCGTATGTTCTGACTCTCGTATGTTTCTGACTCTTTATGTTCTGACTCTCGTATGTTCTGACTCTTGTATGTTCTGACTCTTTTATGTTCTGACTCTCGTATGTTCTGACTCTTGTATGTTCTGACTCTTGTATGTTCTGACTCTCGTATGTTCTGACTCTCGTATGTTCTGACTCTCGTATGTTCTGACTCTTTTATGTTCTGACTCTTGTATGTTCTGACTCTCGTATGTTCTGACTCTTTATGTTCTGACTCTCGTATGTTCTGACTCTCGTATGTTCTGACTCTCTGTATGTTCTGACTCTTTTATGTTCTGACTCTGTATGTTCTGACTCTCGTATGTTCTGACTCTCGTATGTTCTGACTCTTGTATGTTCTGACTCTCGTATGTTTCTGACTCTCTCTTTATGTTCTGACTCTCGTATGTTTGACTCTCGTATGTTTCTGACTCTCGTATGTTCTGACTCTCGTATGTTCTGACTCTATGTCTGACTCTCGTATGTTCTGACTCTTTTATGTTCTGACTCATGTTCTGACTCTCGTATGTTCTGACTCTTTATGTTCTGACTCTTGTATGTTCTGACTCTTCGTATGTTCTGACTCTTTTATGTTCTGACTCTCGTATGTCTCTGTATGTTCTGACTCTTGTATGTTTGACTCTCGTATGTTCTGACTCTTGTATGTTCTGACTCTGTTCTGACTCTCGTATGTTCTGACTCTCGTATGTTCTGACTCTCGTATGTTCTGACTTCTGACTCTTCGTATGTTCTGACTCTGTATGTTCTGACTCTTTATGTCTGACTCTGTATGTTCTGACTCTTGTATGTTCTGACTCTTGTATGTCTCTCTTGTATGTTCTGACTCTTGTATGTTCTGATGTTCTGACTCTCTCTCGTATGTTCTGACTCTCGTATGTTCTGACTCTTGATGTTTCTCTCTGTATGTCTTGACTCTTTATGTTCTGACTCTATGTTCGTATGTTCTGACTCTTGTATGTTCTGACTCTTGTATGTTCTGACTCTTGTATGTTCTGACTTCTGTACTGACTCGTATGTTCTGATGTTCTCTCTGTATGTTCTGACTCTTGTATGTTCTGACTCTTGTATGTTTCTCTTGTATGTTCTGACTCTGTATGTTCTGACTCTTGTATGTTCTGACTCTTGTATGTTCTGACTCTGTATGTTCTGACTCTTGTATGTTCTGACTCTCGTATGTTCTCTGACTCTTGTATGTTCTGACTCTCGTATGTTCTGACTCTCGTATGTTCTGACTCTTGTATGTTTCTCGATGTCTGTTGTATGTTCTGACTCTCTTGTATGTTCTGACTCTCTTTTATGTTCCGACTCTCTGTATGTTTGACTCTTGTATGTTCTTCTGACTCTCGTATGTTCTGACTCTCGTATGTTCTGACTCTTGTATGTTCTGACTCTTTATGTTCTGACTTTGTATGTTCTGACTCTCGTATGTTCTGACTCTGTATGTTCTGACTCTGTATGTTCTGACTCTTTGTATGTTCTGACTCTATGTTCTGACTTCGTATGTTCTGACTCTGTATGTTCTGACTCTTGTATCTGTTCTGACTCTCGTATGTTCTGACTCTTGTATGTTATGTTCTGACTCTCTCGTATGTTCTGACTCTTTTATGTTCTGACTCTCGTATGTTCTGACTCTCGTATGTTCTGACTCTTGTATGTTCTGACTCTTGTATGTTCTGACTCTTGTATGTTCTGACTCTTTTATGTTCTGACTCTCGTATGTTCTGACTCTTGTATGTTCTGACTCTTGTATGTTCTGACTCTTTTATGTTCTGACTCTCGTATGTTCTGACTCTCGTATGTTCTGACTCTTGTATGTTCCGACTGTTGTATGTTCTGACTCTTTTACGTATGTTCTGACTCTCGTATGTTCTGACTCTCGTATGTTCTGTATGTTCTGACTCTCTCTGACTCTCGTATGTTCTGACTCTCTTTACTCTCTGTACTCTGTTCTGACTCTCGTATGTTCTGACTCTCGTATGTTCTGACTCTTTTATGTTCTGACTCTTGTATGTTCTGACTCTTGTATGTTCTGACTCTTTTATGTTCTGACTCTCGTATGTTCTGACTCTCGTATGTTCTGACTCTCGTATGTTCTGACTCTTGTATGTTCTGACTCTTGTATGTTCTGACTCTTTTATGTTCTGACTCTTGTATGTTCTGACTCTCGTATGTTCTGACTCTCGTATGTTCTGACTCTCGTATGTTCTGACTCTCGTATGTTCTGACTCTCGTATGTTCTGACTCTCGTATGTTCTGACTCTCGTATGTTCTGACTCTCTATCGTTCTCTATGTATTCTGACTCTCTTTTATGTTCTGACTCTCGTATGTTCTGACTCTCGTATGTTCTGACTCTTTTATGTTCTGACTCTCTCTGACTCTTTTATGTCTCTCGTATGTTCTGACTTCTCGTATGTTCTGTATGTTCTGACTCTCGTATGTTCTGACTCTCGTATGTTCTGACTCTCGTATGTTCTGACTCTCGTATGTTCTGACTCTCGTATGTTCTGACTCTCGTATGTTCTGACTCTCGTATGTTCTGACTCTCGTATGTTCTGACTCTTGTATGTTCTGACTCTCGTATGTTCTGACTCTCGTATGTTCTGACTCTCTTATGTTCTGACTCTCGTATGTTCTGACTCTTGTATGTTCTGACTCTCGTATGTTCTGACTCTTTTATGTGACTCTGTATTTCTGACTCTCGTATGTTCTGACTCTTGTATGTTCTGACTCTCATATGTTCTGACTCTTTTATGTTCTGACTCTCGTATGTTCTGACTCTTGTATGTTCTGACTCTCGTATATGTTCTGACTCGTATGTTCTGACTCTCGTATGTTCTGACTCTCGTATGTTTCTGACTCTTGTATGTTGACTCTCGTATGTTCTGACTCGTATGTTCTGACTCTCGTATGTTCTGACTCTCTTCTGACTCTCGTATGTTCTGACTCTCGTATGTTCTGACTCTCGTATTCTGACTCTCGTATGTTCTGACTCTCGTATGTTTCTGACTCTCGTATGTTCTGACTCTCGTATGTTCTGACTCTCGTATGTTCTGACTCTCGTATGTTCTGACTCTCGTATGTTCTGACTCTCGTATGTTTTCTTGTATGTTCTGTATGTTCTGACTCTTTGTATGTTCTGACTCTCGTATGTTCTGACTCTCGTATGTTCTGACACTCGTATGTTCTGACTCTTGTATGTTCTGACTCTCGTATGTTCTGACTCTCGTATGTTTCTGACTCTCGTATGTTTCTCGTATGTTCTGACTCTCGTATGTTCTGACTCTTGTATGTTCTGACTCTTGTATGTTCTGACTCTCGTATGTTCGACTCTCGTATGTTCTGACTCTCGTATGTTCTGACTCTCGTATGTTCTGACTCTGTATGTTTCTGACTCTTGTATGTTCTGACTGTTCTGTATGTTCTGACTCTTGTATGTTCTGACTCTCGTATGTTCTGACTCTCTTATGTTCTGACTCTCGTATGTTCTGACTCTCGTATGTTCTGACTCTCGTATGTTCTGACTCTCGTATGTTCTGACTCTCGTATGTTCTGACTCTCGTATGTTCTGACTCTCGTATGTTCTGACTCTCGTATGTTCTGACTCTCGTATGTTCTGACTCTCGTATGTTCTGACTCGTATGTTCTGACTCTCGTATGTTCTGACTCTTGTATGTTCTGACTCTCGTATGTTCTGACTCTCGTATGTTCTGACTCTTGTATGTTCTGACTCTCGTATGTTCTGACTCTTGTATGTTCTGACTCTCGTATGTTCTGACTCTCGTATGTTCTGACTCTTGTATGTTCTGACTCTCGTATGTTCTGACTCTTGTATGTTCTGACTCTTGTATGTTCTGACTCTCGTATGTACGCCGTGTTCTTGCAGGAGGAGGGTTTGAACGACGTGCAGGAGATCATTAAGACGGAGAAGGCCTTTCCTGAGCGCAGACTGCGGGGGGTGCTGGAGGAGCTCAGCGTGGGCTGCAGGCAAGACTCTTCTAACAATCACACTGTCTACATCAGGGGTGTCAAACTCATTTTGGTCCGGGGGCCGTATCCAACCTACTCTGATCCCAAAGGGGCCGGATCAGGAAACTCATGACATATAAACCCCAAAAATAACAATAAATTCAAATACTTATGCAGAGAAATGCAAATCTATTACAGAAATCTTTATAAAATATTATAATATTATGAACAACCTGAAACTTTAAGAAAAATGCAATTTCAACACAATGTTTTAATGAACTTGTATGCAAATAGGAATAAGTCAATTTTTCTTGGAAAATCCTGCACCAGGATTTTTTTTTTTTTTTTTGTTGATGAGGGTGTCACGATCAACAGTCAAAACGATCGTCCTTTAAGAGCGTTTGGAAAGAGACAAGTCTTCATTTGTGCTGCTCTGGTGGGAGGGGCCACGTACAGAGACGCTGGAGACGCTGCTGTGATAAACACCACAGAAAATAACCAATATTTTAATAAAAAATATAATGAAAATATTTTAATAGAAAATCAGCCGAGGGCCAGATTAAAGGTCTTGGAGGGCCGGATCCAGCCCCTGGGCCGTATGTTTGACACCCCTGGTCTACATGTTTTTACTCTATTCTACTCTAGAGTCGTCAAGGGAGTACTGGTGTGATCCATAAAAAAACTCAGTGGCTGATGTTCTGTGTTTTATTACTCTAGTCTTCTCTGTTGTTTGATGGTTTTTGTTTTTTTTCATCTGAACATAAATATGATAGTTACATCCATACAGGTTATTTAACTAATAAATCAATTACCATCAATTATCATATTTTACTTATTTTACTTACTGGAAAAACTGGAGATTAGGGTTTTTTGAAGGTTTATTAGCACAATTAAATGCCGAAGAAGCCATGCCGAACTGTAAATGAACCTGTATCACAATATTTTAAGATTAATAGAACACATTAAAAAGTACAACAAGCTGAAAAAAAAGTCTAACAAGTTTAAGCCAACACAGTTAAATCCACAAACAAAAAGACAGGTATTCACTGATTGTTTTATTAAATGCCTTCATCCACTTTTTAAAAGCCTGAAAAAGTTGTGCTGGATAAATGTAAATGTCATTCAAACCTGTCAAAATGTCGGGACCCCCCGATGTTGGAAGGGTCAGGAAAGCGGGAAGGGGGCTTACTTAGAAACAAAACACACTAGCTGTCAATCAAATCTGTTAATGCTCACCGGGATCTGTAATAAAAGCTGGGTAAGGCATTCCCCCTCTGTCCCGGCTCGAGACCGACTAGTGGCCGCTCCAGGTACTGCAGCGTAGAAGCACAATGCAGTTTTTGGGAATTCAAACTGCTTGTGTTTGACTTACAGGGCATCGACAACTTTCACAAAGGTCAGATTTTGTAGGGATTCATTTGTATTTTCACAACATAAACTTTTTAAAAATTTCAAACTGTTTCTCTTCCCAACAGAATTTAAATATAGTGAAAGGCGAAGGCGATGGGCAGGACTGATGCACAGGAAGGACGAAAACAGTAACCTTTCACTGCCTAACAAATCATCCCGTGTTTGCAGCGAACAATTTGTATGTGGAGCGCCATCGAAGCAAAATCCCGATCCCTCACTCAACCTCGGTTACAAATTTTAAAAGTCAACGCCAAAGCGAAAGGCACCAACTGTTCACAAAGAAACACCTTCCACTGCAAAGAGACCAAGACGTGATGTTGCTGTAAAACCACAAGAACAAGAAAGTGCAGCTCAGTCTGTTTGTCTTCTGCACCTTTCGCTTAACAAACAGGATCCCACTTTGTTGTCGCTCCAGATACAAAATGTTCACTGCAAACTCGGGATGATTTAGGCAGACAAAGGTTTCCATTTCGTCCTTCCTGTGCGTCAGTTCTGCCCATCGCCTTCACCTTTCACTATTTTTCAATTCCGTTGGGAAGAGAAACAGTTTGAACGGTGGTTTGCAGTCACACACATCTGATTCACTTTTGTATTTATTGAGTTCGCAAACAAATTTCTCGAACCGTTTTCCGCTGTTAGGATCCAACAACCACAACAATTAACGATGTCCGAATCGCAAAACTAAAATATGACAATATCAGAACCAGAAACAAAAGTGATATGGTTCAAAAGACTAGAAAAGATCGACTTTGTCAATAGACGCATCCCACTGGGAAAACAAACATGCGATGACCGGAAGTCCGAAATTTGTGATACATGTTTAGGCGGCGGACCTCAATCCCCTCCATTTCAGTTCGACTAACTTGAATTCATGATCTTATTTTTCATGAATTTTATTTCTGGGAAGCTATTTCTGAGAATACAAGTTACAAACCACAATTCTAGTAAACATTTTTAATCTGCTTTATCTTTTTTTCCTTTTATTATGATCAGCCGATTTGTGACTCTGGCCAATAAGGACGTTAACCAAGCGGGGAGGACCAAGCTGGACCGGGAGCGTCTGAAAACCTGCATGAGGGAGATGGTAAGTGAGTTTTGTTTTTTTTTTTTTGGACAGAAGAAGAAGAAGAAGAAGAAGAAACAGCAGCTAAACACCACCCTGAGCAGCACTTTTTACAGCTTTATCGAGACTAATGCTCCGGGCGCTGCCTCCGCACCGGCTTAGTTTACATTTTTATTTCCCTTACCGTAGCTTTAAGTTTTAATTTACAGCTGCTTGTGATTCATCTCCCGTCGTCTCGTACATTGTGCTGTTGATTGGTATGCAGATAATACACAAATGGTTGCAGTATTGTGTTTCAGAAATATGAAATCTCGGTTGGACGTGCGTAAATAGGCAATATGAATATTTTATCGAAAGCTTAAAGGGCCCATATTATTACAATGTTTTTCCTCTTTTGTTATAATGTTGTTTCCTCGTCAAAAACATCCCTGGAGTTGGGGTTTTGTTTTTTTAGTTTTGTTTTTATTCACACATGTTTAACTCACAAATTATGCACATCTTATCCAGAAAACATCAGAATCATTTGGATGATTTCAGGGACTTTGGGACTGAGTCTCTCTACTGAATAAAGTAGTAAAAGGAGCTGTTAACTTGAAAACTAGATATAAAACTAGATATAAAAAAATAACAAATATAAAATAGCTCCACGCCCCACAGGACTTTACGCAGCCGTCACCTGATCGCGCTTTGCAGACACCCTAATCCTTGGGCTTGGGGTTCTGTCTCTCAAATCCAAGATTAGTCCTGGTTTAGACCTGTTTTAGTCCGGATTCAGTCTGGATTCAGTCCTAGTTCAGTCCTGGTTCAGTTCTGGTTTAGTTCTGAATCAGTCCTGGTTCAGTCCTCATTTATTATTGGTTTAGTATTGGTTTTAGTCCTGGTTTAGTCCTGGTTTAGACCTGTTTTAGTCCTGGTTTAGCCCTGGTTCAGTTCTGGTTCAGTCCTAGTTTAGTCCTGGTTTAGTCCTGGTTCAGTTCTGGTTTAGTTCTGAATCAGTCCTGGTTCAGTCCTCATTTATTATTGGTTTAGTATTGGTTTAGTCCTGGTTTAGTCCTGGTTTAGCCCTGGTTTAGTCCTGGTTTAGTCCTGGTTTAGCCCTGGTTCAGTCCTGGTTCAGTCCTGGTTTAGTCCTGGTTTAGTCCTGGTTTAATCCTGGTTTAGACCTGGTTCAGTCCTGGTTCATGTGTTATAGTCTATGTTTTATGTTCTGTAGGTGATTATGAACGGCATTAATGTTAATAACACAATTCTGCATCATTTTGAGTAAAAAAACATCAAATATTACAGATTTTTACTGGGCTGGAGCCTTTATGTTTGCACTGAAAATTAGTGTTTTTTTTTTGTTTTTTTTATAAACAAACAATCTATTGATGTCATCACAAGTCGCCTACCTCCACATTGATCTGAAGAAAAAAAAAAAATCCTTCTCGCTCTTTTTCGGGTTAATGTGACCCCAAGGAGAGCGTGAGGGTTAAAAAATCCCCACTACACCACTGGATACAGACAGACTAATAATAAAAAGTTACTCAAACAAGTGTGAATAAAACAAAACAGGAGGAGGTAACAACATTCTAACATGACTTTAAGCTCACAAGAATCAATGTTGTGTAAGATTAAACCTTTAAAATCCTTGTATCCGATTTTTCCCATTGATCTGAGCAGCATTTGTTTTGCTCCAGTTCATTTATATTGTATAAGCGGCTCTTGAGGTTAAAACACATCAGCTGTGTCCTGTCTGCATCTGATTATAAAACTGTTTTAATCTCCGGTGATCAGGAAGTGCACGTTGGCATGCTCATTCTTGTTATTTTAAGCATAAGGTAAGTGAGGATTCTTACTCTGGACCACTGCAAACTGGACTAAACTAGGACTAAACCAAGACTAAACCAGGACTAAAATCAGAACTAAAACCAGGTCTAAACCAGGTCTAAAACAGGTCTAAACAAGGACTAAAATCAGGACTAAAACTGGTTTAAACCAGGTCTAAACCAAGACTAAACCAGGACCAAAATCAGGACTAAAACCAGGACTAAATCAGGTCTAAACCAGGACTAAAATCAGGACTAAACCAGGATTAACCAGGTCTAAACCAGGTTTAAACCAGGACTAAACCAGAACTAAACCAGGACAAAACCAGGACTAAAACCAAGTCTAAACCAGATCTTAACCAGGAATAAAAATTTTAAATAAACCAGGTCTAAACCAGGACTAAAATCTGGACTAAAACCAGGACTAAAACCAGGACTAAACCAGGACTAAAACCAGGACTAAAACAGGTTTAAACCAGGTCTAAACCAAGACTAAACCAGGACCAAAATCAGGACTAAAACCAGGACTAAAACCAGGACTAAACCAGGACTAAATCCAGGACTAAAATCAGGACTAAACAGGTTTAAACCAGGTCTAAACAAGACTAAACCAGGACCAAAATCAGGACTAAAAACCAGGACTAAATCAGGTCTAAACCAGGACTAAAATCAGGACTAAACCAGGACAAAACCAGGACTAAAACCAAGTCTAAACCAGATCTTAACCAGGAATAAAAAATTTAAATAAACCAGGACTAAAATCAGGACTAAACCAGGACTAAAATCAGGACTAAACAGGTTTAAACCAGGTCTAAACCAAGACTAAACCAGGACCAAAATCAGGACTAAAACCAGGACTAAAACCAGGTCTAAACCAGGACTAAACCAAGACTAAAACCAGGACTAAAATCAGGACTAAAACAGGTTTAAACCAGGACTAAACCAGGACCAAAATCAGGACTAAAACCAGGACTAAATCAGGTCTAAACCAGGACTAAAATCAGGACTAAACCAGGATTAACCAGGTCTAAACCAGGTTTAAAAACCAGGACTAAACCAGAAACTAAACCAGGACAAAACCAGGACTAAAGGACTAAAACCAGGACTAAACCAGAACTAAACCAGGACTAAAACCAAGTCTAAACCAGATCTTAACCAGGAATAAAAATTTTAAATAAACCAGGTCTAAACCAGGACTAAAATCTGGACTAAAACCAGGACTAAAACCAGGACTAAACCAGGACTAAAACCAGGACTAAAATCAGGACTAAAACAGGTTTAAACCAGGTCTAAATCAGGTCTAAACAAGGACTAAAATCAGGACTAAACCAGGTCTAAACCAAGACTAAACCAGGACCAAAATCAGGACTAAAACCAGGACTAAATCAGGTCTAAACCAGGACTAAACCAGGATTAACCAGGTCTAAACCAGGTTTAAACCAGGACTAAACCAGAACTAAACCAGGACAAAACCAGGACTAAAAACCAAGTCTAAACCAGATCTTAACCAGGAATAAAAAAATTAAATAAACCAGGTCTAAACCAGGACTAAAATCTGGACTAAAACCAGGACTAAACCAGGAAAAACCAGGACTAAAACCAGGACTAAAATCAGGACTAAAACAGGTTTTAAACCAGGTCTAAACCAAGACTAAACCAGGACCAAAATCAGGACTAAAACCAGGACTAAAACCAGGTCTAAACCAGGACTAAACCAGGACTAAAACCAGGACTAAAATCAGGACTAAAACAGGTTTAAACCAGGTCTAAACCAAGACTAAACCAGGACCAAAATCAGGACTAAAACCAGGACTAAAACCAGGTCTAAACCAGGACTAAACCAGGACTAAAACCAGGACTAAAATCAGGACTAAAACAGGTTTAAACCAGGTCTAAACCAAGACTAAACCAGGACCAAAATCAGGACTAAAACCAGGACTAAATCAGGTCTAAACCAGGACTAAAATCAGGACTAAACCAGGATTAACCAGGTCTAAACCAGGTTTAAACCAGGACTAAACCAGAACTAAACCAGGACAAAACCAGGACTAAAATCAGAACTAAAACCAGGTCTAAAACCAGGACTAAACCAGGACTAAAACCAAGTCTAAACCAGATCTTAACCAGGAATAAAAAATTTTAAATAAACCAGGTCTAAACCAGGACTAAAATCTGGACTAAAACCAGGACTAAAACCAGGACTAAACCAGGACTAAAACCAGGACTAAAATCAGGACTAAAACAGGTTTAAACCAGGTCTAAATCAGGTCTAAACAAGGACTAAAATCAGGACTAAACCAGGTCTAAACCAAGACTAAACCAGGACCAAAATCAGGACTAAAACCAGGACTAAATCAGGTCTAAACCAGGACTAAACCAGGATTAACCAGGTCTAAACCAGGTTTAAACCAGGACTAAACCAGAACTAAACCAGGACAAAACCAGGACTAAAACCAAGTCTAAACCAGATCTTAACCAGGAATAAAAAATTTAAATAAACCAGGTCTAAACCAGGACTAAAATCTGGACTAAAACCAGGACTAAACCAGGACTAAACCAGGACTAAAACCAGGACTAAAATCAGGACTAAAACAGGTTTAAACCAGGTCTAAACCAAGACTAAACCAGGACCAAAATCAGGACTAAAACCAGGACTAAAACCAGGTCTAAACCAGGACTAAACCAGGACTAAAACCAGGACTAAAATCAGGACTAAAACAGGTTTAAACCAGGTCTAAACCAAGACTAAACCAGGACCAAAATCAGGACTAAAACCAGGACTAAAATCAGGACTAAACCAGGATTAACCAGGTCTAAACCAGGTTTAAACCAGGACTAAACCAGAACTAAACCAGGACAAAACCAGGACTAAAACCAAGTCTAAACCAGATCTTAACCAGGAATAAAAATTTTAAATAAACCAGGTCTAAACCAGGACTAAAATCTGGACTAAAACCAGGACTAAAACAGGTTTAAACCAGGTCTAAACCAAGACTAAAGCAGGACTAAAACCAGGTCTAAACCACCACCAGCTGTGTCCTGTCTGCATCTGATTATAAACCGTTTTAATCTCCGATGATCAGGAAGTGCACGTTGGCATGCTCATGAGGATTAACTCTGGACCACTGCAAACTGTTTAAACTGAACCAGATCTGTTTGTTACTCTTTTAAAAACTCATGTACAGTGTCTTTACTCTCGCTGCAGTTTGTTAAATCTAAATGAAAAGGCCTGAATACATTTATGAACCATCAAAGAAAGACTAATTCATTATGTAAACTGAGCTCCATTAAAACACTGGGCCCTTATTAAAATATGTAAAAGAGGCAATGCTGTTTTCTATTCAATATATCCAGCTGCTATTGTTAAAATAATGGACCATACCGTGTCCCTGCTGGGCTACCGTAGATAATCACATTCATAAGTTTTTCACTGACAATACGACGCAGCCAATCTCAGCGACTGAAAGACCTGGTTTAGTACTGGTTTAGACCTGGTTTAGACCTTGTTTAGACCTGGTTTAGTCCTGGTTTAGACCTGGTTTAGATTTGGTTTAGACCTGGTTTAGATTTGGTTTAGTCCTGGTTTAGTCCTGGTTTAGACCTTGTTTAGACCTGGTTTAGACCTGGTTTAGTCCTGGTTTAGTCCTGGTTTAGTCCTGGTTTAGACTTGGTTTAGTCCTGGTTTAGTTCTGGTTTAGTCCTGGTTTAGTCCTGGTTTAGACCTGGTTTAGTCCTGGTTTAGTCCTGGTCTAGACCTGGTTTAGACCTGGTTTAGTCCTGATTTGGACCTGGTTTAGACCTGGTTTAGTCCTGGTTTAGACCTGGTTTAGTCCTGATTTAGACCTAGTTTAGACCTGGTTTAGACTTGGTTTAGTCCTGGTCTAGACCTGGTTTAGACCTGGTTTAGACTTGGTTTAGTCCTGGTTTAGACCTGGTTTAGACCTGGTTTAGTCCTGGTTTAGACCTGGTTTAGACCTGGTTTAGACCTGGTTTAGTCCTGTTTTAGTCCTTTTTGCATAATGAAAAATATTGAAAACGACTGCTGAGCCGAGCTCGTTATGGACAGTTCAAGTGCCAAAAAAAGTACTGGGATGAAAACGTCTTCAGCAAGTCAATGAAGGAGGGTTTAAAGTCAGAGAAACAAGTATTTTTAGGCAAACTTTATAACTATAGTCACACTGAAGTTTACTTGATTATTTTTCCAATTTCAGTTTTCAATTTTGTGTTTAAATGAAAAATGGAAAAAAAAAGGATAACGGACATTTCCCATTTCTGTGAATTAAACTGCGATGCCGGACTGAACCAGGACTGAACCAGGACTAAAACAGGATTTAACCGGTCTCAGTCCTAGTTTGGTCTCGGTCTCAGCCCTGGTCTCAGTCCCGGTCTGGTCCTGGTGTGTTCCCAGTCTGGTAATGGTCTTAGTCTTGGTCTCAGTTCCTGTCTGGTCCTGGTCTCAGTCCTGATCCCCGATAGTCTACGTGGGTGCACTCCCGGGCCAGTCCTGGTTTAGTCCTGGTATAGTCCTGGTTTAGACCTGGTTTAGTCCTGGTTTAATCCTGGTTTAGTCCTGGTATAGTCCTGGTTTAGACCTGGTTTAGTCCTGGTTTAGACCTTGTTTAGACCTTGTTTAGTCCTGGTTTAGTCCTGGTTTAGTCCTGGTTTAGACCTGGTTTAGACCTTGTTTAGTCCTGGTTTAGTCCTGGTTTAGTCCTGGTTTATTCCTGGTTTAGTCCTTGTTTAGACCTTGTTTAGACCTTGTTTAGTCCTGGTTTAGTCCTGGTTTAGTCCTGGTTTAGTGGTTAGTCCTGGTTTAGTCCTGGTTTAGTCCTGGTTTAGTCCTGGTTTAGTCCTGGTTTAGTCCTGGTTTAGTCCTGGTTTAGTCCTGGTTTAGTCCTGGTTTAGATCTTGTTTAGACCTGGTTTAGACCTGGTTTAGTCCTGGTTTAGTCCTGGTTTAGTCCTGGTTTAGACCTGGTTTAGTCCTGGTTTAGACCTGGTTTAGTCCTGATTTAGACCTAGTTTAGACCTGGTTTAGTCCTTGTTTAGACCTTGTTTAGACCTTGTTTAGTCCTGGTTTAGTCCTGGTTTAGTCCTGGTTTAGTCTTGGTTTAGTCCTGGTTTAGTCCTGGTTTAGTCCTGGTTTAGTCTTGGTTTAGTCTTGGTTTAGTCCTGGTTTAGTCCTGGTTTAGACCTTGTTTAGACCTTGTTTAGTCCTGGTTTAGTCCTGGTTTAGTCCTGGTTTAGACCTGGTTTAGACCTAGTTTATTCCTGGTTTAGTCCTGGTTTAGACCTTGTTTAGACCTGGTTTAGTCCTGGTTTAGTCCTGGTTTAGACCTGGTTTAGACCTGGTTTAGTCCTGGTTTAGTCCTGGTTTAGTCCTGGTTTAGTCCTGGTTTAGACCTGGTTTAGTCCTGGTTTAGACCTGGTTTAGACTTGGTTTAGTCCTGGTTTAGACCTGGTTTTAGTCCTGGTTTAGACCTGTTTAGTCCTGGTTTAGACCTGGTTTAGACCTGGTTTTAGACCTGGTTTAGTTTAGTCCTGGTTTAGTCCTGGTTTAGACCTGGTTTAGACCTGGTTTAGTCCTGGTTTAGTCCTGGTTTAGACCTGGTTTAGTCCTGGTTTAGACCTGGTTTAGTCCTGATTTAGACCTGGTTTAGACCTGGTTTAGTCCTGGTTTAGTCCTGGTTTAGTCCTGGTTTAGTCCTTTTTGCATTATCCTTTTTTTCCATTATTCATTTAAAGACAAAATCGAAAACTGAAAAAAACGAATCATTATCCATTTTTTCATTTTGGTTTTGGAGACAGATAATGAAGTAAATCGTTGTTTTTTTGTTTTCTTATTTTTGGTTTTATTTTGAAAAACAAATGAACAAATGATACACAGATTTAATAGCTGACATTTGGTCTCTAAACAGAACCTTTTACTCTTCCTCAAAAAAAATCATTATTTAAACTGAACATTATAATTGCCAAAACATTTTTATTTTTACATTTTGTTTTCCTTTTGTTTCCGCAGGACAGCATGGGGCAGCAGGCCAAGCAGATCCGCACACAAGTGAAGAAGAACAGCGTCAAAGACAAACTCAAACTGGTCCAGAACTTCCTCCAGAGACTGCGCTTCCTGGCAGACGAGGTTTACTCTCCAAACCTGACTCACTTTCATCCATAATCCTGTTTACTCGAGCTCAGACAACACGGAATAGCAACAACTGTTTGATGTCCGTCCTCTCAGGCGTGTTTGCTCTCCTCTTGCAGCCTCAGCACAGTGTTCCAGATGTGTTTGTGTGGATGATGAGTAACAACAAGAGGATCGCGTACGCCCGGGTTCCCTCCAAAGACCTGCTCTACTCCATCGTGGACGAGGAGACGGGCAAAGACTGCGGCAAAGTCAAGGCTGTGTTTCTCAAAGTGAGTCCCAGAACAAACAATTTCTGCAAGATCCATTGAGAGGAAACATATACAGATGTTACTACCAATACAAAATTCAAATACTAAGGAATAGACCAAATACTCAATACAAATTCTCGTTCTTTAGACAACAGAATGTGATTTTCAGTATTAAATATTTTTATATTACCACAAGGCCATATGTCTGTGTAAATCCCTCAGTCATCCTGGTCTTCAGATCCAGTGTTGGGGCAGTTTGAGGAGAGTAACAACCCTCAGGACAAAAGTGTCCTCTGTCCTCCTCTGTCATCTCTGTCCTACAGCGTCACAGCAGTGCACTCTGTTGTTTCCCTTGAAGTGTTTCATCTGGAACGTCTTCTGCCATGGTGGTTGGTGGAAAAAGTCCAGCTCTTCAGATTATAATAATAATCCAGTAGGATCTATTTATACTGTTTGCAATATTTAACCAGTTGTTTCAGTTCTGTTTATTTTTGATCAGATATTAGCAGATTTTTGAAACTTACAGTATTTTAGAGCTGTTGTTTTAAATAGATGAGGCCCGCCTCCCCGGGGGAGGGACTAAACCAGGACTGATCCCAGGATTGAACCAGGACTAAACCAGAACTGAACCAGGACTGAGTGTCGGGACTGACCCAAAGGTGCAGAGCTCTGCGCCCCACAGAGCTAAGAGCAGCCTTCTCCCGATTGTGCTTTGCAGACACCCTGCTCCGTGGCTCGGGGTTCTCCCTCTCTCTCAAGTCCAAGATTAGTCCTGGTTTAGTACTGGTTTAGACCTGGTTGGGTCCTGATTTAGACCTGGTTTAGACCTGGTTTAGTCCTGGTTTAGTCCTGGTTTAGTCCTGGTTTAGTCCTGGTTTACCTGGTTAGACCTGGTTTAGACCTGGTTTAACCTGGTTTAGACCTGGTTTAGTCCTGGTTTAGACCTGGTTTAGATAGACCTGGTTTAGACCTGGTTTAGATTTAGACCTGGTTTAGACCTGGTTTAGACCTGGTTTAGACCTGGTTTACCTGGTTTTCTGGTTTAGACCTGGTTTAGACCTGGTTTAGACCTGGTGGTTTAGACCTGGTTTAGTCCTGGTTTAGACCTGTTTAGACCTGGTTTAGACCTGGGACCTTTAGACCTGGTTTAGACCTGGTTTAGACCTGGTTTAGACCTGGTTTAGACCTGGTTTAGTTTCCTGGTTTAGTTTAGACCTGGTTTAGACCTGGTTTAGACCTGGTTTAGACCTGGTTTACCTGGTTTAGACCTGGTTTAGACCTGGTTTAGACCTGGTTTAGACCTGGTTTAGACCTGGTTTAGACCTGGTTTAGACCTGGTTTAGACCTGGTTTAGACCTGGTTTAGACCTGGTTTAGACCTGGTTTCCTGGTTTAGACCTGGTTTAGACCTGGTTTAGACCTGGTTTAGACCTGGTTTAGACCTGGTTTAGACCTGGTTTAGACCTGGTTTAGACCTGGTTTAGACCTGGTTTAGACCTGGTTTAGACCTGGTTTAGACCTGGTTTAGACCTGGTTTAGATCTGGTTTAGATCTGGTTTAGACCTGGTTTAGACCTGGTTTAGACCTGGTTTAGACCTGAACTACTGATGTTCAGTGATGTTAAAATTCACCTCAGTTTCGCCTGCATGAAGTTGGAAATTATTTGCTGTTGTAAAAATAGTTTTTGCACTTTTAAAAAATATATTATCAGTTCTTATTGAAACTCGTCATTTCCAGGAACTCAATTTGAAAACCCCTGTGTTAGAGGATAAACTTTCTATTCTAATGCTGTATTTTTCCAGCAATATAAATAGGGGTATTATTTTTATTTTATTTTTTTTTCAATATTTCTCCTTTGTCTAATCCCAAATAGTATTTGTTGTTTGCACATGGCGGTGGTATTTTTCTTTTAGCGGAGAGGAATATTTGCGATTGTTGAATCTACTTTCTTTTAGCTCCACTATCCTGTAATATTTATCACTCCACATGTGGATCTGTTCACTTAGCCTCCATCACAGTTACACAGGACAGTTTTATAGAGCAGAGTGATGTCTGAAACCCACAAACTGCCGCAGTGGTCGTAGCAGTAAGTACTAGTAGTAATAAAAAAATAAAAGTTTGCAGTCCACTTGCGTCAGCCCATTATGAAGACGTACACTGATTTTATTCTTGACATTACACCTGAGACGCTTCACACACTTAGTTACAGCGTCTAAATGTTAATGCGGAGTAAAAATCTGGAGTGAAAATCTGCCAAATCGCTGTCACGACTAAATTAACCAGGCGAGATAAGGTTGTGGATAGTTTTGTCTCACCAAAACTTTCTTTTAAATGTGCTGTGAAATCTGTTTGAGTAATCTGCTGAGTCTGCGCTGGCTGCAACGAGGCAAGAAAATCATTTGGATAAAGAACAAAGCTGATTTTAGTTGAGCCAGAGTTTTTAAAAGAGGTTGTGTGGGTTTTTTCAGCAATAGGACGGTTCATTTTTGATACAAGGGAGTAAACTCAGTCCCGATTCTGATACTGTGATGATAATTTTCTCTTTCTCTAGACAGTGTTTAGACCAGGGGTGTCAAACTCATTTTGGTCCAGGGGCCGTGTCCAAAGTACTTTGATCCCAAAGGGGCCGGATCAGAAAACTCATGACGTATAAACCCCAAAAATATCAATAAGTTCAAATATTTGTGCAGAGAAACGCAAATCTATTACAGAAATCTTTTTTTTAATTGATGAACTCTTTTGCAAAATATTATAATATTATGAACAACCTGATTTAGTCCTTGTTTAGTCTTGGTTTTGCTCTAGTTTAGACCTGGTTTAATCCTGGTTTAGACCTGGTTTAGTTCTGGTTTAGTCCTGGTTTAGACCTGGTTTAGACCTGGTTTAGACCTGGTTTAGATCTGGTTTAGACCTGGTTTAGTTCTGGTTTAGACCTGGTTTAGATCTGGTTTAGACCTGGTTTAGTTCTGGTTTAGACCTGGTTTAGTCCTGGTTTAGACCTGGTTTAGTTCTGGTTTAGACCTGGTTTAGTTCTGGTTTAGACCTAGTTTAGACCTGGTTTAGTCCTGGTTTAGACCTGGTTTAGTCCTGGTTTAGTCCTGGTTTAGACCTGGTTTAGTTCTGGTTTAGACCTGGTTTAGCCCTGGTTTAGTCTTGGTTTAAACCTGGTTTAGACCTGGTTTAGTTCTGGTTTAGACCTGGTTTAGTTCTGGTTTAGACCTGGTTTAGACCTAGTTTAGACCTGGTTTAGACCTGGTTTAGTTCTGGTTTAGACCTAGTTTAGACCTGGTTTAGTCCTGGTTTAGACCTGGTTTAGTTCTGGTTTAGACCTGGTTTAGTCCTGGTTTAGTCCTGGTTTGAACCTAGTTTAGACCTGGTTTAGACCTGGTTTAGACCTGGTTTGAACCTAGTTTAGACCTGGTTTAGACCTGGTTTAATTCTGGTTTAGACCTGGTTTAGTTCTGGTTTAGACCTGGTTTAGTCGTGGTTTAGACCTGGTTTAGACCTGGTTTGAACCTAGTTTAGACCTGGTTTAGACCTGGGTTAGTCGTGGTTTAGTCCTGGTTTAGACCTGGTTTAGACCTGGTTTAGACCTGGTTTAGACTTGGTTTAGACCTGGTTTAGACTTGGTTTAGTCCTGGTTTAGACCTGGTTTAATTCTGGTTTAGACCTGGTTTAGTTCTGGTTTAGACCTGGTTTAGTCCTGGTTTAGTCCTGGTTTGAACCTAGTTTAGACCTGGTTTAGACCTGGTTTAGACCTGGTTTGAACCTAGTTTAGACCTGGTTTAGACCTGGTTTAATTCTGGTTTAGACCTGGTTTAGTTCTGGTTTAGACCTGGTTTAGTCGTGGTTTAGACCTGGTTTGAACCTAGTTTAGACCTGGTTTAGACCTGGTTTAGACCTGGTTTGAACCTAGTTTAGACCTGGTTTAGACCTGGTTTAGTCATGGTTTAGTCCTGGTTTAGACCTGGTTTAGTTCTGGTTTAGTTCTGGTTTAGACCTGGGTTAGTCGTGGTTTAGTCCTGGTTTAGACCTGGTTTAGACCTGGTTTAGACCTGGTTTAGACCTGGTTTAGACCTGGTTTAGACCTGGTTTAGTCCTGGTTTAGACCTGGTTTAGTCCTGGTTTAGACCTGGTTTAGTCGTGGTTTAGTCCTGGTTTAGACCTGGTTTAGTCGTGGTTTAGTCCTGGTTTAGACCTGGTTTAGTTCTGGTTTAGTTCTGGTTTAGACCTGGGTTAGTCGTGGTTTAGTCCTGGTTTAGACCTGGTTTAGACCTGGTTTAGACCTGGTGAGCTACTGATGTTCAGTGATGTTAAAATTCAGCTCAGTTTCGCCTGCATAAAGTTGGAAATTAATTGCTGTTTATGAAAATAGTTTATAAATGCACTTTTAAAAAATATCAGTTCTTATTGAAACTCGTCATTGCAGGAACTCAATTTGAAAACCCCTGTTGTGGAGAATAAACTTTCTATTCTAATACTGTATTTTTCTAGCAATATAAACAACAATAGACACGAAGAACATAATATTTTTGTTATTTAAAAATAAATTGATAAAGGCAAATGTTGGATCTCTGCAATTTTATTATGTGAGTTACAAACCTCTTCAAGCGAAAGGGCACAACAAACATCTTTATAATAGTATGTTTTGATGATGTTTTGATAATTTGATCATTTAAAGTTTTTTCTATTATAATATTATGAACAACCTGATTTAGTCCTTGTTTAGTCATGGTTTTGCTCTAGTTTAGACCTGGTTTTAGTTTCTGGTTTAGATCTGGTTTAGACCTGGTTTAGTCGTGGTTTAGACCTGGTTTAGTTCTGGTTTAGTTCTGGTTTAGTCCTGGTTTAGACCTGGTTTAGACCTAGTTTAGACCTGGTTTAGACCTGGTTTAGTCCTGGTTTAGACCTGGTTTAATTCTGGTTTAGACCTGGTTTAGTTCTGGTTTAGACCTGGTTTAGACCTAGTTTAGACCTGGTTTAGACCTGGTTTAGTTCTGGTTTAGACCTAGTTTAGACCTGGTTTAGACCTGGTTTAGACCTGGTTTAGTCTGGTTTAGACCTGGTTTGAACCTAGTTTAGACCTGGTTTAGTCCTGGTTTAGTCCTGGTTTAGACCTGCTTTCTATTCTAATACTGTATTTTTCCATCAATATAAACAACAATAGACACGAAGAACATAATATTTTTGTTATTTAAAAATAAATTGATAAAGGCAAATACTGGATCTCTGCAATTTTATTATGTGAGTTACAAACCTCTTCAAGCAAACATCTTTATAATAGTATGTTTTGATGATCTTTTGATAATTTGATCATTTTTTCTCCATAGCTGCCCGGTAAGAAGGGCTTTGGTCCGGCCGGGTGGACAGTGCAGGCCAAGCTGGAGCTGTACCTGTGGCTGGGTCTGAACAAGCAGAAGAAGGACTTCCTGAGCGGGCTGCCCAACGGCTTCGAGGAGGTCAAGGCCTCAAAGAGCAGCCTGCAGTCTGTACCGCCTGTCACCCTCGTCTACAACAGTGAGTGCACAGACGCAAACAGCTACACGGGATGTTACTGCACACAGGATCATGTCCGTCTTCTCATATTGTTTCCAAATAAAAGTTCGTTTTATTAGACCAGTGTGTTATTTTTTTTTTACAGCTTGACGTGTTTCAGATGCCTTCACACTGGTCTGTTAAAAAAAAAAACTTTATCTGGATATAAAGGAAGATGTTATGTATCTGAAGAATATTAAAGCAAGTACTACAGTTAAATAATTGTTTTACAATAAGGGAATAAAAGAATCAGAATCAGAATCAAATTTATTTGTCATTCCAGTATAAAAAATACACAGAAACGAAACAATGCACTCAGGTCCAGGTCAACAGCAGCACAGATAACAATAAGAACAAATAGTTATAATAAGAATAAATAGTTATAACAAGAATAAAATAGTTAAAAATATTGTATATCAACCCGCCCCCATTTTCTAAAGTGCGTTCCAAGTCAGTGCTGTTTTGTAGTGTTTTTTCTGACAGAATTAATCTGTCTCACGGCATCAGGATAAAAAAGTCTCGTGGTCCTGGCCTGTAGGTGGCGCAATCTTCTGCCTGATGGGAGAGCTGTAAAAAGTTCATGTGCTGGATGGGTGGAGTCTTCCATGATGCTGTGGGCTTTTGTCCTGCACCTGCTGATGTAAATATCTTCAATGCAGGGCAGACTACAGCCGCAGACGCGCTCCGCAGCTCTCTCTCGCAGCTCTAACTATCCTCTGCAGCTCTAACTATCCTCTGCAGAGTTTTCCTCTCTGCCTTGGTGCTGCTGCTGAACCACACAGTCATGTCGGTGGTGGTGATGCTCTCCACCGCACACCTGTAAAAGGCCTTCAGGACAGAGGGGCCCACACCTGCTTTTTTTAGGCACCTAAGAAAGTATAGGCGTTGGTGTCCCTTTTTCACAATGCAACTGGTGTTATTAGACCAGCTGAGACTATTCATGATTTGGACTCCCAGGTATTTAAGACAGGAAACAATCTCCACCGCATCTCCATTGATGTACAGAGGAGAGGGGGCATTAGGTTTCCTGCGGAAATCAACAATCATCTCCTTTGTTTTCTTTATATTGATGCACAGATTGTTGGTTTTGCACCAAGCCTCCAGCTGACAGACCTCCCTCCTGTAATTGGACTCATCGTTGTTCATGATGAGCCCCACCACTGCTGTGTCATCAGCAAACTTCACTATATGATTGAAAGAATAGTGAGCGAGAAACACAATGTAAAGCTGCATTATAGAGCTTCATTCCACCACACCAAGAGTACCGTGTTTTTCGGATTATAAGTCGCACTTTTTGGGGGAAATTTTGTTTATAAAATCAGAGACCAGGAACCGACATTTCATCTTTAAAGTTAAGTTATAGTAAAAACAATGGAACAGAGAACAACAGACTGTTAACGTCACATATGAACAGTTCTTCAGATAATTATAACATAAACAACAGAACAGAACAAGTTTAACAAACTCTCCGTCTCACTCCAAATCACTAAATCCATTCAATCTTCATCCTCTGTGTCACTTCTGAGCAACTCCCTGACCTCCAGAGGTAAACAGAGCGCCGCTTCCTCTTCAGTTCCAGTTAGAATTATTCCGGCCTTTCTGAATCCCGACAGGATGGTTTCGGTGTCACTGAAGTTCATGTTTTGTCGATCCATCCAATGACTTCAGGAAAGTTTCATGGTGCATCCTCCCGGTGTCACAAGTTTCTCGCTCACTCCAAACTTTCTTTCTGCTGCTCGATTACCGTTTTCGGCTGAATATTTCACTACTTGCAAAATATTATTTTCTTTTTGGGGGCATTTATGTTCAGTGTTTTCAGTCGTCTTTATAAGTTTGATTTTCAGTGGTGCAGAAGTAATGGTGCGATCGACTGACATGATACAGACAGGACAGAGGCTCTTTCTGCAGGAGACATGCGCAGTAGAGCAAAGTGACAGTGGTGCAGGAGGAACAGGAGCAGCAGATACTGACTAGAGATGCGCGGATGGGCTATTTTTTCATCCGCAACCGCGACACAAAACTCATCATCCGCCCGCTATCCATTTTGCACCGAAGGTTTTCAAAACCGCACCCGCCCGCCATCCGCCGATCGATTTTAGATTTTAGAACAATCATACAGCAAACAAACTAAGGAGCCTCGATAAAAAATGCAAACTCTATAGCTCATTCTTTCCAAAATTCGCTCAGCGTGTTTGTTCACATTCTTAATTGTCCGTAACAACCCCAAACTTACCTGGTTTTCTTGCGCAGCTAATTAATTGACAATGTTTTCCGACTAGGCTATTTTTGAACCTTCTTGCCTTCGTGTTGGATGTTGTTACATTCTGAACATTCTGCCATTGCCCGATGTTATTTCAAAGTCATAGCCTCACTCCATCGGTCTTTCTTTATGTTTTAAATCCCCCGAGTGGCAGTCTACGCAATAATGTCTGCGTGTTTTAAAATATATCTGATATCGAAATGGCCCTATAGCCACTGAAATAAAATTAGAAATAATAAAATAAACTGCATATAATATGTGCCTCGTAAACCTTAGGCATCAATAACCCGACACAACCTGAACCTTCGAACATAAAAACGAGGTCAAATGGGCTGATTAAGGACATGACGTACACTTCATACTACAAGCATAGACAACGAGACTCGTCTTTCCAGATGTAGGTAACAATACTAACATTTTTTTATTTTTTTATTTTTTTTTTAGTAGTTAAACCGCCACCCGCCCGAATTTAATTAAAATATAATTTTTCATCACGTCATTCGCCCGACCCGCGGATTAACCGAGGATACCGCGGTTGTAACCGCAATCCGCGCATCTCTAATACTGACACACAAGACTAGAGCCTCTTTTAATATATAAGTCGCACCTGAGTATAAGTCTCAGGAAACACCCAAACCATGATAGAAAGTGCGATTTATAGTCCGAAATATACGGTAATATTGTTTTATATTGTACTTTTTTATTATGTTTAAGTTGAAGGGTTGAATGTTTTTTTCAGTACACTATTTGACTGGTAATGTATCATCATCAGAACTGGCTGACAACTAAACCAGGACAAAAAAGACTTAAACTTCACCTGAGTCAATGAACTAGTTTAAACCAGGACAGATTGATCCACATTCACAATAAAGGGGCCAGGAGTTCTGTTTAAAGAAGAGTTCGCACCATTAAAAGTTCCTGAGCTGCACTTTTAAAGGAGAAAGAAAATCGAAATGATTCTCGGTGAAATGAAGTTAGTCATTGTAATAGTTTTTCCCTTTGGAGTCAGTTAAGTTCTAAACCAGAGTTAAATAAAGTCTGGATTTGTCTGGGGGGGGAGTATTGATCTCTGTATCTTGTCTTTAGAGGAGTGAGTGTTTTTGTCTGTGGTGACGGTTGTGTTTGCTCCACAGTGAAGCAGGTGTTCCAGCTCAGGGCCCACATGTACCAGGCCCGCAGCCTCTTCGCAGCAGACAACAGCGGGCTGTCCGACCCCTTCGCCAGAGTCTTCTTCTCCACACACAGCCAAGTCACAGAGGTAAGGGTCATTCACTTTGTACTCGTTTGGCCCTGGTTTGGTCCCCGGTTTAGTTCTGGGTTACGGTAGTACGGTGGCTGAGTGGCTAGTACTCGCATTACAGCCAGACGGTTCCAGGTTTAACCCCCAGATCACTCAGGCCTTCCCGTGTTTTTGGATGGGCACTAGTAGTGTTGTAGTACTCGAGACAGGCCTCGTTTTTTACACTGCGGTGCCTACAGGCCTACAGCACAGGGCAGGTCTAGTCACACGTTATCCAACATATCAGAACGATATTTGCGCTTTTAATTTTAAAGGTTGTATAGAGGATTTTCCAAGGAACGAGAAATCCAGCGACTGTTTGTCCTTTTTCAAATGTTGCGCATGCGTGAAACCACCCCCCCTCCCCTACAGCTCCTACGTAGAAACGCCTCCTCCCGCCTCCTCCTTACGCCAGAAACAGGTTTGTTTACAGCCGGTGAGCTGCACATGACTTGTAAACAACTAACTACAGTGTTGGTTAGGCAAGACGGAGAAGTGAGGAGCGGGGGGAGCGGGTGTGCGGACATTTCGTTCGCGGACGAGAAGTGAGGAGCAGGGAGAAGAGAGCGAGGAGAGAGAGAGAGGAGAGAGGAGAGAGGAGAGGGGAGCGGTGCGCGGAGATTCCGTGCCCGGAGAAGTGAGGAGCAGGGGGAAGAGCGGAACGGGCAGCGGGGACAGGAGCAGGAAAGGGGGTGCAGAGAAGGTTGCGCGGAGATTCAGTGCGAATGAACTAGCTACAACACGCAGCAGCAAGCGGACTCTTTCTTTGCCTTGAAAATTACGTTTTCAGACATAGGATATCGCTTTTCGTGTCCTGAAAAACGTTTGACTAGCTCTTGGAAATAAAGTACGTTTTCATAATAAGCAGAAGTTTCCTGTCCAGGAGTAATTTGGCGACCAAGTGCGTCAGTCTTTAGACCCTGCGTCTGCTTCAGTCGCGCCATCGCTGGAATGAATCTTCAAGAATCACCTTAGTTTGGCTTCGCTGCTTTTCCCCTTGTCTTCTTCTTTCAGCGACCTCAAAAACGGACTTTCTTTTGCGGCTAACTGCTCCTGGATTCTTGTCTGCCATTGCAACAAACTTTGTGCGAACTGCGAGGAAGATATAGGTCAAAAAAAGCCGCTAAGAACTGTTGCGTTGGTGGAGTAAACAGCGTCTGTGCGCGTCTTGCGTCTGTGGACTGCGTGACAGGCGTACGTAAACCACGTACCGGCGGCGCGCAGGCAAGTCAGTTACGCTAGAAACGTAGGGAGATTGATTGACAGCCTGTCAGCTCACAGATAACGAGGCAGTGTCGTTATCTATTGGCAAATGTTTAGCCCCACCACGTCCAGAGTTGATGAATTTTTATTCTCTTTTTTTTGGTCATCATAATTACAAGGCTACTGCACCTCTATAATGCTATCATTGACAACTTGAAACAAAAAAAAATCCTCCATACAACCTTTAAGTTTAATTTGAGTATTTTAGTGTGAATCCAGTTTGTAGTAAAACAGACCCAGGATGACTTTGTACAAAATATCAGCAGAACTTTTCTCTAGAAAGCTAAACTATCGAAATCGCCACTAGCCATGAAAAAAAAAAAAAAATGGATCGATCTGTAGTGGGGTACTCCAGTTTTCAACCCAAAAACCATGCACCATAAGTAAAATCAAGCACCACTTCTCAAATTCTGTCCAAGGTCTGGCTCAGGATCTGATCTGATCAGATTTTGTCAGAGTTACGATCGCCAACTTCACTTCGTTGAAACCCTCAGACCTCGCAGCATTAGGATTTGTTCACTTGACAGTAGGCGGGTACTTTTTTAATTTAACCAATCGCTGCTATTTGGTCGTGACGTATGTAATGCTTCAAATCTCGTAGGAAGAAGGGCAATAACGTCTTTCCCCTTGATAAAATTCACCAAACATTCTCTTTGTTCCGGCTTTAAATCCTCGATCTCAGGAATCGCTTCCAACACAGAATGTCTGTCTTTGTCTACATCCATCTCGACGCTTCGTTTACTGTTGTGATGTACCACAAAAGGGACCCAGACAGGTGCTTGAGTTTGACGTCATGGCTTCACAGCTCTTCATTGATTGGCCAGTGCTCAGTCTACAACTTCTGAGGTTTTTGCAAACCGTCTAGTGTATTCTAATTCCTGACCTAGTTGCTGGAGAGAAAGAAACTGAGTGGAGGCAGTAGGTGGCACCAGCCTGGCCCATCGCCAACAGAGCTCAAAGGAAGTTATCATCCACATGTTTCCAAACATCTGCCCGTTTTGTGATGCAGGTGTGAAAAGAGCCCACACTCAAATCCATGTAAAGTAGACATGTGTATCTGTATAACAATACTTCATCAGCATAATAAAAGACACCAGCCAGTCCCACAATGGACAGGGACACTCTCATTTCCATTCTCCACATTCGAAGCTCTTATGCACACTCACACATAACGGCGGAGTAATGCTGTCTTTGCTCTTTTCAGATCCTGAACGAGACCCTGTGCCCCACCTGGGACCAGCTGTTGGTGTTTGACGATGTGGAGCTGTTTGGAGAGGCCAGCGAGCTCAGGGACGACCCGCCCATCATCGTCATCGAATTCTACGACCAGGACACGGTGGTACGAGCGCACGCACACGCTAAATCTAATATTTGTCATAAGATCGAAAATATTCCCTAGATGGTTCTGAAATAATGTAGAGTAGTCTGTAACCAGGACTAGAGACGGAGCTAGATCAGACTAGGTTTTATACCACAGTCACTACATTTAAATGCACAGGGATCTTTAAATTTGCTCAACAACCAAATATGTTCTGTGCACAGTGAACTTTTATTAAAATCGTAAAACATAAAATAAACAACGTACTAAAATTAGACTTAGACTCAGACAAATTTTATTGCTCCACAAGGGAAATTATTTGGACACAGTAGTTCACACATGATTTATGTATTTATTTTGGGCAAGTAAATAAAAAATTTAATGAAATTATAACAGAAATAACAACAACAAAAAATAAAAAATTGGCCCAAAAAGGAGTGGGAAGAAGAAAATATATTTAATCCCACTCCACACGCATCACAATAAATATATTAACAAAGAGCAAAACATATAAACGGTAATAATTCTAAATAATTAGCAAAAAAGAGCAAGAGACAGTCTTGTCAAGACAAAATAAATTGAAAAAATAATAAATAAAATAATAATAATAAATACAATAATAATAATAATAATAATAATAATAATAATAATAATAATAATAATAATAATAATAATAAATAAATAATAATAATAATAATAATAATAATAATAAATAATAAAATCTCATATACAAGAGGTCATAGGAAGACAGTGCAACAATGATATGAGGACTGACAGAACATAGGGTTGAAATGAATTAAAATAAAGATTATCTGATTAGTTTTATATATAGAATACTAAAGCTTGTGGCATTGTTGTAATATTTATTATAAGGTGACCAAAAAATCCAAAACTGGGTGGTTGGTAATAATAAAATTGTGAAAGAAATGCATAATTAAGGAAAACTGTTCTGCACTCGGCCCATTCGTGACTAACAGTGAGTCAGTATAGTTCCATTTTGTTTATGTTTTGGTAATTTTAAGCATGATTTTCTGTATTTTACGTCAACAAATGACAGTTTAAGCCTCTCGCAAGGATCAAATTGGTCAAAAATAGGGTATGAAATTGGGACAAATCGCTGGTTTTGGATAAATCTGCTGAGACGTGGGGACGCAAGGCTCAAAACTGGCACTATAAATAAGTAAAAGGGGATTTATTATGACACAAAATTCTCCCTGTATTTGCTCATTTTACCACAACTCTGTAAAAACTTTGTTAGTAAAACGTCTTTCAGTCAGTGTATTTCTATTAACGATGTTGTGTCTTTGTCTCCCGCCTGCCCTGGGTTCACTCCTGTCTTTTCCTTTTCTTTCACTTGTATTTCCCCAAATAGAGTTTTAATACCACTGTTTTTTTTTTAAGATAACTATATCTAACGTAGCATGAAATTACAATCTCTCTAAGTTTGATAGAAAACTGCATGCGTTCCCAGTTTCTACTAATGTCACCCCATTACTCACTCTGTGTTGTACAATACTGACCCCGAGTGGCGGTGTTGTGGAAGTGCGCCCCCTCTAACCCCCGGCACATGTCCCCCCCTCCCTCACCTGTCCGGACTGTCCCCCTCTCGGCGGCGGCGGCGTTCAGGGCAAGGCGGAGTTCATAGGTCGCACCTTCGCCAAGCCGACCATAAAGATGTGTGACGAGCACTACGGGCCCCCGAGGTTCCCCCCGCAGCTCGAGTACTACCAGATCTACAGGGGCCACTGCACGGCCGGGGAGCTGCTCGCCGCCTTCGAACTGCTGCAGGTAAAAACTACTAACTATTGTACTCTTAAAAGTACTATAAATGTCAAAAATACATGTGCCCAGGTCATTTCTGTGGTAGTAGTAATTTATGAAGCAGTAGGTGTGTAGCTGAAGTAGTAGTAGTAGTAATTGAAGGAGTAGTAGTAATTGACGAAGTAGATAACTTTTTTAGTAGTAGTAGTAGTGGTAGTAGTAGTAGTAGTAATAGTAGTAGTAATAGTAGGTGTAATAGAAGAAGCAGTAGTAGTAGTAGTAGTAGTAGTAGTAGTAGTAGTAGTAGTAATAGTAGGTGTAATAGAAGAAGCAGTAGTAGTAGTAGTAGTAGTAGTAGTAGTAGTAATAGTAGTAGTAATTGAAGGAGTAGTAGTAATTGACAAAGTAGATAACTTTTTAAATATTATTATTATTATTAGCAGTAGTAGTAGTAGTAGTACTAGTAGTAGTAGTAGTAATAGTAGGTGTAATAGCAGAAGCAGTAGTAGTAGTAGTAGTAGTAGTAGTAGTAGTAGTAGTTAGTAATAGTAGGTGTAATAGAAGAAGCAGTAGTAGTAGTAGTAGTCGTAGTAGTAATAGTAGTAGTAATTGAAGGAGTAGTAGTAATTGACAAAGTAGATAACTTTTTAAATATTATTATTATTATTAGCAGTAGTAGTAGTAGTAGTACTAGTAGTAGTAGTAGTAGTAGTAGTAGTGGTAGTAGTAGTAGTAGTAGTAGTAATAGTAATAGTAAATGTAATAGAAGAAGCAGTAGTAGTAGTAGTAGTAGTAGTAGTAGTAGTAGTAGTACTAGTAGTAGTAGTAGTACTAGTAGTAGTAGTAGTAGTAGTAGTGTTTGAAGAAGTAGTAGTAATTGAAGCAGTAGTAACAGTAACTGAAGAAGAAGTAATTGAAGTAGTAGCCTAGTAGTAAATGAAGAAGCAATAATTGAAGAAGTACTTGTAATAGTAAGTGAAGAAGCAGTAGTGGAATTCGTAGTTGTTGTTGTAGTAGTAGTAGTAGTAGTAATAGTTGCAATCGAAGAAGAAGTAGTTGAAGTAGTAGAAGTAGTAGTAGCAATAGTAGTAATTAAAGAAGTAGTATTTTAAGTAGTAGTTGTAGTAGTAATAGAAGTAATGTGTAGAAGTGTAGAAGTGATAATAGTAATAGAAGAAGTATTTAAAGAAACAGTAGTAGTAGTAATTGAAGAAGCAGATGATGAAGTAGCAGAAGCAGTAGTAGTAGCAGTAGTAATAGTGGAAGCAGTAGTTAAAGAAGTAGTAGTAGTGGTATAGTGTTTACATTTGGGCAAGTTGTTATTAACTAATGAATGTTTTGCTGAAGTATTTCTAACGTTGTATTATATATTATTTGTAGTAAGTATCTTTAAAAATAATAAAAGTAGACCTAATAGTACTTGTGGTTTAAGTAGAAATGTGTGTCGCACAATATTCTCAGTACAGTACAATACAAAAGCAGTACAATATAAGAAAGTGTAGTAGTAACAGTAGAAATAACAACATTTTTTATATTTTTAACAGCAGTACAAATAGTATCTTCTCTTACGAGCTTGAACAATACCTAGTAATAATATACAGAGGAATAGTATTTGTAATGGTAGTAGTTGTTATAGGTATATAAAAGTAGTAGTTACGTACACAATAGAAACAAAGTAGTGACATTGATTGTGCTGTAGTATTTTGAATATTCAGTTTATGTAACCATCTCTGACAATTATACACTACTACTTCACTTTCAGCTGTTATCATCAAGTTTGTGTTTTGTTTGCTCTTATTTCCACTGTCACTAATTATTTAAAGGTCCTATATTACACAAAATGACTCTTGTACTTTACTTTAAGCCATGTTATAATGTTGTTTCCTCCTCAAAACAGACCTGGAGTTGTGTTTTGTTTGACTAATACTTTATTATTTGATATTTTTGGGAGATTATGGTTGATAAGAATTGACTCCATACCCAAATGAATAGTTACGTGGAAGAAGTGTAATAATATCAGGATGCTTTATGTTACATCTTCACGATCATTTATAGTTTGTGATAATGAGAATGGGAACTCTTGGAATATAAGTAAAAGGAAAAAGTACATATACGAAACAAGAGGCTGCTGTACGTGCTCAAATACAACCGGGAGTACGTAGCTGTCAGCTGTATATCACTTAAAGGTTGTATAGAGGATTTTTTAAGGGAAGTGAAATACAGCAACCGTCCTTTTTCAAATGTTGTGACACCACCTTCCTCCTCCACAGCTCCCACAGTAGAAACATTTCGTCCTCCCGCCTCTTTACTCTAGAAATCACGTTTGTTTACAGCCAGTGCGTGTTCAAAATCACCGTTGAAGTTTCCTGTCTAGAAATAAGTTAGCGACTGACGCCTCAGTTTTTAGACCCTTCGTCTGCCTCAGTCGTGCCATCGCTGGAAGGAATCTCCAAGAATCACCTCAGTTTGGCTTCGCCCCTTTTCCCCTTCTCTTCTTCTTTCAGTGACCTCAAAACTGGACTTTCTTTTGCGGCGAACTGGTCGTGGATTCTCGTCCGCCCTCGCAACAAACTTTGTGCAAACTGCGAGGAAGCGACAGTTTGAAAAAGCCTCTAAGAACCGCTGCGTAAACCACATAATCCCCGCGCTCCGACAAGTCAGTTACACTAGAAACATATGGAGTTTGATTGACGACCTAACAGCCAATAGAAAATGAGGCAGTCTCGTTTTCTATTGCCTGATGTTTATTTGGCCTCAACACGTCCACAGTTGATAGATTTTCATTCTTTTTTTTTTTTTTGGTCATCATAATTACAAAGCTGATGCGTCTCTGTAATGGTATTTTAAACTTTCAATGACAATTTGAAACTGAAAAAAAAAATCCTCCATACAACCTTTAACAAAAACATAAACTCTTATCAGCACTGGAAACTCCGGAACATGTTCCAAATCTAACGCACATCTGGATCATGAGAAGAGGAACGTTTCCAAAGTGCTGCACACACAAATTAATACAACAAAAGACAGTAAACAATAAATAAAAAATGTTAACATGCATAAAGCTAAAAAGTGATCAAACAGTGAATAAATAGAAGAGACAGAGGACCACACAACTCACACGGTGTTAAAAGCCAGAGAGTAAAAATGGGTCTTAAGACGAGACTTTAAACACTCCGCCGTGGGGCCAGTCCATTCGAAGCTTTAAAAACAAACCATAAAATCTAAAAAATCAAGTCTAAATCGAACAGGAAGTCAGTGCAAAGACGCAAGGATTGGTGTGATATGTTCTCGTTTTTTGGTTCGTGTTAAAAGTTAAAAGTCGGGCACATCCACAACAAGACAGACATAATAAAATAAAAAACTAACACGCATACAAAGAAAGAAAAAAGAAGAGGGAAAAAAAAAAAGAAAGAAAGAAAGTAGGGTGGGGTTGGAGGGGGGTTGTGTGTAGTACAGAGTTTCTCAATGCAGTGTTTGCATGTGTGTATTTACATTTTAGGGCCGTCAAATCAAATTTACATTTACATATTTTCTGTTTCCTTCCCATATCTTTCGTTAGTTTGTTTTTGGCAACCCCCAAAACGCACTTACACGTACATTACATTATACAGTCATTTACATACACATATATTTTGACATTCTCCAACAGTATGTTAGTCTTATTTTACTGTGCTTTGTCCAAATGGGGCCGAAAGTGTGTTTGTCTTTGTACCAGTTGTCTATGTCGAAGCACTTATGTTTACGTTCCTTCCAGTTCATCATAATAATACGTTTAGCTGATTAAAAAAAAAAAAAAAAACTCAGTGATAATGCAGTATGTGATCCAATTTTTGGGATGAAAAGTTTGGAGTTCTTATTCCAAATAGGCACAGCAATAATAAAAGCGCCTGTTCGAAAAGATTAAAAGATAAATAAGGTTTGACTTTTTTTGATAAAAGCCGTAAATGATAAAAACGTGTTTGTCTGTCTACATCTCCAAAGCTCAAAATGCTCTGTTCCAATTTGTCTTAACAGCTACTTTTTGACAATTTTGAGAGACGAACACAACCTAAACACGCAGAATTTGTGAGTTAAACATGATTGAATGAAACAAAACACAACTCCAGGTCTCCGGAAAATGGCGTAACGTAATACGGGCCCTTTAAATCACTTCAGAAAATGTTTTTGTGCATTTCCACTCTTCTGTTTCTTCGGGGTCTTCCTCTAAACGACATCTTCCCGTCTTGTCCTGCTGTCCATCTGTGTGCTGTGGCAGGTTCCTTTTGACTCAGAGGAGATCAGGAGAGCTCTGATCGCTGTCCATAACTTTGCTGTCCCTCAAATCAAGGTGCTCTTTCTCATTCTCTCCTTCATCTCACTGTGTTTGTTTGGACTCTGTGTCTCTGTGTCTTGACAATGTATTATGAAGTATAGTGAGTTAAATTCCCCAGTCTGAAAACTACCTCAGTGGGGTAATTCTCCAGCTAGGTGATCAGAAGGAGACTGGAATCGTTTTTTAGATCTAGAGAAGGTTTCTGGGCATTGTCTGGTTGCCTTTTCCACCTGCGCTGGTTCAAAACATGAATGTCACAAGGTTCAAGAAGATCAAGATACTTAAAAACGATCATTTCAATTTCAATTTTCAATGGACGCATCAAGAATCTTGGACTTCCGGTCATTGCGCAACGCATACTGTAAATGGCCTCGCTAGATGCTGCACTAGCTATCCAAACAGTTAAACGTAGACCCAGAAGAACTTCACAGAGAGCGGCTGGCTTTGGTGAAATTTACTGGTTCTTTGTCCCGTGAAACTACAACAGCAAACACATACAAAAATAGCCATTAATATATGTGCCAAATAAATTACAAATTATAAAGAGTACCAACAATTAAAGTAACAGTCAATGAATTTAGGCAATTAGCATAACGGTTAGCATAGCGAAATTAGCATATGAATTGCGAACTAATTTGCATAACAATGTTGCACCAGAAACGTGCTAACTAGTACATTACAAACTCAAAACACAATATTAAAGGTGTACAATCATGTTTCACCATGTAATACTCACAGACGACGCTTGAACAAACACCAAAAAGACTCAACAGAACCAAAGGGCGGCCATTTTGGAGGAGAGAGGCCTGAACAACAACTTCCTGTCTAACATTCTTCTTCTACTATTATTATCACAGGAATAAATTAAAGCGACCACTAGATGGCGTAACTTAGCATTCAATAAACATAAAACAGTTAAATACAGTAAACATAACGCATACTGGGAAGGATTTTCCGAGAAAGTGAGCATCAAACCGCCATGTTTGTTTTCCCAGTGGGATGCGTCGATTGACAAAGTCGATCTTTTCAAGTCTTTTGAACCATATCGCTTTTGTTTCTGGTTCTGATATTGTCATATTTTAGTTTTGGGATTCGGACATCGTAATTGCGTGGTTGTTTTATGTCCTAACACCGGAAAACGTCTCGAGAAATTTGTTTGTGAACTCCATAAATGCAAAAGGGAAAATCCTTCCCAGTATTGACCGGACGTCCAAGATTCTTGATGCATCTATTGAAAATTGAAATTGAAATGATCCTTTTTAAGTATCTTGATCTTTTTGAACCTTGTAACCTTGTAGTTTGTAACGTAATCCATTAAATTACCGTAATTAAACTTTGGATTACGTTGCTGAGTAGAACTTTAGGAATCTTAAGATGTTTGAAAGTTAAGACCGGAAATTCACCTTAGACCTGGTTTAGACCTGGTTTAGACCTGGTTTAGTTAGACCTGGTTTTAGACCTGGTTTAGACCTGGTTTAGTTTAGACCTGGTTTAGACCTGGTTTAGACCTGGTTTAGACCAGTTTAGACCTGGTTTAGACCTGGTTTAGTTTAGACCTGGTTTAGACCTGGTTTAGTAGACCAGTTTAGACCTGGTTTAGACCTGGTTTAGACCTGGTTTAGACCTGGTTTAGTCCTGGTTTAGTCTTTAGACCTGGTTAGACCTAGACCTTTAGTTTAGACCTGGTTTAGATCTGGGACCTGGTTTAGTAGTTTAGACCTGGTTTAGTCCTGGTTTAGTCTGGGTTTTAGTTTAGACCTGGTTTAGACCTGGTTTACCTGTTTAGACTGGTTTAGTTTTCTGGTTTAGACCTTGTTTAGACCTGGTTTAGCTGGTTTAGTTTAAGTTAGTCCTGGTTTAGACCTGGTTTTTGTTTAGCCTGGTTTGGTTTAGAGTTTAGTCCAATGAGTGAAATTACCGAAAAAATAAAATAAAATGAAAGGGATTTAGCCCAGAATGTGAAAACGGGAAAATCCCTCCGTGTAATCCATTTACTTCAACAAAGTAACTGTAATCCAATTACCACTCACTGAAACTGAAACAGTAACTGTAACCGAATACAGTTACTCATAATTTGTACTCTGATTACGTAACTCCGGTACATGTAATCTGTTACTCCCCGACACTGCTAGAGCGCGATGTGAGAAAATATAGATGTTTTTCTTGTCCAGATCGGTCAGGGCGGACGAGCAGAACTTCCTCCGATTGAAACCAGCACAGACTCTGAGCGTGGGCCCATAGTCCCCGTGCCCCTGGGGATCAGACCTGTGCTCAGCCGCTACCGCATAGAGGTACAACTGTCACTAAAGACATTTTCTATTGCTTTGTTTTTATTTGTCATGACTCTCACTGGTCTAGAAATAAAGGCAGTTTCTATTAAAGTTCTCTTGTTTCCTGCAGGTCTTGTTCTGGGGCCTGAGGGACTTGAAGAGGATAAATCTGGCTCAGGTAGATCGCCCCCGTGTGGACATAGAGTGTGCGGGACGAGGGGTGCAGTCGGCGCTCATTCAGAACTATAAGAAAAACCCAAACTTCAGCACTCTGGTCAAATGGTTCGAGGTGGTAAGTGCAAATATAGAATTCTAATGGACTTTATTTAGAGATCTTTTACATGACAAAAAGTTAAAAAAAAAACTAAAAAAAACTTGTTAATTTGAGTTCATTTGCAGTGGTCCAGTTTCCCTTTCACAACTTTTAGGCTCCGTCGCAGTAACGTCAACAACGTCAACTAAATGTGATGACGGATGAACAAAAAACTTCAAATAAACTCACGATTCAGGACTGATCTGGGACTAAACCAGGACTAAATCAGTTCTAAACCAGGACTAAACCAGAACTGAACCAGGACTGAACCAGAACTGAACCAGGATTGAACCAGGTCTGATCCAGGACTAAACCAGGACTGAACCAGGACTAAACCAGGACTGAACCAGGACTAAACCAGGACTAACCAGGACTAAACCAGGACTGAACCAGGACTGAACCAGACTGAACCAGGACTAAACCAGGACTGAACCAGTTCTAAACAGGACTAAACCAGGACTGAACCAGGAACTGAACCAGGACTGAACCAGGACTAAACCAGGACTGAACCAGGAACCAGGACTAAACCAGGACTAAACCAGGACTGAACCAGGACTGAACCAGGACTGAAACCAGGACTAAACCAGGACTGAACCAGGACTGAACCAGGACTAAACCAGGACTAAACCAGGACTGAACCAGGACTAAACCAGGACTGAACCAGGACTACACCAGAACTAAACCAGAACTGAACCAGGACTGAACCAGGAGGACTGAACCAGGACTAAACCAGGACTGAACCAGGACTGAACCAGGACTAAACCAGGACTGAACCAGGACTAAACCAGGACTGAACCAGGACTGAACCAGGACTGAACCAGGAGGACTGAACCAGGACTAAACAGGACTAAACCAGGACTGAACCAGGACTGAACCAGGACTGAACCAGGACTAAACCAGGACTGAAACCAGGACTGAACCAGGATTAAACAAGGCAGGACTGAAACCAGGACTGAACCAGGAACCAGGACTAAACCAGGACTGAACCAGGAGGACTAAACCAGGACTGAACCAGGAACCAGGACTAAACAGGACTGAACCAGGACTGAACCAGGACTGAACCAGGACTGAACCAGGACTAAAGCAGGACTAAACCAGGACTGAACCAGGAGGACTAAACCAGGACTGAACCAGGACTAAACCAGGACTGAACCAGGACTGAACCAGGACTGAACCAGGACTAAACCAGGACTGAACCAGGACTGAACCAGGACTGAACCAGGACTGAACCAGGACTGAACCAGGACTGAACCAGGACTAAACCAGGACTGAAACCAGGACTGAACCAGGACTAAACCAGGACTGAACCAGGACTAAACCAGGAACCAGGACTGAACCAGGACTGAACCAGGACTAAACCAGGACTGAACCAGGACTGAACCAGGAGGACTAAACCAGGACTGAACCAGGACTAAACCAGGACTAAACCAGGACTGAACCAGGACTGAACCAGGACTGAACCAGGACTGAACCAGGACTGAACCAGGACTGAACCAGGACTGAACTAGGATTGGACCAGGATTGAACCAGGATTAAACCAGGTCTAAACTAGGACTAAACCAGGTCTAAGCCTGGACTAAACTTGGACTAAACCAGAAGTGAACAAGGTCTAAACTAGGTCTAAACCAGGTTCAAACCAATTCTAAACCATCACTAAACCAAGACTAAACCAGGTTTAAATCAGGACTAAACCAGGACTAATCTTGGACTTGAGAGCGAGTGGGAGAACGCTTAGCCCCATGGGGCGAGGAGCTCTGCTGCTGCCCTTTCGCCTGTGGTCACCCGACGGGCCCGTCCCAACACTCAGTCCTGGTTTAGACCTGGTTTAGACCTATTTCAGTCCTGGTTCAGTCCTGGTCCCTCATGTGGCAGGTGTAGGAGAGTACTGCAGATATCATGAGCTTATGTAGTTTGTTTTCACCCTTGCCAGTAGCTCCAGTTTGACATTTAAGTTGTAGCTTTTATATTAGCTTTTATTTTTTATATCTTATGAAGTGGGTGGATGACAAACCCCCACGTACCGCGCCCACTACACCCCTGTTCACTGTGAATCGTTAGAATGCTCAGAATGCGTTGGGAAAAGGTTTGGACCTCTGCAAACTGTCCTCTAGATCACTGTGTTTGACATTTTAAAGGTTGTATAGAGGATTTTCCAAGGAACGAGAAATCCAGCGACTGTTTGTCCTTTTTCAAATGTTGCGCATGCGTGAAACCACCCCCCTCCCCTACAGCTCCTACGTAGAAACGCCTCCTCCCTCCTCCTCCTTACGCCAGAAACAGGTTTGTTTACAGCCGGTGCACATGACTTGTAAACAACTAACTACAGTGTTGGTTAGACAAGACGGAGAAGTGAGGAGCGGGGGGAGGGGTGCGCGGACATTTCGTTCGCGGACGAGAAGTGAGGAGCAGGGAGAAGAGCGGAGCGGGGAGGAGAGAGGAGAGAGGAGAGAGAGGAGAGAGGAGCGGTGCGCGGAGATTCCGTGCCCGGAGAAGTGAGGAGCAGGGGGAAGAGCGGATCGGGCAGCGGGGACAGGAGCAGGAAAGGGGTGCAGAGAAGAGTTGCGCGGAGATTCAGTGCGAATGAACTAGCTACAACACGCAGCAGCAAGCGGACTCTTTCTTTGCCTTGAAAATTACGTTTTCAGACATAGGATATCGCTTTTCGTGTCCTGAAAAACGTTTGTCTAGCTCTTGGAAATAAAGTACGTTTTCATAATAAGCAGAAGTTTGACCTGTCCAGGAGTAATTTGTGGACCAGTGCGTCAGTCTTTAGACCCTGCGTCTGCTTCAGTCGCGCCATCGCTGGAATGAATCTTACAAGAATCACCTTAGTTTGGCTTCGCTGCTTTTCCCCTTGTCTTCTTCTTTCAGCGACCTCAAAAACGGACTTTCTTTTGCGGCGAACTGCTCCTGGATTCTTGTCGCTATTGCAACAAACTTTGTGCGAACTGCGAGGAAGATATAGGTCAAAAAAAGCCGCTAAGAACTGTTGCGTTGGTGGAGTAAACAGCGTCTGTGCGTCTTGCGTCTGTGGACTGCGTGACAGTCGTACGTAAACCACGTACCGGCGGCGCGCAGGCAAGTCAGTTACGCTAGAAACGTAGGGAGATTGATTGACAGCCTGTCAGCTCACAGATAACGAGGCAGTGTCGTTATCTATTGGCAAATGTTTAGCCCCACCACGTCCAGAGTTGATGAATTTTTATTCTCTTTTTTTTGGTCATCATAATTACAAGGCTACTGCACCTCTATAATCTATCATTGACAATTTGAAACAAAAAAAAATCCTCCATACAACCTTTAAGGCAATAAAAATGAGGAATTAGGAATACAAATAAGAATGCAGAAAGAAAGCCTGACGTGATCTGACGCGATCCAGGACCTGCCGGAGAACGAGCTGCTGCACCCTCCCCCTGAACATCCGTGTGGTGGACTGCAGGGCGTTCGGGCGGTACATCCTGGTGGGCTCCCACGCCGTCACCAGCCTCAGACGCTTCATCTACAGCGCCCCGGACAAGAGCTCCAACCACTGGGCCACTGCAGGTACAACTCAGACGACTAGATTTACTGTTCATACGTGTTTTATCTGGTATTTAATTGGAATATTTAGAAACAGTAAGGCAGTACAGTCTCTCCTTTCTGTTTTCTCTTTCTCTTATATTCCTGTTTTATAAATAACCATTTGATTTAGTGTAGTTTTTAGTCTTTGTAGGTCAGATATCCATTGTTTTCTTCATTTACTTTCTATTTCAGGTCTATTCAACTTAAAATATATATACTATGTTTCCTGGTTTACCATTGGTGTGGGTATTCTAGTCTGCTTTATTACTGTAACTGTGTATAAATCCTGTGTTCATTCATACTTTAAAGGTCCTGTATTACACAATTTTGACTTTTGTGAGCTTTAAGTCATGTTAGAATGTCGTTTCCTTCTCAAAAACAGACCTGGAGTTGTGTTTTGTTTCATTCACACATGTTTCTGTAATGTTTTATTATTAGTCTGTCTACATCTCTAAAGCTCAAAATACTCTGTTCCACCCTGTGATGTCATAAGGTGGTAGTTTTAAAGTAGGGGTGCACCGAAATGAAAAAGTGTGGCCGAATACCGAAACCGAATATCAAATGCGGTTGTTAAGTTTCTCACAATTTTTTAAATATTGTATAAATAGCCTAGAATACATTTATAGATGTGTTTTTAAAAGAAAATAAATGTTTCAAATACAGGCACTCAAAAGAACAAAATAATGAAAAGCCTTTAATACCACATGGCAGATAAAGTTAAAATCACGCCAACACCTTTCTGCATTTTGGTCAAAGTCGAGATGGTTATCACAGTGCAGATGTAAAGTCATAGTTGTAGGTCACATGTTCACAGTGGGCTGGTCCACAGTCCAGTCCCCCTGGTGCATGATGGGACATGTAGGCTCAACAGATTTTAGTTACGAGCTATTTAATATAATACAAGATATAAACTGTACAAATCCCAACAAACAATATATTGAAAAATACATAAATTCAAAAGTGCTACAGATACAACTATAATTTGTATAATATATTAGAAGACTAGTCTTAAACAGTTTCATGGAGACGAAGAGTAAATGTTTATTTAATATTCTTTAAATATTCCTGTAGCTGTATACCAGTAAGTTTTTCATTCATATTAGGCTAGGCCTTCAACAACAATTCCTAAAAGCCTTAAGTGCATTAAAGTGGATAAACCCACAACAAATGAATTATTGTCCTTTTGGCACAAGTCTGCTTCTCTCAATAAATGTGTGTTTGTAGCCTCATTCACTAAAACAGTCTGTATAATACAGGTACACAATATATCCCAGGCCAGAACAGATAATAACAGCACTTCAGTTCCAAAATAAAAAGATTATAAGGGTTGATCATCTAAAGCAGGGGTGTCAAACTCAGATTCACAGAGGCCAAAATTAAAAACTGGGAGTCAGGACTGGAAGTCGTGGGCCAAACTAAATATTATTATAACGGTTTGAAAAAAATTCAACAACATTTACATGTTACATGAATCTCATGTTCCAAATATATTTATATCGCGGGCCAAATTTGGACCCCGGGCCTGAGGCCTGACGTCTGATCTAAAGCCTTGTACTGGCTTTTAAATAACTGACTAAACCAATAGTGGTAAATGCCTTAGGCCCTTTAGATATTTTGGTGTAACATTCATTTCAAACTGCAGTTCTTTTCTCACTCTCAAATTTCCACACTGCCGACATTTTAAAGAAGGCGTCAGATCACTGCGTCACTGCACGTTGTTCAATTGCGCCGAATGTGGCTTTTTTTTTTTTTTTTTTGCAATATTCAGCCAAATATATTCAGTTGCCAAATATTCGGTGCATCCATATTTTAAAGTTAACAGCTACTTTTTATCTTTTGTTCAGTAGAGATTGGAAATTCCAGGGCTGAAATCATCCAAATGATCCTAGTGAAGAACACAGAGGAGCTCCTCATCTGTTGTTTTACTATAAAACATCACAAGACGAAACAGAGTGTTTTCAGTTTGAGTGAAGAACTGAGCCTAAATCTGCAGGGTTTGTTTGTTGAACATGTGTGAATGAAACAAAACACAACAAAACAGTGTAATATGGGCCCTTTAAATGTGTAAACCTCCGGTCTTACTTTGTCTGAGAAATATAACTGTGTCTGTGTGGCTCGCTTTGCTTCACCATCTGCCTTTTGTTTCTTCTTTCTTCTTTTTCATATCTCACTCCGCTCACCCTGTCTTACCACCTTGACCCTGCTCTCTCCTGCTCCTCACTGCCCCCTGGTGGTCACTCACGCCTCAGCTAAACTAATGAACGGCTACCTGGTGCTTGCTAACGGCGGCTCCCAGCCTCGTGCCTCACCCAGCGTCTCCTCGCGCACTTTCTCTCGCCCCGCAGGTGACGTCATCCTCAACATGGACGACAGCAGCGTGCGCAAGATGGACACCATAGTCAGACTGGACGCTGTAAGACAAAGAGTGTGACTGTTGTTGTGAAAGAGGAGTGGGTGGAGACAGCTGCAGAGACTTAAAGGTTGTATAGAGGATTTTTTAAGGGAAGAGAAATACAGCGACAGGCCTTTTACAAATGTTGTGCATGCGTGACACCACCTTCCTCCTCCGCACCTCAGTAAAAACATCTCCTCCCGCTTCCTAACTCTAGAAATCACGTTTGTTTACAGCCAGTGTTAAAGTGACCGTCTAGAAATAATTTAGTGACCGACACGTGAGTATTTAGACCCTTAGTCGGCTTCAGTCGTGCAATCGTTGGAAGGAATCTCCAAGAATCACCTCAGTTTGGCTTCGCTCCCCTCCTCTTCTTCTTTCAGCGACCTCAAAAACGGACTTTCTTTTGCGGCGAACCGGTCATGGATTCTCGTCCGCCATCGGAACAAACTTTGTGCGAATTGCGAGGAAGCGACAGTTTGAAAAAGCCTCTAAGAACCGCTGCATAAACCACGTAATCCCAGCGCGTCGGCGAGTCAGTTACACTAGAAACATAATGGAGTTTGACTGACAACCTAACAGCCAATAGATAAAGAGGGAGCCTCGTTATCTATTGGCTGATGTTTATCTGGCCCCACCATGTCCACAGTTAATAGATTTTCATTCTTTTTGTTTTGGTCATAATAATTACAAGGCTGCTGCGTCTCTGTAATGGTATTTTAAACTTTCATTGACAATTTGAAACAAAAAAAAAAATCCTCCATACAACCTTTAAAGTGGGACTAAACACCTAAACTCCGCCCACAACCACAATTTAAATAAAGCTGCTAAACTGGAGAACTTAAGAGGAGGGATTTTCAGAGAAGAACACGCTTTGTAAATAGATACATATGTTTTTTTTTTCACTGCTGATGCCAAATATTTAGAATCCAGAGCAACCAATGGCTGATAAACTCTGCAGATATTTTTTGGCCAATATGTAGGGCTGATTTTAATTTTTTTAGGGAGGCTTGCGGGAGTGCAGTGCTCTACCGCTGCAAAGCTTGATCGGGCTACGGCTGTGCTTAGCTCCATGAGGCGCGGAGCTCTGTCCCAGTACTTTCGCCTGCGGTCACCTGACGGTCTACGCAGCACTCAATCCTGCTTCAGTTTTGGTTTAGTCCTGGTTCAGTCTTGGGATCAGTCCTGGTTTAGGCCACCTGTGTCTCACCTCCCCAGTGGCTCTCTGGCCTCACTTATTGAAAACCACTGCATTAAAGTGTGCAAATCAGTCGGTCTATGTATCGGAACACTCTGTACACACAATGGTCTTAGTTAAAAGCTGCTTAAAGGCTGCTTATACAGTGCAGTGTAGCTGTACTCAGGCAGAACTATTTGACCTCAACTACACAGACAGAAATTGGGTGCAGACACTTTAATTAGAACTTAAAATTAGATTGTTAAGGTAAGAAGTTGGTTTGGAATCCAGGTACAAAATGTACCACACAATACTTCATTAACTGTTTAATCAGAGCTGTCAGCTTTGATTCGACATCCAGCCCTTTAAGAGACCAAGACCTAAACAGGCTGGTGCCACCTAGTGCCTCTGCTCAATTTCATTTCTCTCCAGCGACTAGGTCAGGAATCAGAATACACACGTAGATCAAGGGTCTCCAACCTTGTTCCTCGGATTAAAATTTATGCCAAAATGAAAATGCCAGAGAGCTACTAAATTTAGCCATCACAGGAAATAAAATCTACATAAGAGCCATGGAAAGACTTAGATGGGGTACAGTTATATAAAACATAAAACATAAACCATTATTTATTTAAGACTGATAGATTTACAATAAAAAATAGGCATTTAATTAATCAAATTTGAGTTATTCAGGACAATACGTGTAATTTAGAAATCCCTTGGCGAGCTGCTTGGAAGGGGGTGGAGAACTATTGGTAACTCCGGAGCTACAGGTTGGAGACCCCTGCACTAGACTGTTTGCAAGAACCAAGAAGTGCGAGTTCGGGCACCAGCCAATCAGCGAAGAGCCGTACATTCTGTGTTGGCAACGATTCCCGAAATCGAGGATTGAAAGCCGAACGAAACAAAGAGAATGTTTGGTGAATTTTATCAAGGGGAAAGACGTTATTGCCCTTCCTTCTATGGGATTTGGGAAAAGCTTAATATACCAGTTAGCCCCGTTAGCGGCGCATTACATACGTCACGACCACATGGCAGTGATTGGTTAAATTAAAAGAAGTACCTGCCTGACCATCAAGAGAATGAATCCCAGTGCTGCGAGGTCAGACGGTTTCCATGAAGTGAAACCAAGACTTTTGCTTCTGGCAGTATTATTCTGGCCACACTCCCCCCACAGTGAACGACCATTATCAATTGAACACTACCTGCTTCAGAAAATAGTGGCCATTGTGTTAGAAGTAGCAGCTGTCTTTGCCCACTGCCTTTTCAATATAGCCATACTGGGTCTATATTGTTGTGTGCCCTGTAGACTTTGTATCCTTGTATCTGATTGTGCGCTCCTGCTCCTAACTGTGGCTATTAACCCCTTGTGTTCTGTGTGGTGCCCTGATGTAGATGTCTGACGCTGTAGTCAAAGTGGACATGGTAAGTCTATAGAAACTAACCGGTGTGTTACAACCAAGGAAAATAAGGAGTCATTGTTTTATTCGTTGATGTAAGCAGAATGAAGAGGAGAGCAAAGACAAAAAGAAGAAGAAGAAAAAGAAGGGTGTGGCTGAGGAGGAGGAGGAGCCAGACGAGAGTGTGCTGGACTGGTGGTCCAAGTACTTCGCCTCCATAGAGACACTCAAGGAGGTTTGTATGATAGTGTTACTGTTTATTGTATACTGCGGTCCCTCTACCAGCGGTGGAAGAAGTACTCTACTGAAGTAAATGTAGAGGAGACGAAAACAAACAGAAGATAAAAACAGTGAATCATATAAAGAAAAACAGTTCAACATTAAAAGATACTCTAAATAGATGGGTCTTCAGATGTTTTCTTGCAGGTGGTGAGGTCGGTGCAGTCACACAGTTGCTGAGGAAGTGAGTTCGAGAGGGTGGGGGGGTGATGGAGAAGGTTCTGTCTCCACAGGTTCAGAGCTTGGCCCTGCTGGGGAGGGGCTGGTGTCAGAGGATGTGCTGAGGGATGGGGAGTCAGTGGAGGTTCTGGAGGGCAGGGCTGATGTGTTCATTGTATCAGGAGAAAACCTGCTCTAGAAGAACAACAGTATGTTCTTGGTCTCTTTGCAGAAACTGAAGGCTCAGGAGGCGGCCCAGGCCGAGGCGGAGGAGAGAGAAGATCTGGAGATTCTGGTGGAGACTGGAGGTAGAAACACACATATGGGGACCACCAAGACTGACCCTGACGCTTATAGAGTCAAAGTGTCAATGGCCATCTGTCATTGTTCTGCAGGAGATTGTTTTAGTTTATTTCTGTAGCTGAGGGAGCCTCAGAGTCTCATGGAGAATGAGTGTTGTCAGTTACAAGTGTTCTCACAGCTTTAGCACATCCATAGTTTGCTGTACTACTTACTTTAGTCCAATCAGTATTATTGGTGTTAAGCAGTTCTAAGAGAGTTTGGTTTTAAAATGAAATTGTCATGGGCCGTTGTTGTGCATTCTGAATGTTTCTTCATCAATGCATCATCAGAAACACGTGAGAAGTCTGTCACTCATCAGTCACTCACCTGCACCATGTTCTGTTGTTATCATGAGATCATTAAGTCCCATGAAAGATGGTTTGTGAAGATGTTCTGAGCTGTTATGAATATCTGTACACACTCATTTGTTTCTCTATAATTAGGCTTGGGCATGTTAATACATTAACTCAAAAAATCATTAATCATGATTAATTATTTAACTCTGGTCACTTCTATCAGTCATGACCGTATAACACTGGATGAATACTGCTGCATATTTAGGTTGATGTGGTCAAATAAAGAGTGATTTAGGAACCAAAAAACTCATTCTTCTTTACATTGGTGCGCAACATAAAATGAATCGAGATTAAACTAGTATAATTTACAGTGCATAAGATCATTAAATATTAGCCATCTTTCATGTAGTTGGCGCTGTGTCCATGCTGTCCCTCACATGTCCATGTCCATGTCCATGTCCATGTCCATGTCCACTCACGGCACATCAGAGCTCAAACCAGACGACCCTCTCCTCAAAGGGCCCAGGCTCAAGGACAAGAGCAGAGACAAGAGGCTCACCAAGGACAAGAAGAAAGGCAAGGAGGGAGCGGACGGAGCGGAGAAGAGACCGGTCAAACTCAGAGTGGACGAGCTCATGGTACAGATACACAAGTCGTCCATATCACAAGTGGTGCAAGTACAGAGACTTGACCGTGTGCTGTTTATTTAAAGGTGTATAACAAAGAGCTGGAGTCAGAGTACGGGGACTTCGAGGACTGGCTGCACACGTTCAACCTGTACAGAGGGAAGGCCGGTGATGACGACGAGCACTCGCAGGACGAAGACAGGATCGTCGGCAGGTTCAAGGTGAGCTTATGAGTTGATGCAAACTTTGAGACATCCAGAAATCGAATAATGTAAGCGAGTTCATATCATTTAAGGTGTTTATATTATGTTAAAGTGAGGTTCTGTGCAATTTTGTTGAAATATCTGCCTACTTTCCATTAATATTTCAGTTTTACGTAAAGGTTTATTCCCGCCATTTGTTTCTGTAATATCTTTAGCTTTCTATAGGCAAGGCAAGTTTATTTGTATAGCACAATTCGTACACAAAGTAATTCAAAGTGCTTTACAGAATAAGAAATACATTAAAATCATAATAAAAACAAATCAAAACTTATTAAAATTAAAAAAGAGAGACATAAATTGGAGAGAAGAGTGCGGAATGAAAACCTTTCTCTAGTGTCTCTCATTTAAAGGTCCACATATTTACGATATTTTTCGGACTATAAGTTGCTCCGGAGTATAAGTCGCACCAGCCAAAAAATGCGTAATGAAGAAGAAAAAGACATAAAGTCACACCAGACTATAAATCGCACTTTTTGGGGGAAATTTATTTTATAAAATCAGAGACCAGGAACCTACATTTCATCTTAAAAGGCAAGTTCTAGTAACAATAGAACAGAGAACAACAGACTGTTAACGTCACATATGAACAGTTCTTCAGATAAATTATAACATAAACAACAGAACAGAACAAGTTTAACAAACTCTCCATCTCACTCCAAATCACTAAATCCATTCAATTCTTCATTCTGGGTGTCACTTCTGCGTAACCTCCGGAGGTAAACAGAGCGCCGCTTCCTCTTCTGTGTCGCTGTCGTCGGACTCAGCGTCAGTTCCAGTTAGAATTATTCCGGTCTTTCTGAATCCCGACAGGATGGTTTCGGTGTCACTGAAGTCCAGGCTTTGTTGATCCACCCAGTGACTTCAGGAAAGTTTCATGGTGCACCCTCCTGAATAACGTGAAGCTGTGTTCTCCATCCCCACTTTCCGCCAGTCCCTCACAAGTTTCTCGCTCACTCCAAACTTTCTTTCTGCTGCTCGGCTGAATTTTTCACTACTTGCAGCAGGACAGAGGCTCTTTCTGCAGGAGACATGCACAGTAGCGCAAAGTGACAGTGGTACAGGAGGAACAGGAGCAGCAGATACTGACACACCAGCCTAAAGCGCCCTCTTCTGGCTGTCAGTGTGAACATTTTAAAATATAAGTCGCACCGGAGTATAAGTCGCAGGAAACACCCAAACCATGAAAAAAAGTGCGACTTATAGTCCAAAAAATACTGTATATTAAAATGAGGTTATACGTTCTGTGAAATTATATTGAAGTATCTTATACAATATACAGTTTCTTATCGTATTTCCTACTTTCCATTGTGTAATATTTCAGTTTTTGCTTCTGTAGTACCTTTTGTTTTCTGTAGCGCCTTTCATTTAAAGGTGCACACATATAAAAACTGTTTGCAATGACTAATCAAAAATTTGAGACTTCACACGTGTAATTTGTTCCTTCTTAAATACAGTTTGATTTGAGGTCGTTTTCACCGCTTGACCACTAATCCTGTTGTGTTCCAGGGTTCTTTGTGCATGTACAAGCTCCCCCTGTCAGAAGAAATCACCAGAGAGGCAGGATACGACCCAAATATGGGCATGTTCCAGAGCATCCCCCACAACGACCCGATCAAAGTGCTGGTTAGAGTCTACGTGGTCCGGGTGGGTCCGAAATCCATGATGCAAGTATTCAGCTCTTTAATCCGCACACATTTGTTTACTGCAGCGTTTTGTTCCCTCAGGCGACAGACCTCCACCCCGCTGATATCAACGGGAAGGCCGATCCATACGTGGTGATCAAACTGGGCAAGTCCGAAATCAAAGACAAGGAGAACTACATCTCCAAACAACTCAACCCTGTTTTTGGCAAGTGAGTAGAGAAATGTTTTCGTGAAGTGAAGTCCAAAGCATCAGATGGTGTAAACATGAGAGAGATGGTGGACATACTGGCCAAAGAACGGTGCCAGGAACGAGGAAGAGATAATGATTTCCTCTATTTGTAACCAAAAGAAGAAAACAAACAAAAATACATATACAATCGGTGTATCATTCGTTCATTTGTTTTTCAATATAAAACCAAAAATAAGAAAACAAAAAAACAAATGTTTACTTCATTATTTGTCTCCAAAACCAAAATGGAAAAAATGGATAACAGCCATTTCCCGTTTACGTGACTTCCGTGACTGCGATGCCGGACTTTTGCACAGCATATGGACTGAACCAGGACTGATCCAGGTCCGGGAACCACACCGGGACAGGCTGGGACCAGAGCGGAACTGAGACCAGACCAGGACCAGAATGGGGCCAGACCGGGGCCAGACCGGGACCAGAGCAGGACTGAGACCGGGACCAGAGCGGGACCAGAGCGGACTCCGAGCTTTGACTCCGAGCCTCCGCAGGGTCCGAGCCTCAGCTTCGAGCTCCGGCCCTGCCGTGGACTCTGAGCCTCCAGTCTAGTCCTGGTCTCAGTCCTGCTCTGGTCCCGGTGTGGGCCCTGCCTGGTCTCAGTCTCGGTCTGGTCCCGCTCTGGTCCTGGTCTGGTCTCAGTCCCGGTCTGGTGTCGGTCTCAGTCCTGCTCTGGTCCTGGTCTGGTCTCAGTCCCGGTCTGGTGTCGGTCTCAGTCCTGCTCTGGTCCTGGTCTGGTCTCAGTCACAGTCTGGTCTCGGTCTCAGTCCTGCTCTGGTCCTGGTCTGGTCTCAGTCCCGGTCTGGTCTCAGTCTCGGTCTGGTCTCGCTCTGGTCCTGGTCTGGTCTCAGTCCCGGTCTGGTCTCGGTCTCAGTCCTGCTCTGGTCCTGGTCTGGTCTCGGTCTCAGTCCTGCTCTGGTCCTGGTCTGGTCTCAGTCCCAGTCTGGTCTCGGTCTCAGTCCTGCTCTGGTCCTGGTCTGGTCTCGGTCTCAGTCCTGCTCTGGTCCTGGTCTGGTCTCAGTCCCGGTCTGGTCTCGGTCTCAGTCCTGCTCTGGTCCTGGTCTGGTCTCGGCCTCAGTCCGCTCTGGTCCCGGTCTGGTCCCAGTGTGGTCCTGGACCTGGATCATTCCTGCAGTGCAAAAGTCCGGCATCGCAGTCACGGAAGTTACGTAAACGGGAAACGGACGTTATTAGTTGTTTCCATTTTTAATTTAAACACAAAATTTTTCGTTTTCTTATGTTTGGTTTTATATTGAAAAATGAATGAACGAATGATACACGGATTATATACTAATATGTATTTAGAGTCTCAAGTGGTAGTATGCTAACTAACAATATTAATGCATTAGTCTTATATAGTGTTTTTCCAGATGCCTGAAGTCACAATATTATTTTAAAACGACTTAATAAAAGAAAAAAATGTGCTGACTTATGTGTTAAAAAACGATAGTGTCCAGTAGGAGCAGATGTCGCTGTAAACATCATAACAAACAAAGAGCCGTGAAGCTGTCGGCCCTCCTGTGGATAGCTGCACATTACACTAACGAACAGGGAATTCATTTTAATTTGGAACAAAATGGCTACGCAACATGACCGAATCCTCACAGATTAAGAGAATAAAATTGGAGAATGAAGTAAGTACAGAGCATTGGGCGTGTAAGAGTGGGGGTAAACAGAGGAGTTGATCAGCAATACAGCGTCTTGAAAATACTGTGAGTGATTAAAAATTGCTCCAACATGGACAAATCATACTAAATACAACTTTGACTGAGTAAATGAAAAGAAAACAAGTATAACATGGTTAAAAGCCATGAAAAGTGATGATTTTTGCAGAATAGGTCTGCTTTAAATGTGTATTTTCAATGTTACATACCTGTTATCTGAACAAAAATATATCGTATTTTCCGGACTAATGAGCTCACCTGAATATAAACCACATCAACTCAATTTTAGTAACATTTTTAAACTGTACATATATAGGCCGCACCTGAATATAAGCCGCAGGTGTCCACGTCGTCAAGAACGTTTTCAAGTTCGGGCCGTCTGCTTTTATCGCCTCTGAAAACTTTTGTCGTCTTTTTGCGTTGAGTCGGTCACCAAAATTTCACCATCGACTCACTGATGTCGAGCTCACGTGCAGCAGCTCAATTTCCTTCTTCCACAGCCACATCAATCACCTTTAAGCTGCATCATCTGCATTTCTTCGTGTGTTTTGAAGCGCAAAATAACTGTTCAAAACACAATCAAACGAGCATCTTCCTCAGCGCATCACCCCCGTCTCTCCCCGTGCTCTACTGCTCATGTCTCCTGCAAGAGTCGCTGTCCCGCCTTGTCTTTTTGTCAGTGTCTTGGAGGATTTCAGCTGATTTCAGACACTCTCGGGGGCGGGGTTAGTTCTATCGATCAGGTATGAGTGGATGTCCGGCTTCTGAAATTTGAGACGTTTCTTCTCGTCATTTACGCACGCGGGTAAGACGTATCCCCCTCACTAATGTTCATTTAGCATCATAACTTATTTTATCACAGCGATAAACTATCTGAGTGCCATGACAATATCGCGAGCTCAGGTAGCAGCTTCATGTTAACCCTAGATCCATGTGTGAACTGCACAGACAGCGGCATATTCTGCTGGACAATGTGCCAAACAAAGAACCTGCATCGATTTATTAGCCGCAGGGTTTTAACTGAGAGAAAAAAGTAGCGGCTTATGGTCCGGAATTTACGGTAAATCAATTATGTGATAACCTAAATGAACCCCTTTTGACAGCAGTGCTTTAATACTCCCCCCGTGTCTCCTGTGTCAGGTCCTTCGACATAGAGGCCACGTTCCCGATGGAGTCCATGCTGACCGTGTCTGTGTACGACTGGGACCTGGTGGGCACAGACGACCTCATCGGGGAGACCAAGATCGACCTGGAGAACCGCTTCTACAGCAAATACAGAGCCACCTGCGGCATCTCCTCACACTACTCACTGTGAGAGCATCACACACACGCCTCTAGTCTGTGCACACTGTTAGACACATGAGGGAATAGAACCTCTGGAAACAGACGTGTTAACTTACAAAGCAAACTAATGCCGGGCGTACACTGTGCGATATTTTCGGTCGTGTCACTCAGCCCCAGCTTAAACTTTACGACCAAATCACAGGGTTTAAAAGTTCACAGCTCACGAATCTTGTTCTCACACTGAACGAACCGATGCTCGGATGCACTTGCTGCTCACACTGTACGTTCACATAACGACGGAGTTGTCAAAGTTGTTGTTCCGGAAGTAGAAAACTGTTAGGTTTATCTAAACATTAAAAACAAGAAGAAAGACAAGAGATTAATTCAGTTTACTCATGAGGAGAACGGGCAGAGAGTGGGCATCAGACCAACAGTCTCCACACGTTCTGATGCCTCAAGGCCGTTCTCCTCTTTTTATTTCATTAGGAGGCCCTAGTTACAGAACGATAAATTCTCAAGGGGAAGGGGAAACAGCAAAGACATAATAAGAAACTGATGAAGCTATGCATAGTACAAACACATAAAACATGATTAACAATCAGGAGGTGCCTTAGGTCAGACACCATCATAACTCTTGCATGTGTGACAGTGGGAGTTGGCTTCATGTGAGGAATCATCTCGAGGTTCACTAGAGCGATAGGTCACTGCACACAGTTGTCAAACACACAGAGGTTATTCAACAAGTGACAAGTGATTGGTACATTATAAATCAAAGAATTGTAGTTACATAAATGGTTAACTCATAGGCCTAGAATATCACACAAGTATTTAGCAAATATGGATATAAAAATTATTCTGACAAAAACCACGAAGAAGAAAACCACGGAATTAGAAAACCACAGATGTGCGGAGACACAATGCTGAGCCGCTTCTGCGTCCGCGCATGCGCAGTCTGCCAGATTCCGGCAAATCGGCTCGTGGAACAACTTCAACAGAGCGAAATCCTCACGAGAGGCGACTGGATTTCAAACAAGTTTGATTTTCTTGCGACCTACGAATGTCTGGAGCTGGTCGTGAGTCATTAATCGGTTCTCTTTACCCCATGTAAACTACACGAAGCACGACACACGATGAAGCCAAAACTCGGCCCGATCCCCAAAACAGTCGCACGAGCGAAAAATCGGCTCAAAAAGGGTCAAAAATCGCACAGTGTACGCCCGGCCTAAAGCAGATCATTTTCAGATTTTAGGGCTTCAACGATTCCTCGCAGCCTCTAAAATAAGATACTATTTCAGTGATCATAGTCATCGTCTGGATCATTAAAAATATGCAATTTCTTAGCGTGTATTAAAGGGCCTGTGTTGTGCCATTTTCTGATGTAATGTTTCTGGACTTGTATTTTTGTTTCATTCACACATGTTTAACACACAAATCCTGCATATTTAGTCTGAGTTCTTCTCTCAAACTAGAGATGCGATGGAAAAATTATATTTTAATTAAATTCGGGCGGGTGGCGGTTTAACTACTAAAAAAAAAAAAAAAAGTTATTGTTAGTATTGTTACCTACATCTGAAAAGACGAGTGTCATTGTCTGTGCTTGTAGTATGAAGTGTACGTCATATCCTTAATTAGCCCATTTGACCTCGTTTTTATGTTCTGAAGGTTCAGGTTGTGTCGGGTTATTGATGCCTAAGGTTTACGAGGCACATATTATATGCAGTTTATTTTATTATTTCTAATTTATTTCAGTTGTTTACCAACACGTAAGTGGCTATAGGGCCATATTTATTTAGTTATGCATTTTTTTTTGTTTCGATATCAGATATATTTTAAAACACGCAGACATTATCGCGTAGACTGCCACTCGGGGGATTTAAAACTTAAAGAAAGACCGATGGAGTGAGGCTATGACTTTGAAATAACATCGGGCAATGGCAGAATGTTCAGAATGTAACAACATCCAACACGAAGGCAAGAAGGTTCAAAAATAGTCTAGTCGGAAAACGTTGTCAATTAATTAGATGCGCAAGAAAACCAGGTAAGTCTGGGGTTGTTACGGACAATTAAGAATGTGAACAAACACGCTGAGCGAATTTTGGAATGAATGAGCTATAGAGTTTGCATTTTTATCGAGGCTCCTTAGTTTGTTTGCTGTATGATTGTTCTAAAATCTAAAATCAATCGGCGGATGGCGGGCGGGTGCGGTTTTGAAAACCTTCGGTGCAAAATGGACAGTGGGCGGATGATGAGTTTTGTGTCGCGGTTGCGGATGAAAAAATAGCCCATCCGCGCATCTCTATCTCAAACAGAAAACACTTTGTTCCACCTTGTGATGTGGTAATACATGAAGTACTTCAGTACACCTAAATTATTTTTATTTCTATCATGTGCTAATCTCTCTGTCTCCTGTCCGACTCCGTAGTCATGGTTACAACATCTGGCGGGACCCGATGAAGCCGAGTCAGATCCTGGCGCGGCTGTGTAAAGAGGGGAAGATGGAGCCTCCTCAGTACGGCCCGGGCGGCACGGTGCAGGTGGGGGGGCGAGTGTTCCAGGCGCCCACCGAGATCGAGGACGAGAACGGTACACACACTCTGTTTACAAACTCTCAATAAAGTTACTATTTATCTGCCTGTCTGTTTCCTGTACGTTATACTGGTTTCTTCTGACTCTTTAAACGATACTTGGACCACATGAGATATTTATTTTTGTCAATATCGTCCACTCCATCGTAGATTATAACACTTATAATGTCCAAAATAGTTGAAGTCATCGTGAAGGACTCAGGTCACGGGTCCCTGTGTGTGTGGATGTGTGTGCAGGTTTGAAGAAGCAGACGGAGGAGCACTTGGCCCTGACCGTGTTGAACCACTGGGAGGAGATCCCCAGAGTCGGCTGTAAACTGGTGCCGGAGCACGTGGAGACCAGAGCTCTACTCAACCCAGACAAACCCGGCATAGAACAGGTCAGACACACACACTGAATCTGTGTATCATTCGTGCGTTTGTTTTTCAATATAAAACCAAAAATAAGAACTGTTTTCATCATTATTTGTCTCCAAAACCAAAATGAAAAACTAGATAAGGATTCGTTTTTTTCATTTTTCGATTTTGTTAAACTGTGATGCCAGATTGAACCAGGACTGAAACAGGACTAAACTAGGACTAAAACAGGTCTAAACCAGTCTCAGTCCTAGTCTCAATTCCAGTCCCCGGTCCCGGTCCTGGTCCTGGTCCGGTCGCGGTCTCAGTCCTAAACCGGGAGTGTCGGGACTGGCCCGGACGTGCGCCCGCATAGACTGTCGGGTGATCAGGAAAGCGGGACCAGACTGGGACCAGACTGGGACCAGACCAGGACTGAGCCCGGGACTGTGACCGGGACTGAGACCGAGACTGAGACCGGGATTAGACTGGGACTGAGACCGGGACAGAGACTGGGACTGAGACCGGGATCAGACTGGGACTGAGACCGGGACTGAGACCGGGACTGAGACTGGGACTGAGACCGAGACTGAGACCGGGATCAGACTGGGACTGAGACGGGACTGAGACCGGGACTGAGACTGGGACTGAGACCGGACTGGACTGAGACCGGGACTGAGACCGGATTAGACTGGGACTGAGACCGGGACTGAGACCGGGACTGAGACCGGGATTAGACTGGGACTGAGACTGGGACTGAGACCGAGACTGAGACCGGGATTAGACTAGGACTGAGACCGGGACTGAGACCAGGACTGAGACCGGGATTAGACCGGGACTGAGACCGGGACTGAGACCGGGACTGAGACCAGGACTGAGACCTGGTTTAGTCCTGGTTCAATTCTGGTTTAGACCTGGTTTAGACCTGTTCAGTCCTGTTTTAGTCCTGGCTTAGTCCTGGTTCAGTCCGTATGCGGCGCAAAAATCCGGCATCACAGTTTATGTCATGAAACTGGAAACGATCGTTATCCGTTTAAACACAAAACCGAAAAATGAAAAAAATTAGTCATTATCCGCTTTTTCATTTTGGTTTTGGAGACAAATAATGAAGAAAATCTTTGTTTTTTCATTTTCTTATTTTTGGTTTTATATTTTAAAACAAATGAACGAACGATACACAGATTCCACAACATTAATACACTGAAAACATTTTACTGGGAGCCTCTTCACAGATCTGCTCTGTAAGTTGGTCTGGTGGTTCACCTGCTTGTCTCCTTGGAGTTAGATCCTGAGCAAAGAATAAATAACTCCATGGAGACAAGCAGGAGTCAGAAAAGTGACATAGTGTCTCTTTTGAAAAAGTAATGTGGAGTTCATACTTGTTAAAAAGCGTGTCACAGTTTTCCTCGTGTCTGTTCAGGGCCGGATTGAAATGTGGGTGGACATGTTCCCCATGGACTCGCCCGCCCCAGGACCTGCTCTGGACATATCGCCACGGAAACCAAAAAGGTACAGCCAAGACAGACGAGGAAGCAGACAGGAGAAATTAACCTTTGCTTTTTTATTTTTCACAAATGATGTAATTATTGTGTTGTTAATTTCAGCTGAATGATGAAATGTTATGAATTTTGTAATATTTTGATCATACTGTACATGTTGATGATAGCAGTAATGGGAGTACTGTTGTATTCATTCTGTAGTATCTCATATTTCCAGGTAGTATCTAAGTTAACATGGTGAGTGTAGCGTTCGCTCTTGTGTACTGTCCATATTGAAGTGCGCTTGTGTTCCTCGTCCCTCACCAGATATGAGCTCAGGGTGATTATTTGGAATACAGACGAAGTAATTCTGGAGGACGATGATTTCTTCACTGGGGAAAAGTCCAGTGACATATTTGTGCGGGGGTAGGTACGGGCGGGCCAGCGGCGTGTGCAGGCTGCTCCCGCGTGTGCGCTGTGCGTGCAGTTTTTCTCTTTATTTAACCATGCTTTTGTTTTGTCTTGTCCATTTGTGTGGGTGTGTGTCTGTGGTGTCTGTGTGTCTGTCCTCTCTTCTCTCCGCTCGTGCTCTGTCCAGCTTTGAGCTGCGTGTAATTATTTGGAACACTGATGACGTTATTCTAGAGGACGATGCTTTCATGACAGGAGAGAAGATGTCTGACATCTATGTCAGGGGGTAAACACACCACCCATCGCATGGCTCGTACAGTCTCCTACATCCTACAGCCATCTCCACGTCTCCTGTGTCCTCTCATACCAACACTTCATCTTCTGATTTACTCCAGTACCTCCTAGAACACAGTTTACTCTCCTACTTCCTAAAGACCTTACCTTCTCCTCTCCTAACTCCTAAAGACCTTACCTTGTCTCCTATTCTTCTACCTTTTAAAGACCTTACTTTATCTCCTCCTCTCCTGCATCCTAAAACCCTTACCTTGTTTTTTCCTCTTCTACCTCCTAAAGACCTTACCTTCTTCCCCTTTCCTACTTCCTAAAGATCTTACCGTGTCTCCTCCTCTCCTGCTTCCTAAAGACCTCACCTTGTCTCCTCCTCTCCCACTTTCTAAAGCTCTTACCTTGTCTCCTTCTCTCCTACTTCCAAAAGACCGTACCTTGTCTCTTCTTCTCCTAAGTCCTAAAGACCTCACCTTGTCTCCTCCTCTCCCACTTTCTAAAGCTCTTACCTTGTCTCCTTCTCTCCTACTTCCAAAAGACCTTAACTTGTCTCCTCCTCTCCTACCTCCTAAAGACCTTACCTTGTCTCTTCTTCTCCTAAGTCCTAAAGACCTCACTTTGTCTCCTCCTCTCCTACCTCCTAAAGACCTTACCTTTGTCTCTTCCACTCCTACTTCCTAAAGCCCTTACCTTGTCTCCTTCTCTTCTAACGCCTAAAGACCTTACTTTGTCTCCTCCTCTCCAGCCTCCTAAAGACCTTACCTTGTCTCCTTCTCTCCTACTTCCGAAAGACCTTACCTTGTCTCTTCCTCTTCTACTTCCTAAATACCTTACCTTCTGCTTTCCTAACTCCTAAAACCCTTACCTTGTCTCCTCCTCCCCTACCTCCTAAAGACCTTACCGTGTCTTCTACTTTCCTACCTCCTAAAGACCTTACCTTATCTCCTCCTCTTCTAACGCCTAAAGACCTTACATTGTCTCTTCCTCTCCTACCTTCTACAGCTTGTCTCCTCTTCTCCTACTTCCTAAAGACCTTACTTTGTCTCCTCCTCTCCTACCTCCTACAGCTTGTCTCCTCCTCTCCTACCTCCTCAAACCAAAGGCTTCTCTCCTTGTCTCCTCTTTAACTTTCTAAAGCGATGATGTTGTCTTCTTCTTCTTCTTCTTCTTCTTCTTTAAGTCTCCCTGTTTTATCTCCTCCCATCTACAGCCTTTATCTTGTCTCCTGCAGTACTTCCTAAATCCTTCATCGCGTCTCCTTGTTTCCTCTCCACCATCTGAGTCCTTAATTTGTCTCCTGTGTCCTCACTCACGTACTAAACCGGGCTCTTGTCTTCTCTTCATGCTCCAGTCTCGTCTCTCCCTCCTCCTGTTGTCTCCTCTCTCCTGATCTCCCCAGAGCCCCGACTTTACCTCTTTGACCCACTCCAGTTTTCATTCAGCACGCACAACTCGCTTGCCTTTTGACTTAAGCACGCAAACCTAATGCAATATGTGAAAATCAACAGTCAAGACCATACCACACCAACACTTCTCCTCCTTTATGTGGCTTTCATTTTGCTCAAGGATGTTTCAAAATCTGCTTTTTTTCCACTTGTATGCACTTAATACTTTAATTATTGTTCAAATATTGCAAACCCAGTGTAAATATTCCCTGTAAAATGTAAATTAAGTGGTGTTTGTGGTATGGTTTTGTATTAAAATGACTGATAATCAAAAAAGATGCACTGTGAAACTTTTCTGGCGTAGGGTTTTCCTCCTACTCGTCAGTCTGGAACGTCATTGCAAAAAAATAAAAGTACACTTCACTTAGAGCAAAACTTAAATAAAAAATAATGGTATCACTTTATAATAACTACACCTTATTTAGCCTTAATAAAGCATGAACAAAGACTTAATTAATAATGATTCACGCTTAGTAACTACTTAATTACTACATGAATTAGCACTTAACTTGCACTTAATTCACCTGTGCTGTAAATAGTTACTCATAAGTATTTCTTACTTAATTACTCATGAACTAACCATTTGTGTGTGCATTTGTAAATGTATATTTAAGTACAAATTTGAGCATTTATTAATGATTAGTAAGCCATGAGAGAATGATTTACTGGTAATGCATTATTGTTTCTCTGGAATTTGACCAACCTTAGTAAATGTTTCATAAACATAATTCGTCTTCACTTTAGAAAAGCTCTCAGAAAGACTTGACTAACAGATAACAGCTGCCTGAATGATCATTGTATTGTATTATTAGTAAATCATTCTCTCATAGCTTATTAATCATTAATTAATGCTCAAATGTGTACTTAAATATGCATTTGTAAACATGCAAATGGTTAGTTCACGAGTAATTAAGAAGTATTGAGTAACTATTTACAGCACAGGTGAATTAAGTGCAAGTTAAGTGCTAATTCATGTAGTAATTAAGTAGTTACTAAGCGTGAATCATTATTAATTAAGTCTTTGTTCATGCTTTATTAAGGCTAAATAAGGTGTAGTTATTATAAAGTATTACCAAAATAATAAATAAAAACGATAAATAACTGTGCTGTTGAACATTCCAAGCGATATCATCTTCATAGAGACGACAGGTGGCGTACACTCCCCCGGAAAAGTGACACAGTGCACCTTTAAACACCTGGCATGTGTACGGACATATGAAGTCACAAAAACAAAGCAACGATCCACCTGAAGTTACTGCATGTACTTTTCTACATGGAGTATATGAAGTCTTCTGCTGTCTGGTCACAGTTTGATCTCCACAGCTGTGGAAGCTGCAGTTTTACCACACGCACAACTCTGTTTCCCCCTTTTCCCTCATGATTTATGCAGGTGTTTGTCACAGCACATGATGGACTCTGTGGTTTGGTTTCTACAGTCTGCATTGTGCCAGACCTGCATGGCTTTATTTATTTTGTGATGCTCCAAAGTCAAGTCTGCTTCACACACACAGCACTGACCTCAGGAGTTCAGTTTGAAGATACATTCTGGATTTAAGGTGGTGGTCAGTTAGGGGTGAGCCATGAACCAAAAAAATACAATTCACACTTTAGTGCAATAGGAGGGTTTCAGTCATGTGATCACGATGATGCGCGAATGTCAGGTGGAGGGCAGGAAGTGAAGGCAAACACGACAAACACGGCTCTGGAGAACACAGATATGGAGAACAGTTCTTATTGTCAGGATTTAGAGCCAGTAGCGAGGCAAAAGTACAAGCAGTTAGTCGACAAATATATTGGGCGTGACCCCATCTTATTGAAAATGAGAGAATTTTCAACCGAAATAAAAGATTTGCCGACAATCGAGGCAGGGGATATCACGAACTATTTAGCTCTTCAGACATCGTTCTACACCAGACAACAGATGAAGGTGTACAAAAGTTTGGAGGTATATAACTTTTTTTGTGGATGGGTCCTCAACCCTGGTGCAAAACGCCTAAATGATGATTATGGTTTGGTCTTCGCCGGGGTGAGTGTTTCTGTTATTTTATGTGTATAGATGTTATGGGAAAAACTGCAGTGTATCGGCAGTGACCTCCATCTGAACTAATGTCAACAAACGTCGTTCGCCGTTAGTCGTTAATGATTCGTTTATGTTTAGGTAAACCACAAAAAACAGTTTAGCTTTGTAACAAACCTTTGACGAAGTGGTCACTGCAGACACGAGCATTAGCGAATTCTGCTCCTCCCGACCGCAAACAGGTTTGTAATCCACTTTTTACGGCGTTGTTCTGTCAGCTTTTCCCATTTCTGACCTTTGTGGACGACTATATTCGGTACTCCAACAAAAATCGCTTGTTCACTTTCCTCCAGTCAGTTCACTTCCTGCCCTCCATCTGATTTTGCGTGCTGACAAATGTAGCCCTGTGACGTCACGTGAAACCCACCTATTGACTAAATCCACCTGTTACTCACATAGTGCAATTCCAAGGCTGACCAATAGGGGGAGAGGGTGGGAAAAAGGATTTAAAAAGAGTTTGCTGAACCTCTTATGCAGGTATGTGTACATGTATGTGTGTTTAGATTTGATATTGGAGCGTCACACACTGTACTGGACCTTTTAGCATCATCTCTCTTGTTGACTTTAAATGTCTCAAATCAAATAATCAAATTTACAAATTACTAAAAAACACATTTGGCGAAGTGCATGACTAGTACCAACTAACTCCTCTGTACATGTCGTGGTTATTGTCAGTATAATGTTGTCCTGTTTTCATGCAGATGGCTGAAGGGTCAGCAGGAGGACAAGCAGGACACAGACGTGCACTACCACTCCCTGACAGGAGAGGGCAACTTTAACTGGCGCTTCGTGTTCCCCTTCGATTACCTCATGGCCGAAGAGAAGATCGTCATCTCCAAGAAGGAGTCCATGTTCTCCTGGGACGAGACGGAGTACAAGATCCCCCCCAGACTGACCCTGCAGGTGTGGGATGCAGACCACTTCTCTGCTGATGACTTCCTGGGTAAGAGAGTATCACACTTTTTCACTCAAAACAACTGATAAATGTGGAAACCATTGAAAGTTTGAATTCAGTAGTTTTTATCTGTGTCTGTAAGTGTCTCCTGGATTAAACGGTGAGGTCTTTCTCTTCAGGTGCCATTGAGCTGGACCTGAACCGTTTCCCTCGCGGGGCAAAGACGGCCAAACAGTGCACTCTAGACATGATCAGGAAGGAGCAGGAGCTGCCCACCATCTCCATCTTCAAACAGAAGAGGGTCAAAGGCTGGTGGCCCTTTGTGGCTCGCGATGAGAACGACGACATGGAGCTGACGGTGAGGAGGACAGGGCTTTAGCTTTGTGTGGATTATTCATAAAACCACGAGTTCAGCGTATATCTAAAAAAGAATGATCTGAATGATGTGTGGACATTCAAAAGGTTAGGTTCAGTTGCTTTATTCGCACCAATACGTAAATTTGTTTTGCATATTTGAGAGGCTGGTCTCACATTTAACATTTCATTCATCGACATTATGTACAATAAACATGAACAAACACAATTACATAATAAACACAATAACATAATAAAGTGTTACAGTGCTCCAGAACACAATGCTTTTGTTCCATAAATAAATAAATTCATCCATCATGCTTGGCTAAGATTACAATAAAAAAAAAAAACAAAAAAAAAAACACGATTTTCCTAAGACAGCGTACCAAAATTGGTTAAATAAATAGGGACTGTTTTCTCCATTTCAGAGTAATTCCCATGTTAGTCCCCCAGACAGCTGAAATGCCCAAGATTTGCCTTGTTTTGGTTTATTCTTTCCACCTGAATATAAATTTAATATACAGTATGTCACTGATCATCCATACAAACCACTGCTTGTGATGGGAGTCTGCCATGGTTGTCCAATGCTTTGAATTCAAATTCAAAACAATTTATTTAGAATTGTCAATTCTTCATATGAAACAAATTATCTTTCTCACTCATAATCATATAAATAAATGATAATAAATGGAAAAGTCCAAGTGTTCTTCTTTGGGGAGACGCAGATTCCTCCTTCTTGGTCGCCTGGTGGTTAGAGAGGAGAGAGTTCAGCATCCTAACAGCCTGGTGGATGAAGCTGTTAGTGAGTCTGGTGATGGGGAAACAGAGGCTTGTGTACGTCCTCCCAAAGGGCAGGAGGCTGAACAGATTGTGTGGTGTCACTTGCATCGCTCACAATTGTGATGTCTTTGTGGGTGAGGCAGGTGGTGTGTATTTCTTTTGCAGGGAGGAGAAGTGGTGCTCCAGTGATCTTCCTGGCTGTGTTTACTTTTTCTCCAGAATAATGTACATAAGCCTTGTGTGTTACAGGGTAAAGTAGAGGCGGAGCTGCACCTGGTGACAGCGGAGGAGGCAGAGAAGAGTCCTGTGGGCCTGGGCCGGAATGAACCGGATCCTCTGGAGAAACCAAAGTAAGTCTGTCGTTCCTGCACTCCTCTACTGAGCGCGCTCACTCTAGAGTCTGTAACGATAGATCTGCAGGTACATCTGACCACAGTAACTACCAGTATGGATCAGACACACAGTGCAAAGAGCAGTTTCTCCAGTTACATCATTTACAATAGTGCAACAAATGAATGAAACAAATATTACGTATCCGTGTATAGACCCACTGCTGTTTGCACTGTCGCTCCTCTTCACCTGTCTCTCCCTCTGTCTGCCCCTCCCTCTGCCGTGTCTCCTGATCCCACTCTGACCTATGACCTCCGTTCTACATTCCCTCCTCACGCCCTAACCCCTCCCTCTCCTCCTCCTTTTCCTCTTATCCTCCCTCCTTCCTCCTGAAGTCGCCCGGACACCAGTCTCATGTGGTTCTTGGGCCCTCTCAAGTCCATTGGTTACTTCATCTGGCACAACTACCACTGGCTGATCCTGAAGGTGCTGGGCGTGGTGCTGCTGCTGCTCATGCTGGGCCTCTTCCTCTACTCTCTGCCCGGGTACCTGGTCAAGAAGATGCTGGGGGCCTGAGGAGTCTGGGGGCCCGAGGAGCTGGGGGGCCTGAGGAGCCGGTAGCCTTCGCCCAAATCAAATCTACTTCTTCTACGGTTTCTGCTGCTGTTTGTGGGCTCTCTGTCGCCCCCTGTCTGTCACAGATGCACTTATGTTCTCCTTTAAATTCCCTGTGGGCCAGCTGTGGAGTCCTTTGTCGTCTTTTGTTTACTCTATGTGCCAATAACACTTAAGAAAATATTGCTTTTCAACAACTAATCATGGAAATACACCTCAGTATTCATCCTCCACAGAAAAGTAGAAGTTGGGACATTATCTTAACTTCTCACCTATTTCAAATCAAGAACCAAAACTGTAATAATATGTATAATTAAGATAATCAATTTCCTACACCTATTCATTTTTGTACACTTAAATGTTGAAAAGCAGTTCAAAATCTGGTGTCATTGTCGGGGGGTGTATTCAATCATTGCTGCTCATCGTGAAGCCTTCACTCTGTGTCAAGGGCAATGTACATTAATAGTATTTTGGAGGATTTTTAAACACACTAGAGAAATGAGTTTGATATTAAATCTGATTTTAAAAATCTGGGGATATATATATATATATTTTTTTTTGTGAAATGTGTCCTCAAAGTATTACAAAAACGCCAACTGAAAACTATCACAACTTAACGATATACTACTTAACTTTTTGGGTAAGGTGTCCACAGGTGATTGTCTCCAATTTAGATGTTACTGCTTTGCCTCGAATATTTAGCAGCAGGGTTTAATCAGTTTAAAGTCATAGAAAGAGAGAGAGATACTTTATTGAGCTTGAGGGAAATTCAGGTTTTGCTGCAGGAACATTTCCACTGTGCGTCTCAGTGGAACACAACAGGAAAGACCTCACTCTTATTCTACTCTGGTGATTAAACGGGCCATTCCCTCAAAGTATTTCCTATGCAGGGTCTCAGAGTATTTCTTCTGGAAGGTTCTTCTACCACAATTGCTTCCACATCTGGTGTAAAACAGTAGCCTGATTCATCAGCCAGTTTCACTTTGTGGAAACCGTCTGACCGCGCAGCATTAGGATTCATTCGCTCGACAGTAGGCGGGTACTTTTTTTTATTTAACCAATCACTGCTATTTGGTCGTGATGTATGTAATGCGCCAAATCTTGTAGGAAGAAGGGCAATAAAATCTTTCCCCTTGACAAAATTCACCAGATATTCTCTTTGTTCTGGCTTTAAATCCTCGATCTCGGGAATCGTTTCCAACACAGAATGTCTGTCTTCGTCTACATCCATCTCGACCGCTTTATTTCATGTTGTGCTGTAATACAAAAGGGACCCAGACAGACGCTTGAATTTGACGTCATGGCTTCACAGCTCTTCGCTGATTGGCCAGTGCGCAGTCTACAACTTCCGGGGTTCTTGCAAATCGTCTGTTGTATTCTGATTTCTGACCTGGTCACTGCAGAAAAATGAAATGGAGCAGAGGCACTAGGCGGCGCCAGCTTGGTTAGATCATGACAAAAATCTCTTGCAACCCAGTCTTTGAGAAACAATGGTGTAAAAAGCCTGTAGCATCTCAAATGTCCATAGTTAGCCTCTTGACGTACTGTGAAACATACCAGACAAAGCTGTAATATCCCCATGGAGACAATCAGACCATCCAGCAGTGCACATTTAGTATTTGACTCCTGGTTAATAGATCCTAGATATTAGATATTAACGATAATCCATGTATTTGAATGAAACAAAAACTAACTCCATACATGTTTTTGATCAGAGTAGAACTTTACAACATGGTTAAAAGCTCAAAAACTGAAACAATAACACTTTTATGAACACACAGGTTAAAACACAAGAGCTGATTGGGTTCGTTTACCTCCATCCTATAAATGTACATCTGCTAACACAAGCCGTATCTCTCTTGTTTCCCCCTCACCATTTCACAAACCCACACCCCCCCCCCTCACCCTCACCCTCCTCCTCCTCCTCCCCCCGCCTGACCCCCGACCCCCCGGACGACCCCCGCAGCCGCCCGGACACGACCTTCCTGTGGTTCCTGAGTCCCCTGAAGGCCGTGCGCTACCTGATCTGTACCCGATACAAGTGGCTCATCATCAAGGTGGTGCTGGCCCTGCTCCTGCTCATCATGCTGGGGCTCTTCCTCTACAGCATGCCCGGATACCTGGTCAAGAAGCTCCTGGGGGCCTGAGGAGGGGAGCGGGGGCAACCTGTTTACACCCGGTCTACAGTCCCTTTGGTCCCAGGGTTTAGTACGGATTTTACTCTAGCTTTGTCCTGGTTTAGATTTGGTTTAATCTTTGTTTAGATCTAAATTGAGCTGGTTTAGACCTGATTTGGTTTTGGTTTGGACATGGGCTGGGCTTGGATTGGCTTTAGTCCTGGTTTAGTCTGTATTTAGACCTGGTTTAGACTGGATTTAGTCCTGTTTGTTAAGTTTGAGACTGGATTTAGACCTGGTTTAGCCTTGGTTTACATCAGCTCTTGACTTTAGACCTCATTTAGCTCTGGTTTTGGACTGGTTCAGACTTATTTCAGACCAGTACATCGCCTGGTTTGGTTTAGTCCCAGCTTGAATCTAATAATTTAAGTATCTAACAAATTAAGACCAAATAACGTCAACTGTGAATGCTTCCTAATGCTGAACTAATCTGTGTAGAAATTTGTGTTTTCTTTAATGGGACCGGATTTAAGATTTTGGAATTCACTTTAAAGTCAGATTCACACATGTTTACGAGAAAATTGTCACGTACAAAATGTCAAAACACTCAAAAGTGACCTCCATTCACACATGCACGAGTCCCAGAACTTTACCGGGTCTGTTTTGTTCACACACAACCTGCATTTGGCTTTTGAACTCATCATCATTTGAACTGAATAAAAATGGAAAAAAGAAACTAAGCTCGTTACCAGAAAACTAATAAAAACCAAGGAAATTAAGCTTGAAAATAGAAAACCAAACTCGTTACCAAGTAGTGGAGCTACCAAGAGAGCTAAAAAAAAAACAGGACAACAGAGAAGCAGAACCCAGAAAGGGGGTAACTATTCCTTACATGGCCGGTGTTTCTGAAAAATTACAGAGAATTTTCAGACAACACGAGATCCTTAAGACAGAAACTGGTCGACCCAAAGGATAAAACACCGAGCCACAAACAAAGCAATGTGCTCTACTCCATTCAGTTTAGTGAAAACTGCAGTGAACGCGACACTGGAGAAACGAAACAGCCAATGAATTTCTCCTTTGCCAAGTAGTGGTAATGTAAATGTTCTGGCTTTATCCACACGTAATCTTTCCCTGCATATTCACACTAATTTGCCCAAGAAATTGCCAGATTTAAAATGTGAAATAAAGACTGGCCAATATATCACTTGGCCAATATTTGCACTTTTGAGCGAATCGGCTGTCGGCCTTAAACTTCCAACACAAACCGATATTTTGTTTTGGTCGACCTGCTGCTTTAAGAATCCACATAAAGCTTTAGGCGACGTTTACACATAGACAGGTATGTTAAGAAACGAATATTTCCCTCTTTCTGTTTTCCAAAATAACATCGTGCACACTGCATCGTTTTCAAAAAAGTTTTCATTTACATCGACCTGCATAAATTCGCCATCGAGCGCCGTGAGAACTACAACAAGCCTCTGAGCGGCGCCTGGATTAGATTCAAACCTGTAGCATTTATTTCATTACTGATAAGTATTACTCAAAAAATAAAAAAAAATAAAAACATGCATTACTGAGCAGGCTCACCTCTCCACAGATCTGTTAAAGAAGTGACAAAATTGCTGATCTCATTCGTCTCTGGTCATGGATATGAAGCCTGATTCATCAGACTGACCTCACAGTGTTAGAACTTGTTTGCTTGACAGTATGCGGGTACTTTTTGTCATTTAACCAATCGCTGCTATTTGGTGGTCACGTATGTAATGCACCGCTAACGTGGCTAATTGGTATATTAAGCTTGTCCCAAATCCCGTAGGAAGAAGGTAGTGTATTCCGATTCCTGACCTAGTTGCTGGAGAAAAATGAAATTGAGCAGAGGCACTAGGTGACACCAGCCTGAATAATGATACATCAGCTGTGTGTGTAAATGCAAACACATGAAAAGTGTTCGCTCTTTTGGCTCGTCAGCTCCTAAAACTTCATTTATCTCACTTTACACGCAAACGTCAAACCGTAGTTTTCCAGAATCTCCACTGTAACCAGATTTTTTTTTCTTTTTTTTTTTTTTTTTGGAACTTTTCTTTTTGATTTTCACACAAAATAAAAAGAACATAAGAACTTTCCCGGAGACAAGAGTATAAAGATATTACCTTTACAAATGCAACATACATATTCCAGTACATTTGCAGTATATATTATAACATATACATCCTTGTGAGCGCTTGAGAAATAAGGCGTTAACAGTAATAACCAAAATAATAAAATAAATAAAAATAAGTAAATAAAAATAAATATATAAAAAATATATAAATTAAATAAATAAATACATTAAAAAAAAAAGATTACCTATATATATATATATATACTAATTAAAGAAGTTTTTAAAAAGATTCGTTTTCAGACGCGAATTTGCCATTTGCGTGTAAAAAAAATGTGTACAAACGAAGGGAAATGACTCCACTTTTAAAAATACCTGTGTACGTATAAACAGGGCCTAATTTGAACACTCCAGAAGTCTGCACAAAACGTGGCCGCACCGCTGTAGTAGTAGTAGTTCATTCGGTCATTTTGCAACACTACAAAACAAAAACAAAACATCGACTCCAATTCCATAGATCATCACCGAAAGGGTTTAGGCTGAAGTAAAAAGTACTTATAACGTCAAACCCTATTAAACAATGACAGAATTTCAAGAAAAAAACAACAACAAAAAAACAGCGTATGATTTGTCTCATGGGTTTCTGGTGAAAAAAGAGTCGTGGATGAGTTTTTAAGTCAGTATCGGCATAAAAATATCGGCATAGCTTATTGGCCATTGGTTGCTCAGAATTCTAAACAATT